AAGCCCAACAGACAGCCGTCTGCTCCCAGGCAAGGAGGGGTGGGTGCGAAGGGCGTCTAGTTGTTTTATTTCGTATCCGAAGAAGTGTGCCTGCACACGAAAGCTCATGCCAATAACAAACTTAGTTAGTCTCGTAAGGTGCTACTGGAAGGAATTTTTAAATTTTGTTTCGACTACGGCAGACTGACAGGGCTACCTACCTGTAATTAGTTATTTTATTTCATTTTTGCAACGGGGTGGGTGGCTGGAAGGTGACTGACTGAATGCAAAAAAAGGGAGCTTATTTGCAAACTATCCGTTTCTTAGCATAGGCCGAAGGGTGAGAAGCGATTTATGCAGCTGGATCCTGAGTTTTCTGCTCAGCTAAGCTGCTTGGAGGACCTCAAGGGCTGAGTTTGACACACACACACACACACACACAAAAAAAAAACCCCACTTGCTATAATTGGGATGGTTCTATTCTGGCATGTTTAATGGGAGAAGGTGGGTGTTGGTTCTTTGCCCCAAAAAGTGGGGAGGGAGAGAGTATTACTAGATATGCTCTGTGGAAGAGAGAGAGAGAGTGTGTGTGTGTGTGTGTGTGTGTGTGTGTGTGTGTGTGTGTGTTTCTAGCTAAACTTTGCCTTCAGGACTTATTAAGAGTAAGGATCCCAGTCAACTAAACAGGCTGCTTTTTTAGAACAATTCAGGGTTCCAGCGATAACTGGAAATTGGCACGCAATTCAAAAACCTTAACTCAGCTTTCAGTTTTTGTGTGTGTGTGTTTTTTAGGCAGCAAGTTTCTAGCCCTCAAGGCAATGAAGTTAGACTTGCAAGTGTTTGGGCGGTGCCTGCTCAAATTTGAGATTTTCAGTTGTCAAAAGTTGGGGTGTGAGGAGTCTACAGAGTTCTTTTCCATGCCCCGCGGCTCAAAGAATAAATTATGCAAAATAAGCACATAGAGGCCAGTCTGTCTGTCTATCTTTTATTCTTTCAGACATTGGTCACAACAGAAAATAAGAAAGCAATCATTAACAATAATCACACACACCAAAAATGCGCTCTCTCTCTCTCTAGATATATATATATTGTTCATCACATTATAAAAGAGTAAAGGGGAAAAAAGACTTTTCGAAGCTGCCAAAGCAAATCTTGCCACTGCTAAAAGAGTCACTCTATCACAAGAAGACAGCAGAAAGTCAGTTCTTGCAACTCACACCAGTTGACTTTCCCCTTGAGGTGGATCTAACATTTTTACTTGCAATCACAGAGAAGACAAGGCAAATAATAATAATAATAATGATGATGATGATGATGATGATGATAATGTGGCCTATTCTTCACAAAGCCACTGCTACAAGGATAAAGTCTCAGATCATAGTTTTAAAAATAAAATAAAAAACCCTTCTAAAACTACAGTTTTCATTAGTTGCATTCTGAGCCAATTTAAAACAGTTCAAAGAGTAGGGCAATTATGTTTAATTTGTATAATTGATGGGAGTCACTGAATTTCATTTCTGTTGGTTCAGATTCTTTTTGTAGTGCAGAAACATGCGCAGCCCCCTGCTTTGAGATGGGCTTCTCGACTGGGACTACATGAAATCTCTGGCTCTACAACCCAGATCTGACAATGTGGGCCGTGGATTATAAAAAGGAGCTGCCCCTCCGCCCTTCGGCTTTTGATGTATTTTGTCTATGAAGTCATTTGAATTTTTTTTACACTGTGTTGAGAGGATGAAGAGTTGAACTTAGGCACTCATCCATACTTCTGCTTGTCCCGAACTTTACTGCTGAATTGGAGCAATCGATAATTGGGTTTTCCTGCGGATGGATGTTTGCTCCAGTTCAGCGCTAAAGAGCAGGTTTTCCTGGGGAAAGTGGCTGGGCAAATGGAAAACCCCTCAGACTCATGCTTTCTAGGCAGAAGTGTGGGTGAGTCCCTAGTCTAGCAGCCTGAGTGTCTCGTGCTACGTGTGTAATGAAATTTCAGTTGTCTTGTGGGGCCTGGAAATACGTTAACCATATACAGTGGTACCTTGGGTTACAGACGCTTCAGGTTACAGACTCTGCTAACCAAGAAATAGTACCTTGGATTAAGAACTTTGCTTCAGGATGAGAACAGAAATCATGCTGTGGCGGCGCGGCGGCAGCAGGAGGCCCCATTAGCTAAAGTGGTGCTTCAGGTTAAGAACAGTTTCAGATTAAGTACGGACCTCCGGAACGAATTAAGTACTTAACCTGAGGTACCACTGTACTTGGAGTCTCCTGTTTGTAGGATAGAAGCAAACACCAGACTTCTCTGGTATAAATTTCCCATTACAGTCATACCTCGTGTTACAGATGCTTTGGGTTACGCATTTTCAGGTTACGGACGCACTGAAACCCGGAAGTACCAGAATGGGTTACTTCTGGGTTTTGGCGCTCGCGCATGTGCAAAATCACAAAAATCACGTTTTGCGCATGCGCAGAAGCGTTGAATTGCGACCTGCGCATGCGCAGACTCAGCACTACAGGTTGCGAACGCTGCGGGTTGCGAACGTGCCTCCCAGACATATTACGTTTGCAACCCGAGCGTCCACTGTATCTAGCTAGTGTAGGATCACCTTAACCCTTGGGGGATGCACTCTGTTTTGGGGGAGAAATGTAAAAAATGCAGCGTCTGCAGTACAGTAATCAGCATGTCTCAGCTATCAAGATACCTGGCTCAGTGTACCCTAATAATTTTGGTACGCCCATGATTGAGTTGATCAGGATGTGTGCGTTTTGTTGGAAGCTGCCCAGAGTGGCTGGGGAAACCCAGCCAGATGGGCGGGGTATAAATAATAAATTATTATTATTATTAGGGAAGCCCAGTGGGGCAGGGAGACTAGGCTGCTTGCACACCTTCACAGGTGAGCAGCAACAACTAATGAAAAGACAAAAGGACCTGAGACCCCCTCTCTTAGGTGTGGCCACCACTTAATTGCTGGCAGAGTTTCTGTATCATTAACAGGGGTGAGGGATAATCCTGTTGCTACACATACAAAAAAAGGCCTGTCCATTTAATTTCTGCTGGTGGAGCACATGATGATGCGGAGTACATCAGCTGGCAACCTGATCCCTAGGCATGCCCTCACATGGTGGAAATGCATAGCCCACACGATGGCTTGGCCTGCTCTCGGTGTTCATTGCCAAACCCCTGTTTTTGTCTTCAGGGGAGGCTATGGTTTCTGGCTCTCTGGACTTTTGCCCCCATTCCAGGCTTTATACTCCCCATCCTCTGTGCAGAGCAGGAGGAATACCCCCTGGCAACCCAGTGCCAACGGAGAATATATATTTAAAAAGCCCAGCTTCAGGAATAGCTCTGCTTTTCTGCCTGGAGAAGCCATTGATGAAGGCTGTAAGGGGGTGGGTGGGGGGTGGGAGCCACTGGCTGTTTCCCACCCTGCCCCCTCTGTGAAAGGGAAGCATCCCATCAAAGCCGAAGGGAGGCTGGGCAGGGAGAGTTGCTTAGAATGGGAGAGGATAAGCTATTCTTGGTGCTTTTATGAGAAAGCCTGGTGCAAGACACAACAAGTGCATTCCTGCCGCGCTTCTGCCAGGCTCCCTGGGAACGGACTGTGGCTGGGCAAGGCATGGGCTTGGCCACCTCTTTTGTCCCCACAGCTTCCAATTTCGGGCCAAGCCAGCGCTGTGTGCTCAGCTTTCTTTTCTCGGCAGCGGCCGCTACGGGCTCCCTTGGCTACCAGGCCGTGAACTCTTGTCCCAGCCAGGGGACCGACAATCTGGGGTGTTGATCTTGTTTAGCATGCCGTTCAAGGGGCAGTGAGCTTCTCTGTGAACCAGGGATGGGTAAATCTGTCAACCTTTGTTTCTCTCATTTCTTCGTTTTTTTCCAGCCTTAAGCTCAGTTCTGCAAAACGCTTTGCTGTTTTGTTTTCAAAGGCCCCCGGGAAAATTCATTGGCATTCGAGTGCGAATTTATCCTGATCTACTTGCCTGTGAAATTGTGCCTATTATACACATTTTTTGCAAAGCAATTTCCCCTAGTTTTGTATGTATGAATTTTCATGCACATGTTGCCCCTGTCCATGCATTCCCCCCCCCGCCCCCCGTGTATTCCTTGGCTAGACAGCTGCAAAATTTGGAGACGTACGAATTTCAGAGGCGAACGTTGTTTCCGTTCGCGAATTGTTTTGGAAACTGCAAATGAAGTAGGTTCTCCGTTAAATGCAAACCAAATCAAGTTTCTTACACTGAGCAGACTGGAGCAGAAATGAGCAATGGGCACAATTCTAGCCACTCCCAATATCTGCAAGTTTCCCTCTGCAGAGCTCTGGCAACTGGCAGGTGCAGTGAGAGACCAAACCCTCATCCAGAATGCTGTGGGCCACAGAAAAAGTCAGATTTTAGACCAAAGCTACATATTGTTGTTGTTTAGTCATTTAGTCGTGTCCGACTCTTCGTGACCCCATGGACCAGAGCAGGCCAGGCACTCCTGTCTTCCACTGCCTCCTGCAGTTTGGTCAAACTCATGCTGGTAGCTTCGAGAACACTGTCCACCCATCTCGTCCTCTGTGGTCCCCTTCTCCTTGTGCCCTCCATCTTTCCCAATATCAGGGTCTTTTCCAGGGAGTCTTCTCTTCTCATGAGGTGGCCTCAGCTTCAGGATCTGTCCTTCCAGTTAGCACTCCACCCAAGATGGACAGGTCATAGTGGAGAGTTTCGACCAAACGTGATCCACCTGGAGCAGGAACCGGCAAGCCACTCCAGTACCCCTGCCAAGAAAACTCCATGGACAAAGACAACAGGCATATAAAAGCTACATATACACCGCACATTTAAAGCACACCCACCTACCCCAAGAACCTTGGAACCGTGTTTTGTTAAAGCACTGGGAATTGTAGTTCTCTGAAAGGTAAACTACAGTTCTTGCAATTCCTTTGGGGGGGGTGTATGGTGTGTGTGTGTGTGCAGCTCCTGTATCTAGCTTTCACCTCCCAGACAACCATCTCCCCAAGGCAGGCGAGGCTGGACTGGGAGGGCCGCTGAGGCCTTGTATTTCGGTCTCCCCCCGAAGAAGAATCCTCCAGCCTTTTTCACCCCTTCCAGCGAGCCGGCCCTGGGCCTTTGCTTGCAGCAGGGCAGGCTGTGTGTGCCGCGGAGCAGAAAGAATAGGCTGTGACAATTCCCGTAGCTTAGAGACCGTTAGTCCCTTTCAGAGTCCCGGCTCCATTTGAATAAAAATCAGTCTCCAGCCCCGCTTGCCCACACTGAGAGAGGAGGGGTTGGGGGAGAGCCGGGTTATTTTTACCCACCGCCAGTTAAGTTCGCACGGCCGGAGTTCTCACGCGGCTTGGACAGCGGCAGACTTGGGACTCTTGGTCGACGGGGCAGGAGTGGACTTTCTTGCAGGGCTGTGGGTGGGTCGGGGCGAGCCAGGGAGAGCGGAAGACATCAACCTGGCTTCTTGCTCCCCAAATCTCCCGTGCCCCTTATTTGAAGCAACAACAGATGCATCAGTACCTGAAGAGGCCAGGGCATCCCCAGCCCCGAGGTGAGTATTATAAGGGCATCTCTGAGGAGGATGGGGGCTGCTGTGTCTGCTTGAACAATATTCTCCCCCCCCCCCCGATCAAATCTGCCTCCAGGGCAGGAGGAACGAGGTTTCTGCTGTCGAGGGTGTCGCAGAGGTGATGGCTGTGTGCTTTCTACGTAACTCGCAAGGGTGTGTTTGTGTGTGTGGTGGAAATTTGGAACTGCCCGCTATGTAGAGTTTGGTGTTGTGGAGTTCCTGAGTGTGTTCACGAGCTGCAGGGAATTTTGGAGAGGGAAGTGGTGGGGTCTGTGTCTAGAGCAGTGTTTCCCAACATTTTATTTGGCTATGCCCCTCCTAAGCATCTCTAAAATCCTGGTCGTCGTCCCCGCTCCCCGTGACGTATAATTCTTATTCTTCAAAAAGTGAACTCCTATTCATGTGGAGGAAGCCTAAAAGGCCATTCACTGTTAATAAGTCATTCTCGAATTGCCCCCCCCCCTTAAAAATCAAATTGCCCACTGTGGGGCATGTGCCCCATGTTGGGAACTACAGGTCTGGAGGGAGAACTTGCAGCTGCCCCCCCCAAAAAAACCCTTTAATTCCTCACAACTGTGTATACGTCATACATTCAAAGCACATGGCTTTCCTCTCCTGAGATTGGTGGTTTATCCCTTGCAGAGTGACGGTCCCCAGCACCTCTAACAAACTACAGTTCCCGGGATTCTTGGTGCTTTAAATGTATGCTGCGTATTCCCTTATTCTTCAGTTGCATCTTCATGACCCAACCTTCTTCTCACGTGATTTCTCTTCCCTCAACACTTGGACACACAACTGCCTTTTCCTTTGACCACTTCCGCTTCTGCCCAGCCCTGCAAACTCTTCTTCTACTTCTCACACGTAAAATACCTGCTGAATTTGTTCCCCTGAGGGCACAAACAAACGAGCCCACATGACACAATTTGCAGGTAAATCTGTACAGATTTTAAAATCACGTGTGGTCCAGCAGCGAATTAGTCTGAACTGGGAGGGGGGGGGGTTTGAGGTAACAACCACCCAAAAACTTGGCACCCATCTGCACCACACATTTAAAGCACCATGACATCACTTTAAGTGGTCATGGCTTCTCCCAAAGAATCCTGGGAATTCTAAGGATGTTGAGGGTTTGTTAGGAGACCCCCCTAATAATAATAATAATAATAATAATAATAATAATAATAATTTATACCCCGCCCGTCTGGCAGGGCTTCCCCAGCCACTCTGTGCGGCTTCCAACAAAATATTAAAATACAGTAACACATCAAACATTAAAAGCTTCCCTAAACATTCCTCTCACATAAACAATAATTCCCTGGGAAGAGGGATTGACCGTTAAACCACTCTGAGAATGGTCGCTTTGTGAGGGGAAGAGGGGTCTCCCAATAATTCTCAACAGCGCCCTTAACAAACCACAGTTCCCAGAATTCTTTGTGGGGGAAGCCATGACTGTTTAAATATGATACTGCTTTAGATTTACAGTGCAGATGGGGCCCAGATTGGCAGACCCCCCCCCAGATCAGGCCTCAAGGCCTTCTAGAAGATATTTCTCTGGGCCACCCTTAGCCCAGTTGGTGCCCTCCAGAAGTTTTGGACACTACAGCACCTATCTTCCCAAAACGCTGCCTGTACTGGGGATGATGTTCTTCCAAACATCTGGAGGGGAACCAGCTTGGGGGAAGGACTGCTTCTGGGCTCTTTGCCTCATAACCTAACCCCACCCATCCTATACTCAAGCCCAAGGGTCAGCAACCTTTTTCAGCCATGGGCCGGACCACTGTCCCTCAGACCGTTCAGGTGGCTGGACTATATTTTGGAAAAAAATATGAAAGAATTCCTATGCCCCACAAATAACCCAGAAATGCATTTTAAATAAAAGGACACATTCTACTCATGTAAAAATACCAGGCAGGCCCCACAAATAACCCAGAGATGCATTTTAAATAAAAGGACACATTCTACTCATGTAAGAACACCAGGCAGGCCCCACAAATAACCCAGAGGTGCATTTTAAACAAAGGACACATTCTGCTCATGTAAAAACACGCTGATTCCTGGACCGTCCGCAGGCCGGATTGAGAAGGTGATTGGGCCGCATACGGCCTTAGGTTGTCTACCCCGGCTCAAGCCATTTATACGCCTGATATTTCCCTCTCATGAATGAAGCCCTAGCCCTTCAGAGGTCCTTCCCACTACAGTGGTACCCCGGGTTACATACGCTTCAGGTTACATACGCTTCAGGTTACAGGCTCCGCTAACCCAGAAATAGTGCTTCAGGTTAAGAACTTTGCTTCAGGATGAGAACAGAAATCGTGCTCCAGCAGCGCAGCAGCAACAGGAGGCCCCATTAGCTAAAGTGGTGCTTCAGGTTAAGAACAGTTTCAGGTTAAGTACGGACCTCCAGAACGAATTAAGTACTTAACCCGAGGTACCACTGTAGTATGTAATATATCCACAATGTTTTTTGAGGGAGGGAGAAAGGGGACAACCCTATTGAGCTACCTGGTTTTTTTCTCTCTCCAGGTTGAAACTTCCCATGCTGCCCATGGCACTACTTCTCTACTTGCTTCTCTGGGGTAAGTGCTCAGACTTGGGACACATCCCTGTGAGGATGGATATTATTATTATTATTATTATTATTATTATTATTATTATTATTATTATTATTCCTGGGAGTGTAACAGCTTGTCCACAGTTCTGCTTTGGCCCTTGCCTGGAAAGCACGGGTCTGAGTGGTTTTCCATTTGCCCCACGGCCTTTCACCGGGAAAACCCTCTCTTGGCCACTGAATCAGAACAAACGTCATTCCGTGGAAAACCAAATGGATATTTGTGGCAATTTGGCAGTAAAGATCAGCTTTCCCCGGAGGAGAGCAGCAGGACAAGCGGAAGTGTGGGCAAGCCCTCAGTCTTTTTACATGCGGTTGCCTGCTAATCTGAAGGTGGTTTCAGTTCCATTGACTACATATTGAACAAGAGTACCACATTTCCAAATACAGTGGTACCTCTGGTTGCGAACGGGATCCATTCCGGAGGCCCATTTCGCAACATGAAAAGAGTGCAACCCTCAGCGGCTTGTCTGTGCACGCACGGGTTGTGATTCGCCGCTTCTGCGCATGTGTGTGATGTCAATTTGTGCTTCTGCGCATGTGCGAGCGATGAAACCCGGAAGTAACCTTTTCCCGGTATTTCTGGGTCGCCATGGGACGTAACCTGAAAGAACGTAACATGAAGCGGACGTAACATGAGGCATGACTGTAAAGGGCTTTCCCATGCTCCTTATTTGCCTATAAAGAAGGTTTTTGTTTTTGCTGGGGCAATTTCTCCTTCCATTGCAGCACTACAATCCTGAATTCTGCGCACCTGCAGGTCCCTGGGGGACCCTAGGGCAGGCGGAGTAGTTAAGGGCATACCTGCGCCATGCATTTAAAACACATCCAAGACAGGTTTGTAACACAAAAGAATCTTAGGAACTGCAGATTGTTACGGGTGCTGGGAACTATGAGGAGGAACTATGATATTATTTGAGGGAAGTTCTGTGTTCTAAACCTACGATGGATGTGTTTTAAATGCATTGTGTGCTCTGAGCCAGCTGGGATAGCTCAGTCGGTAGAGCTTTAAACTCAGGTTTGTGGGTTTGAGCCCCATGTTGGGCAAAGGTTTGCTGCATTGCTGGGGGCTTCGACTAGATGACCCTTGTGGTCCCTTCCAGTGCTGGAGTTCTAAGATTCCAGGATTCCACCTGTTTTGCATGTGGAAGGTCCTAGGTTCAAAGCTTGGCATCTCTAAGTTAGAGCAACTAGGTAGCAGGTGATGAGAAAGACGTTTACCTGAGACCCTAGAGGTGGCTCCTTAAACCTAGGTTACGGGCGCAACAGCAGAAAGGCTAGGTGCGCTTTTTAAATATACAGTCATACCTTCATGTTAACGTTCTTTCAGGTTATGTCCCATGGCAACCTGGAAGTACCGGAAAAGGGTTACTTCCAGGTTTTGCCGCTCGTGCATGCATAGAAGCGCAAAATGACATTATGCACATGCGCAGAAGCGGCGAATCACAACCTGCACGTGCGCAGACGCGCCGCTGTGGGTTGCGCTCTTTTCATGTTTCAAACAGGCCTCTGGAACGGATCCCGTTCACAACCAGAGGTACCACTGTATAACAAGAAAATGAATGAACTGCAGCTAAAACATTGTGTTCATTTTTCACATGGTCTAGTATCCTTCCCCTGCCCACCCCACCCCCTAATATTCTTAAGAGGGTCTTTTCTCCAGTCTTCAGAGAGTAGCTGGAAGCGGGGAGGCAGAAAAAGGTCCTCCTTTCCTTCCCCTCTGCAGTTTTAATCTGAAATCTTAGGTGTGGTACTGCGCCCAGAGCTCAGAAAATGCTCAAGCTAATGAAATTCCCTGTTGCAAAATGCGCCTGGAACAATAGGAGTTTCGAACACTGTTTACTTGCCCTCCCCCCCAAATAATATTTTATTCAAGTTGGCACCCCTGCCAGGGTGGGTTTATTCTTTAGAGACCCCAAGTTTTTCATGTGCCATATAGGCTTTCTTGACTGACTGTGACTGGCATGTGCATATTCTCTGCCAGTGTTTGGTGAGGGCCTGCGTGTGGCAGCATGCCTAGACGCGTGCTGTGCACAAGTCATGCCGGAAGGCCCATCCTGAACGAGACACATCAGGGACTGGTAGGAACAAGGCAAGGCCGAACCTGCACCAGCTCGGCAACAAAAGATACTTTCTACCTACTGCAGTCTCCGCTCCACACCTCCCTGTAGCGACCTGTGCCCAGAAATATTCCCAAAAGCCATGCGCAAGTGATGGTGGTATAACTCCTATTGATCAGTGACTAATTTCCAAAAAAGCTTGTGGTTCAAAGCTTCCTTAAAGCCCTATTCATGATCCCAGATGCATGGTGTTAGATTGTGGTTAACATGTGGCAGAGGCACTCTGCTAGTGTTGAGGCAAATTATTTTCAATTGCTTTCTATGTTGCAGGGCAGTCATGCTGGTAGTGCCTGAACTCATGCCCTTCTACAAGCTTCCTTGATCATCTATCTATCTATTATCTATCTATCTATCTATCTATCTATCTATCTATCTATCTATCATCTATCTATCTATCTATCTATCTATCTATCTATCTATCTCTATCATCTATCTATCTATCTATCTATCTATCTATCTATCTATCTATCATCTATCTATCTATCTATCATCTATCTATCTATCTATCTATCTATCTATCTATCTATCTATCATCAGTGTGGTGGCAGTGTGGTGTAGTGGTTAAGAGCAGTAGACTCGTAATCTGGTGAACCGGGTTCACATCCCCGCTCCTCCACATGCAGCTGCTGGGCAACCTTGGGCTAGTCACACTTGAAGTCTCTCAGCCCCACTCACCTCTCAGAGTGTTTGTTGTGGGGCAGGAAGGGAAAGGAGATTGTGAGCTGCTTTGAGACTCCTCAGGGTAGTGATAAAGCAGGATATCAAGTCCAAACTCTTCTTCATCTCTCTCTCTCTCTCTCATCTATCATCTCTATCTATCATCTATCTATCTATCATCTATCTATCATCTATCTATCATCTATCATCTATCTCATCTATCTATCATCTAGCTAGCTAGCTATATCTATCCATTTATCATCTATCTATCTATCTATCTATCTATCTATCTATCTATCTATCTATCTATCATCTATCTATCTATCTATCATCTCTCTATCTATCTATCATCTCTCTATCTATCTATCATCTATCTATCTATCTATCTATCTATCATCTCCCACCTTATCTCATAATCCAATATCTCTCTAGGAGCTTATGATGATGAGGTATTCTTCAGAAATATTCATTTATCTATAACACACAAGAGCAGTTCAGAAGAACAGGATACTCCGTTTAGTCCCAAGATTTGCTGTCATTAGCAGAGTTTCACTCTGGGACATGTAAAGCAATAAAATGAAAAGGCAGCAATTGAACATGTGCAGAGTGCCTTCCCCTCCTTAGTCACAGCTAGCTCCATGGTGGGCAGCGTTTTTTACTAGGCTGTTCAGCACTGAAGTTCATGTGCAGAAACGAAACGGGGAACAGGTTTCACATCAGCGTTGTTATCAGCATAAATCTCCCCTGCTTAATATTTACACATATCTATGAATGAGCAGAAAGGCATTCGATGGCAGAAAGTGTGGCTTGCAGGCAGTCTTGAAACACACCCCGACAGACACACACATACATACACCTTGTGTCTTTTTAAAGAAATATACTACACGGTGTGCCCAGGTGAGGCTGCTTCGGAATGTTTCCAGGACACGCCTTTGGCTGGACAGCCATATTTTGTGGTTAATCATTGGCAGGAGTTGTGGTAGGAGAAGGGGCAGCGCTTGCTGGACTGAACCGGATATGCAACATGCGGAGGGCAGCCGCACCCTGCTGGAACATGTGCATGAGAATATAAACATAAGGAGAGGCCTGCGGGATCAGGCCAAAAGGCCCACGTCGCCCGCCATCCTGATATCACAGCGGCAAACCACGATCCAGAACAGCTCTTACTGTCAGGAAGTTCTTCCTAATGTTTAGGTGGAATCTTCTTTCTTGTAGTTTGGATCCATTGCTCCGTGTCCGCTTCTCTGGAGCAGCAGAAAACAACCTTTCTCCCTCCTCTATGTGACATCCCTTTATATATTTGAACATGGCTATCATATCACCCCTTAACCTCCTCTTCTCCAGGCTAAACATGCCCAGCTCCCTTAGCCGTTCCTCATAAGGCATCGTTTCCAGGCCTTTGATCATTTTGGTTGCCCTCCTCTGGACACGTTCCAGTTTGTCAGTGTCCTTCTTGAATTGTGGTGCCCAGAACTGGACACAGTACTCCAGGTGAGGTCTGACCAGAGCAGAATACAGATGTCTATGGCTAGTGGCCGTTTTGGCTAGTGGCCATGGGTGGTCTTACCCGCCATGTTTGTTGACATGGGATGGGCAAAGGCTTGTCCTCCAGAGCTCCTCTGGCTTGGGGGACTGCTTTACACGTGACCAAGGCTGGCCTGAGACATTTTGGTGCCTGAAGGGAAGAACATACAGTACACACACAGAGGTCAGACTGGTAGTTGAACCTTCCTTCAACACAGGCAAAACAACAACGGCTTCCCCCACACCTGGGGCAGCAGACAGCAAAATTGGCACCAGGCAGGCTAGCTAGGGACACGGGTGGCGCTATGGATTAAACCACAGAGTCTAGGACTTGCCGATCAGAAGGTCGGTGGGTCGAATCCCTGTGATGGGGTGAACTCCTGTTGCTCAGACCCTGCTCCTGCCAACCTAGCAGTTCAAAAGCACGTCAAAGTGCAAGTAGATAAATAGGTACCGCTCCGGCGGGAAGGTAAACGGTGTTTCCGTGCGCTGCTCTGGTTCACCAGAAGCGGCTTAGTCATGCTGGCCACATGACCCAGAAGCTGTACACTGGCTCCCTCGGCCAATAAAGCGAGATGAGCACCGCAACCCCACAGTCGGTCACGACTGGACCTAATGGTCAGGGGTCCCTTTACCTTTACCTAGGCTAGCTTAGGGGTCTCAAGGAAAATGTTGAAGAGGGAGTGTGCACTGCCGCCGCCCATCCCACATCCCTTGCTCTGCCTAATGGTAGGGCCGGCCCACTTTACAAAGTTCCTGAATGCAAGTGCGACCGTAGCATTCATTTATCCAGCTTCTTCGTGAACCTAGTTTTGTTCTTTGCTCCCAAGACCGTTCCCAGGAGACGCCAGCAGTCGCTGTGAGAGCTGTAGCTCTTGGACCGGATCAGGGACTCGTAGCCTGCTTCCGCTTTCTCCTTAACAGTATTCCTTTGACAAAGTCCTCCTGACGCGATCATCAGCGCTAGGATCCTGGCACATGCAGACCTTCTCTCCTCTCCCCCCCCCCCACTTTCTGATCCGAAGACTGACAGGGTCGTAGGCAGGTCAGCCCCGTGTTCTGCCAGTACTAACAAGCACCCTTTGTGCTCTGGTATTAAAAGCTTCAGCATGTGACAGACGCTTTCTGCTGACGCTGAGGAGGAGAAGGTGTAGCAAGAAAGGGAAGGGTTCTTATTTCACCAGTCTCAAGTGCTGCTTCATGCGACTGGGTGAGCAACGAGGGGGGGGGGTACCATCAAAAGGTGGAAGGACCACTCGCGAGCTTCCATGACAGATTTAGGTCAGGTCCTCGGGGTGCAGTGTTACAGTGTTTACACACACACACACACACACACCTCACAAGAGGATGGTATGAACAGGTGCCACATCTTTCTCGCAACTTGTTTCTGAAATGTAATATTTGGGATGAGAGCTAGGACGCATCCACAACATACCATACCATTATGCCACTATAACATCCATTGCTTCCCCTAAAGAACCCTGGAACTGTACCTCAGCACCCTCAACTAAAATACAGAGCCCAGGATATTTTTAGGAGGAAGCCATAAATGTTAAAGCAGTACAGTGGTACCTCAGGTTAAGTACTTAATTCGTTCCATACTTAACCTGAAACTGTTCTTTAGCTAATGGGGCCTCCTGCTGCCGCCGCGCCACCGGAGCCCGATTTCTGTTCTTATCCTGAAGCAAAGTTCTTAACCTGAAGCACTATTTCTAGGTTAGCGGAGTGTGTAACCTGAAGCGTATGTAACCTGAAGCGTATGTAACCTGAGGTACCACTGTATAAAAAGGTAAAGGTAAAGGACCCCTTTTGCACCTGGGATCAATAATAGGATGTCCATTATTCTCTCTACTTAATAATGATAAACTAACTTTTTATAAAAATAGTAACATCCCATGCCAGCCTTAGTTTGGTTTGGTTTAGTTTTCATTTGTTTGTCTCATGAAGTTCTTTTCGATATTTAGGTTATACAGATCAAACTCAATAAAAAATACTTTAGAAAAAGAAAGAATACGATGCCCAGCAGTTCTCCTGATCTTGCTTTGGGCTGTGAGCTCTTGAATAGTGTTCCTAATCTAAGGGCTTAGTTGCCTGCTCAGTTTTACTGAAATATCCCAAATGTATTCATGGAGATCATCTGAGGTGTTTGAATATCAAATTAAAAACGGAGAAGAAAGTTTAGAGGCTCTCGACTGTTTAATCTCAAGATCCACAATCATGTCATTCTGCCATGGGCATTATCTTGGAGACAAAATGGTGGGGGAGATTAGAATTTTCACATAATGCGTGCCACAAACAGCCTTCGATTCTCTGAAGTGTATGAGTGGTTTGGAGATGAGAATCTGGGGGGACAATCAGTCCTTCCCAGAGTTGGTTCTCCCACTCCCCCTTTTCATATGGAGACAGCAGGTACCATAGACAATTACTTTATAGACCATGTTCCAGATCTTTGCTTAGATGGGAAAAGTTAGATGTACAGTGGTACCTCGGGTTACATACGCTTCAGGTTACATACGCTTCAGGTTACAGACTCCGCTAACCCAGAAATAGTGCTTCAGGTTAAGAACTTTGCTTCAGGATAAGAACAGAAATCGGGCTCCTGGCGGCGCGGCGGCAGCAGGAGGCCCCATTAGCTAAAGTGGTTCTTCAGGTTAAGAACAGTTTCAGGTTAAGAACGGACCTCCGGAATGAATTAAGTACTTAACCCGAGGTACCACTGTACTGGCTTTTCTTTCCATAAGGAAAACAGGATAACATTTCTGTGGTGCCTTCTGTGCAGCTTTTACATGCAGCCCTGATACCTATTTTAGGAACTTTTGACAGTGGACAGATCATAAGCTCCTAAAACAGCCTCGGGCTTTTTCTTTCTTTCCTGGCCAGTCCGGTTAGCCGATGCTCAGGGCACAGAATCGCCCGACCTGTTGTACCATGGCTGTTCAGAGGGGAGCTGCTACCCAGCCACAGGGAATCTTCTCATTGGGAGGACGCAGAGGTTGAGCGCCACATCCACGTGTGGCCTGGAGGGGCCTCAGGAGTACTGCATCGTCAGCCATTTGCAGGTAATGCCACATGGGTGTTGGCCAAGGGTGAAAGAGTGGGGAGGGAGAAGATGATGAAAAGGGAGCTGTCAACTTGCTGGCCAGAGGGTCAATTGCGGTTCCGGGATGTCTGTGTAAGGTACATTCAGAATTGTTACAGGAAAGACGTGTTGGGCCTGCTGCAGCAATAGGAAAACCCTGTGATTTTTTAACTGCAGGGGGCGGAAAGACTTTTGAGGCAATGTTCCAGTAGCCGTTCATAACCCTTCCTATCCAGGAAAGCCCAGTAACTCTCCTTGCGTGGACAGGCCCTGTCTAGAGCCTGAGAAGATGTTCAACGGCCCAAAGAGCAAAAGGTTTTCTGTTCTAGAAGACTTAGAAGCTCCTAACAATATAGCCCAGCGTTTAACCAACGGAACCTAGTCTATTTTCAAAGCCTGGTTACATCAGGGTGTCAGGTCACACCTACGCCATACATTTAGAATGCGTTCAAGCTCTGTGAGGAAAAAACTACATTCCCTGAGATTCTTTGGCAGAAGGCATTGCTTTAAATGATTGTAGAATGTTTTTTTTAAATGTACAGTTGCAGGAGTGTCCTCCGTCTTTAAGACAGTGGGCTTATCCACTCTACTTTTTCCAGGCACGGTCTGCACTTTAAAGCTCTGTGTTTGAGTGCCCCCCCCTATTTTTGCTCTGGAACTTCCCCTGCAGAAGTCTGCTCTTTAAAGCTCAATTGGAGCAAATGGCAATCTGCGCAAAATCCAAATTGACGTTTGCTCTGGTTGAACGCTAAAGAGCGGGTTTTCAAAGGAAAGCTTCGGAGCAGAAACTTAATAATAATAATAATAATAATAATAATAATAATAATAATAATAATTTATTATTTATACCCCTCCCATCTGGCTGGGCCTCCCCAGCCACTCTGGGCGGCTTCCATAGAAACCAAAAATACACTAAAATATCACACATTAAAAACTTCCCTGAACAGGGCTGCCTTAAGATGTCTTCTGAATGTCAGGTAGTTGTTTATCGCTTTGACATCTTAAAAACAAGAAATCACTCAGACACAGAGCTTTTAAGCACAAACCTGTGCCTGGAAACAGTTGGGCAAAAGAAAAGTGTATCCACCAAGTGTGGCTTGTGTCTTCCTCTAATTATAGGTGATAATAACTATCAGTGAGGGAGGGGGGTATTCTCTGAGGATTCCCCGCCCCCGCCCCCCGACCAATGGCATTTAGAGTTCTTTTAAAATTATTTATTTCATTTTCCTTCTCACTTAAGCTATTTTACAACCGATAACCAGATTACCAAAAAAAAAAAAAAAAAACCTACGGGAAGAAGCAAACAGAAGAGATAATAATACAAAACAAGAAGGATGTAACTAAAGTAGAATCCTACTGACCTATCACCCTTTAAAAACCAAGATTTCCAAATGTTGACAACCGTCCAGACACATAGGTTTAATGCAATCACTGAAAAATATATAGCTGGTGACCATAGAGAATTTGTAAAAAAAAACCAAAAAACAGAAACAAGAAACAAACAAACATTGTCTCTGAGGATTTACATAGTGCTTTTGTTGATTTTCAATCCACTTTGGCTCTCTTGACAGGACTCTGAGAAATGCTTCCTTTGTGACTCTCGCTCCCCGTCCCTGCGCGAGAGCCACCACATTGAGAATGTCATCTACCTGAGTGGTCGGGATGGTGAGCAGACCTGGTGGCAGTCTGAGAATGGTAAGTGTCAATAATAAGAGATTCAGAGTCCTTTTCCTTGGACCTTACTAAATGCACCAGTGGAGATTGAGTTACTCTTCTGTTCTGAAAAAGCTGGACTTCCTGTGGCATGGTAAAAGACAAACCACACAGAAAATGCAGGATGACAATGATTCGACAATGGTTTTGTGTGGGATGCCCTGGAAAAAAGTGAAGAAAGCATTGCAAGTCCACATTAAATATCTAGTGTGGGAATACTCAAATATGCTCTAATGTTCAAAAGGCCAGAACGTGCCCAGCCCCAATCACTGCAGGCAGGCAGGACGCGGGTGGCACTGTGGTCTAAACCACTGAACCTCTTGAGCTTGCTGATCGGAAGGTCGGCAGTTTGAATCTGTGTGACGGGGTAAGCTCCCGTTGCTCTGTCCCAGCTCCTGCCAACCTAGCAGTTCGAAAGCACGCCAGTGCAATTAGATAAATAGGTACCGCTGTGGCGGGAAGGTAAACAGCATTTTCGTGCTCTCTGGCACTCGTCACAGTATTCCGTTGTGCCAGAAGTGGTTTAGTCATGCTGGCCACATGACCCGGAAAGCTGTCTGCTGACCAATGCCAATTCCCTTGACCTGAAAGTGAGATGAGTGCCGCAACCCCATAGTCACCTTTGACTGGACTTGACCGTCCAGGAATGCTTTACCTTTACCATTGCAGGCCAGTACATTTCCGAGCACAATTCAAAGTTTTGGTGTCGAGCTTTCAAGCCCTATATGGCTCCATAGCTGAAGGATCGTCTCCACCCCTATTGTTTAGCCTGGACACTGAGGTGGGTGGGTGGGGTTTAACCAGGAAACAGGCTTGAGTGTAAAGGGTTAAGCTCCCATGCCTCAGTCCCAAACCAGAGATGCATTCATAAATCTCTATTATAACGTGCAGTTTTTATCAGGAGATTATGAGCCTAGGCGATGTTATTTCAGAGCCTTGAAGGTAGCATGGCAGAGCTGTTTTTGTCTGCAGGCACACATATCCTTTCTTTTTTTGGTCCTGCTATGGTCTCTTCCTAAACAGGTTTTTCAGGATTTGAAGCCTCAGGAAGTAGAACTCAGAAACCAAAGCAGAACGGGGAAAATGAGAGCAGAGAAGCAGGGGGAATAAGTACAAACAATAATAATACCTCTTTTATACCATTTCCAAGGTTGGGATCAAATGTATCTAAGCCAAGCCTCACTCACTCAAGGCATAGGAGTGAGCAAACCTACAGGGGAAGGCGGGAACATAAGTTACCATACCTTACTTGATCTGCCTGGTAGGCCAGTACCCATCATTGGCCAAATTGGACAGGTAGGCGGGGCAGCCCACCTGTCAATCGCCTGACATCGCAATGACATCAGTTGAGAATGATTGGGAGTTCAAAGCACCAGGCTGGGTTTGCAAAGAGCCTGTGCTGCCGAAGAGCCACTGATCACCGCTTATCAGCTGACGGAAAGTAGCTTGAAGACTGCTTTCTGCAGGGATCAGCTATGCAAGTGGTGGCCAAACTTGGCCCTCCAGCTGTTTTGGGACTACAATTTCCATCATCCCTGACCACTGGTCCTGTTAGCTAGGGATGATGGAAGTTGTAGTCCAGAAACAGCTGGAGGGCCAAGTTTGGCCACCACTGAACTATACAGTCAGTTCCTCACAGGGAGCTCAGTGGTGCAGCTGACATAGGATGTCAGGTGTGGGGCAGGTGGGTGTGGTACAGTGGTACCTCAGGTTAAGAACTTAATTTGTTCTGGAGGTCCGTTGTTAACCTGAAACTGTTCTTAACCTGAGGTACCACTTTAGCTAATGGGGCCTCCCACTGCTGCTGCGCCGCCGGAGCACAATTTCTGTTCTCATCCTGAGGTAAATTTCTTAACCCGAGGTACTATTTCTGGGTTAGTGGAGTTTGTAACCTGAAGTGTCTGTAACCTGAAGCGTCTGTAACCCAAGGAACCACTGCACTGTGGTTTAGGGAAAACAGCCTTGCAGGCCAAAATGGGACCCGTATAAGTCTTGCATCAAGGGAAATTTCCTCTCCCACAACGTATTTAAATGAGGGGTGCTCCTGGTCTAACTTCTGTCCTTCTCTCTCACTACCACCACAGGTGTAGAACAGGTCAGCATCTCCTTGGACCTGGAAGCCGAGTTCCACTTTACTCACCTCATAATGAAGTTTAAGGTACTGAGATCTCTACTAAAAGGGTGGAAGCACTGCAATGAATACTGAATGCCTTTATGGGAACTAACAGGAGCACTACTGACAAAATACCCAATAAGCACCGCTACCTCTAATACTAAGACAGCGGTGGCATTCTTTATGTATTTCAGTAGGTACCCTGACTTTCTGCAGGTGACACCAAAGGTGGATAGGTCTCTGTGCCTAACTAGGTGTGGCGTTAAAATAGTGCCAATGGAAGGATTGGCTGCTGATGCAAATAGCAGATTAGTGGAGTGATATTCTTTGGGATTGCAGTAGGGGGAAAGGGTTAGGAATACACCGTATTTTTCGTTCTATAAGATGCACCAGACCACAAGACGCACCTAGTTTTTGGAGGAGGAAAACAAGAAAAAAAATATTCTGAATCTCAGAAGCCAGAACAGCAAGAGGGATTGCTGCACAGTGAAAGCAGCAATCCCTCTTGCTGTTCTGGCTTCTGGGATAGCTGCGCAGCCTGCATTCGCTCCATAAGACGCACACACATTTCCCCTTACTTTTTAGGAGGGAAAAAGTGAGTCTTATAGAGCAAAAAATACGGTAGGTGACTGCTTTTTACTGAGTGAGACTGCTGGGCCATCGAGCTCAGTCCTGTTAGCACACTAATGGGCAGCAGCTTCCCAGAATTTCAAACATGGTTGCCTGCCAGCCCACACCTAGAGATGCCAGGAATGGAACCTGGGACCTTGTGCATATAAAACAGATTCTCTACCACTGAGTTAGAACCCTTCCTTAAATTCCTTCTTGCTCCCTGTGGCAATCCTGATAATTATCAGTGCCCTCCCGCTTTCACAGTGGCTGCTATTTGCATATTTTGTGTGCTAAATGCAAAGTCATGTTTCGCGATATATCTAGTGTGGTGGTAAACCAACAACTAACCTTGGCTTCCATTGGTGGCTAGTTTTGAGAGAAACAAATGCTATGAGCCTGGATCTGGATGACGTGACAAGCCTGTCCCAGAATCCCTGAGGAATGCTGGAGGAGTTGAGATGCTAGAAGCAAAAATTCGCTCACAAGCAAATTAAAATGCGGTCATTCCTCCACTTGCCCATGTGGAATCTGCAGAGCACCTGAAAACTCTCCAAACCTGCAGTGAGCAAACCCAGTCTCTCCTGTTCACAAGCACCTGCCTTGCTTTGCTGAAATGTGTTAGGTTTTTATTTAGAGATACTTTTTTGCGGTTGAGGGGGGCAGATTGGTTGGAGAAGGAACGCTGAAACTCAACTGTCCATTTTGCCCCCCTTTTCTCATGCAGACATTCCGCCCAGCGGCCATGTTGATTGAACGTTCGTCAGATTTCGGGCACAGCTGGAAGGTTTATCGCTACTTTGCCTTCAACTGCTCCAAGCTCTTCCCTGGCGTCCCCATGCAAGTCCCAACACACGTCAACCAGGCGATCTGCGACCAGCGATACTCCGAGATTGAGCCCTCCAGCCATGGCGAGGTCAGTGCTACCCTGCTAAAGTAGGATTAAGGAGCAGAGCCACCTTTACTCCCCCCCCAAAAAACAACAACACAAAAACAAAACAAAATGAGGTTTAGCATTTCACGGCCAGATACTAATCAAAATTTTGTCAAATTCAGGTTTTTAATCTGGGGATGAATTTGGGAAATGCTCAATTCTGTCATATTCTAACATATAGAATAAGAGAACAAGAAGAACATACTTTTAAAGAAGATTGGAAAACATTTATTGAATATATGGGAAATAATTGTGTATGGTTGAAAACACTGGCAGCATTAAGATAAATTCAGCAGTGTAAATAAGTTTTGATGGATGCAATAATGGAAGAGTCTCTTTCAGTTTTGCTAGATGGATACACATGCATAGGGGCCTAACTGGCCAAAATGCCAGAGATCCATAATCGGATCTTTTGTTTTTAAATTGTAGCAAATATCAGCTGTGGGAGGAGAGGAAGGGTTTAACCCTTTCCTCCCAAACAATCCCCCACCCCCAGCTGCTATTTATTCCATTAGGGTAAAAATTGCATGTACATCTTAACCTTTCTCTGTAGGTGATTTTCAAAGTGCTGGATCCGGCGGTGAAAGTTGAGGACCCATACAGCCAGGAAATCCAAGGTACGAATGTAATGAGCAGCAGGGGATGGCATAGAGGTAGGAAAAGCACTTGCCCAACCTCCAGGCAGGTGAATTAATGATTCTTGCCATGAAGAGGAGGGACACGGGTGGCGCTGTGGTCTAAACCACTGAGCCTAGGGCTTGCCAATCAGAAGCTCGGCGGTTCGAATTCCCGTGACGGGGTGAGCTCCTGTTGTTCGGTCCCTGCTCCTGCCAACCTAGCAGTTTGAAAGCACGTCAAAGTGCAAGTAGATAAATAGGTACCGCTCCGGCGGGAAGGTAAACGGCGTTTCCGTGCGCTGCTCTGGTTCGCCAGAAGCGGCTCAGTCATGCTGGCCACATGACCCGGAAGCTGTCTGCGGACAAACGCCAGCTCCCTGGGCCAGTAAAGTGAGATGAGCACCGTAACCCCAGAGTCGTCCGCGACTGGACTTAATGGTCAGGGGTCCCTTTACCTTTACCATGAAGAGAAGGTGCATTGCGGTGCAAATGTACTGGTTGGAATGCTGGATTGGCCTCTGCGGTGTACCTGGACTACATCAGTGGCAGACCTTGGGGCTCTCAAATTTCAGCAACGCCCTGTGCGACACCAAAATTTGCCGCCCCTCGTCTTCCATTCTGCATCATAGTTGCAGTGCCCAGTGCAACTGCACCAGTTGCATGCTTCTAAATCCACCTCTTACTAGGTGACCCTTGCCATTCCTTCCCACTCCACAATTCTATGTACCATGCGCCTCCTGTTAAGCAGCAGGATCTCACCTACCTACCAAAAGATCAGGTAGGCGCCTCTGCTCCCACAGCAACACCTGCTACCAGTAGCAGGGAAAGGGGTTGGCCCTTAGAGGTGGGACTTTTATTGGAGATAAGCACGATCAGAGTTTGAGGGAAATCTTCCAAACATACGGCATCTGGGAGGTGAGATGGGACCATAAAGTCACCATAGCCCTCGGGGAGTGAATGCCAGATGGGAAAGGACCAGGGCAATTAGCACTCAAAGAGAGACAGAAAGAGACTGAGAGGTTGCAGATGGAGGGACTCCGCTGACATCATAACAGCGAAGCTTAGATGCGCAGAGATGATCAACCTTACTGTATGCTTGTGAAACGTGGACCACTTACAAACGCCACCTCCTACTCCTCGAAAGATTCAATCAACGGTGTTGAAATAATAATATTTTTTTATAATTTATACCCCACCCTTCCCGGTTCAGAAAACCGGGCTCAGGGCGGCTAACAACAAATTTAAAACACTTAATTGATGCAACAAAAAACAGCATAAAATACAGTATAAAACGTGAATAACAATAAATTCAGAATTCAAAAATCAATTTAGGGGGAAATTCCATCCAATAAACATTAGATGCTCACCCGGGCTAGCTGGCTAAATTAGTCCTATTTGGGCCAGCGAGGAGACCAGAGGAGAATTAGCTGTGGGATCCCAGGGTGGGTAATCTTCATAAAAAGGGGAGGGGAAGGGAAGGAAGGGGAATAAAAGATCAGGGTAAGTTCAAATTGAAAGCCAGGTGGAATAGCTCTGTCTTACAGGCCCTGCGGAAAGAAGTTAAATCCTGCAGGGCCCTGGTCTCATGGGACAGAGCATTCCACCAGGTCGGAGTCATCACTGAGAAGGCCCTGGCCCTGGTGGAGGATAATCTTCTGACAACGGAAGAGAGTGCCTTCAGGAGTAAAGTCAAGCTGTTATAGAGTTACAGCGCCTGCTGTGGCTGTAGAGGCCGATATGGGAGAGACATGTTTTATTGCAGGTGGGGCAGATGTATCTGTGTGGAATCCAGGGGAGCAGCCTGAGATTGGTGGGTGGGGAACTGAGGCTATAGGAGTCTAGGAGCTAAAGCTCTGCACCAAAACATCTCCTTCCCTCCTGACCAGATCTGTTGCGCGTCACCAACCTGCGGGTGAACTTCACAAAGCTGCACACTCTGGGCGACAACCTACTCGACTTTCGGCATCAGGTGCTGCAGAAATACTACTACGCCGTGTACGAGATGGTGCTGCGTGGGAGCTGCTTCTGCTATGGGCACGCCTCGGAGTGTGCCCCTCTGGCTGGAGCGCCAAGCAGAGTAGAAGGCATGGTAAGGACCTTATCAGTGTTGTGGGAGACTGAGGCTGGGAGTTCAGGTTGCAGCCCTATAGCCAGGAAGACAGGACAAGGGGAGGTACACTTAGTGATCAGAGCTCGCATGCTGGGCTGGGCTTTTTGATTAGGAGTATGTGGGACGCGGGTGGCGCTGCGGGTTAAATCACAGAGCCTAGGACTTGCCGATCAGAAGGTCAGCGGTTCGAATCCCCGCGACGGGGTGAGCTCCCGTCGCTCGGTCCCTGCTCCTGCCAACCTAGCAGTTCGAAAGCACATCAAAGTGCAAGTAGATAAATAGGTACCGCTCCAGCGGGAAGGTAAACGGCGTTTCCGTGCGCTGCTCTGGTTCGCCAGAAGCGGCTTAGTCATGCTGGCCACATGACCTGGAAGCTGTACGCTGGCTCCCTTGGCCAATAAAGCAAGATGAGCGCCGCAACCCTAGAGTCGGCCACAACTGGACCTAACGGTCAGGGATCCCTTTACCTTTACCTTTATGTGGACCCCACTGTGTGGGGAGTTTGCGATACAGTTCTCCAACCAAGTAATTTATATAATAATGCAGTTCTGAGGGGAAAGTATGCCTTTAAAAATGAACACGTTAATGAAAATAACATGTAAAAATAATAATAACATGCTTCATAGTGGGAGAAATCGCTTGCAAAAATTTGCACATTGGGTGAAATGCACACTAAAAATGAATTTTCACGAGGGCTTCTTCCTGTAAGAAAACAACCCAATACAGTCGTACCTCGCAAGACGAATGCCTCGCAAGACAAAAAACTCGCTAGACGAAAGGGATTTTTGTTTTTTGAGCTGCTTCGCAAGACAATTTTCCCTATGGGCTTGCTTCGCAAGACGGAAACGTCTTGCAAGTTTCTTTCCTTTTTCTTAACACCATTAATACAGTTGTGACTTGACTTCAAGGAGCAACTCATAGAACGAGGTGTGGTAGCCTTTTTTGAGGTTTTTAAAGACTTTGGTGATTTTTGAAGCTTTTCCAAAACTTTCCCGACACCGTGCTTCGCAAGACGAAAAAAATCGCAAGACGACAAAACTCGCGGAACGAATTAATTTCGTCTTGCGAGGCACCACTGTAACAACAAACGGATGTGAAATGTAGAGAACTGAATTTAAGGTTAGAAAAAACTGAAATTGACAGATTCATCTATCCCTACCTGGCAGGTAGTAGAGAGGCTACAGCCTTGGTGGTTCTGCTTATTAAAATCTATTGGGAGAATGTGACACACAGACTCCCAGTTGTGTGTAGAGAACCTGCGTTATTGTACCAAAAGCACAATTTCCGTCAACTGGAAGTGCAGATTCTCTTGTTGGAATCCATTTTGCAGTTTGAGAAAACCTCATTCTTAAGCTTGCAGAGCCGGTGTGGGTGTGTTCTGGGATGGAAAGAGAAGGCATATACAGAGGGAAATTTCCAGCCCAGTGGACATTCCACCTAGACACTTTTTTTTTAATGGTTAAAGTAATTCTCAAACCTTATTCAGGGTTATTTGTTCTCCACAAACATCAGACCTAGAAACCTAGGGTTGCATTCGGTGAAGTCATGCTCTTAAGGCAAGGCAGTATACCTGAAGGAGCGTCTCCACCCCCATCGTTCAGCCCGGACACTGAGATCCAGCGCCGAGGGCCTTCTGGCGGTTCCCTCATTGCGAGAAGTAAGGTTACAGGGAACCAGGCAGAGGGCCTTCTCGGTAGTGGCTCCTGCCCTGTGGAACGCCCTCCCAGCAGATGTCAAAGCAATAAACAACTATTTTACTTTTAAAAGTCATCTGAAGGCAGCCCTCTTTAGGGAAGTTTTTAATGTTTGATGCTGTACTGTTTTTAATATTCAGTTGGAAGCCGCCCAGAGTGGCTGGGGAAACCCAGCCAGATGGGCGGGGTATAAATAATAAATTATTATTATTATTATTATTATTATTATTATTATTATTCTGCCAGTGCAATGAGACTTCCTCTTCCATGCTTGCCCCCTGCACTCCTTCCCCATATGCTCTGGAGGGCTGGCGGGGGGCGGGAACTTAGAACAGATACGTTGGGGGCGGGGAGGCACAGGGGGGCACACAGAAAGAGGAGAGGGAGAGGAAATCCCTTTGTGCAGGCAGAAGTCATTGTCCTAACAGGAGAATAAGAATAAGAATTTATTATTTGTACCCCGCCCATATGACTGAGTTTCCCCAGCCACTCTGGGCGGCTGCCACGGGTAGCGCTGTGGGCAGTGGCGTAGCGTGGGTTGTCAGCACCCGGGGCAAGGCAAGTAATTTGTGCCCCCTAACCCATGGATTTGCGCCCCCTAACCTGTGGATTTGCCCTAACCCCAGATGTTGCGCCCGGTGCGGCCGGCCCCCCCTGCACCCCCCACGCTACGCCACTGGCTGTGGGTTAAACCACAGAGCCCAGGACTTGCCGATCAGAAGGTCAGTGGTTCGAATCCCCGTGACGGGGTGAGCTCCCGTCTCTCAGTCCCTGCTCCTGCCAACCTAGCAGTTTGAAAGCACGTCAAAGTGCAAGTAGATAAATAGGTACTGCTCCAGTGTGAAGGTAAACGGCGTTTCCGTGCGCTGCTCTGGTTTGGCAGCAGCGGCTTAGTCATGCTGGCCACATAACCTGGAAGCTGTACGCCGGCTCCCTCGGCCAATAAAGCGAGTTGAGTGCCGCAACCCCAGAGTCAGTCATGACTGGACCTAATGGTTAGGGGCCCCTTTACTTTTACCCCGCCCATCTGGCCGAGTTTCCCCAGCCACTCTGGGCGGCTTCCAACAAAGATTAAAAATACATTAAAATGTCACACATTAAAAACTGCCCTGAACAGGGCTGCCTTCAGATGTCTTCTAAATGTCAGGTAGTTGTTTATCTCTTTGACATCTGATGGGAGGGCGTTCCACAGGGTGGGCGCCATACCGAGAAGGCCCCTCTGCCTGGTTCCCTGTAGCTTTGCTTCTCGCAGTGAGGGAACCGCCAGAGGGCCCTCGGTGCTGGACCTCAGCGTCTGGGCAGAATTGTCCAATGGGGTTGGAGACGCTCCTTCAGGTATACTAGGCCAAGGCCGTTTAGGGCTTTAAAGGTCAACACCAACACTTGGCTGGGTGCAACCCTGGCTCTTAAAACAAATCAAGCTGCTTGTATTCTTCAAGGGTTATCAGAACCTGTTGCAGGATTGTGTTCACATAGCTTCTGACTATATGGCCATCAGCCACGCTTTGCCGTCTTGGGCTCCGGGTCACATGGGGCCTACTCAGCGGCACCCAGGCACAAGAGGTCCTTCTTATAAATATCTCCATGCTGAGCAGCACTCTGCTTTCATTTCCCTGGGCTGTGCCAAGGCTCTGGATGCCCCTCTCACCAGTCTCCTCTGCCCCAGATCCACGGACGATGTGTGTGCAAGCACCACACCAAGGGCCTCAACTGCGAGCTCTGCAAGGACTTCTTCCAGGAGTTGCCATGGAGACCAGCTGAGGCCCACAACCCACACGCCTGCAAAGGTGAGGGTGTTTTTGCGCGTGCCAGAAGGTGTGGGGAATTGGGTGGCGAAGCAGTGGGAGTCAACGGAAGGAGATCTTTTCCTGGGGGAGGGGGCCTGGCATGTTTGGAAATGGCTGCACCCCCCGGCTTTGGGCAGATAGGTAGCAGAGGCTGGGTAGCACTGGAAAAGCTAATCAACTATGGGAGGGCTATGAAACATTCACAATTCCATTTATTTACAAGTGGAAGAAATTCTCAGAAGTGTATGTGGAGGCCTGGACAGGCTACCGAACAAGAGTTCCTTGTCCTCTGTCTTCTGTTTCTAAGGCTTCTGTATGCAGGTATTGGTGGTTCCTTAGTCTTGCCTAACATTTTTAAGAAACGATGTTGTGCAGGCTCTTACAGAAGAACTTAAGAAGAGTTCTGCTGGGTCAGTCCTATGTGTAGTTCAGCATCGTGTTCTCACAGCGGCCAACTAGATGTCTATGGGAAGCCTGCAGCAGAAGCCACAAATAGCACACACATGGGGCAGGTGAGAGCCTCAGCAATAGCAGCAATGGTGGCCTAGCCTACGGGTTTACGATACTGTTACATGGGTGCAATTCAGGTCACAGGAAAGGAGGAGCAAGCGGAATAAGCAGGAGTTTGCGGCGCCCTTTAACTTTGCCCCTGGCTTCTCCCCAGAGTGCAACTGCAACGAGCACTCCCACAAGTGCCACTTCGACATGGCCGTGTACCTGGCCACGGGCAACACCAGCGGCGGGGTCTGCGACGAGTGCGAACACAACACCATGGGCCGCCACTGCCAGCTCTGCAAGCCCTTCTACTACCGCAACCCTCTGGCTGACATCCGTGCCAGCACGGCGTGTATCCGTGAGTGTCCTTCTATCGTCCCAGCCGCTGTCTTTTTATTATGATGATGATGAAACGTGATGTGAATCGCCTCGAGCAGGGTTTACTGTGGGGAAACAGCATACAGATAAACGGCAGCTGTGATCCCCAGCAGTATTGATTTTTATTGTTTCATGCCATTTTTGAGTGGTGTGAGATTCCGGGCATTTCAGGCGCTCACCCAGGGTTCGTGTTTCCTTTGCAAAGAGGCACAGTGGAGACCGTGGTGTCTTTATGATAGATGGCTCATTTACACATATACACAACCTGAGCCCTGCGACGGAGGGGTTCACCGCGTTAACGTCCAAGGCGGTCTTGCTTCTCCCTTAGCCACAGCCTTGGATCCCAGCAGAAACCAGGCATGGCTCTATGCTGGCTGTTTTGCCATAATAAAAATTGATTGAGAGGCCTGGCTCTATCTCTAGCTTTCTGCTTTACTTCTAGGTCATATCATTCAATTATCCACTCTGGCCTTTTGCCTTTATAAGTAATAGACAGTTGAGAGAGGAAGGCCCATCCATTTGACCTCTGGCACAGAGCTACATTTTTTGTTCCATTAACAAAGTGGGCCATTACCAGTCTGGCCTGGCTATTCCGACAATTGAATCTGTGCTGGATTCAGGAATTAGAAGCGGGGCTCAGGCATACAGCCTAATCCCCCCCAAAAAAACCACTTACAACAGTACGTAATTGAGAACATTGGCAGACTTTTGCCTGTCCAATTTCAGCGGCGCCCTCTCTCTCTTGATGAAATATTTTCACAATGGAAGAAACCTATACATGAAACAAGTAACAAAAGGAACACATCATATTATGAAATACTCCCCAACTAACAAACTGTGCTCAACCTCCTGGCATAAAAAAAGAACAAAAAAAGCAAAGGCAAAAGTTTTTAAAGTCACGTATTGGTTTAGTCATGTTGGCCACATGACCTGGAAAACTGTCTGTGGACAAACGCCGGCTTCCTCGGCCTGAAAGCGAGATAAACCCCAGAGTCGCCTTTGACTGCACTTAATTGTCCAGCGGTCCTTTACCTTTACTTCTTCTTGTTTCTCCTTAATGAAACTTGTATGATTGGAAGGGAACATAAAGGCAGTCCTTTTAATGTAAGTTGTAAAGGGGACCCGCACAGTATCCAATTTCTTTTGTCCCACAGCATGTGACTGCGACCCAGTGGGCTCCTTGGACGGTGGCGTGTGTGACAGTCATACAGATGCGATGCTGGGCATGATCGCTGGGCAGTGCCGCTGCAAAGAGAACGTCAAAGGCGTGCGTTGTGACAGCTGCAAAGAGGCCTTTTACGGACTGAGCCGCAATGACCCTCTTGGGTGCCAGCGTTAGTATCGGTGACTGTCTGGGGTCACCAGACTTTGTGGGGGCAGGTGTGGAATCAAGTCGTGCCAGCATGGATACAGGGTGTGGGGAGGGGGAGGGCTTGATATCTGGGTTGTTCCAGAGGCAGCGGCCGGTGCAAAATGTGGCAGCTAGGTTGCTTGTGGTGGCAAAACACCCCCAGCATATAACCCCTTGCTAGCGGGATTTGCCCTGGTGGCAATCTGCGGATAGGCCAAGTTCAAGATGTTGTCATTAATGTATAAGGCCCTATGCAGCTCAGAACCAGGCTACTTCAAACATCCCCTTACATGCCCAGTATATTTGTGTGTTCTGTGGGAGGGTGTCTCCTGCCACTGACGGAGGAAGAGGAGTGCAGGGGGAGCGCATTGCTCCCGGCAGCACAGTCCCGGTGGGGTGCCATCACGGCTGCCCCCCCCCATGATGGGCGCCACACCCCCAGGACATGTGCCACGCCCCCTGACACGGACCAGCCCTGCCCCCACCTGCTCTCCGCTCCCCCAGTGCCAGAGCATGAAGCTCTGCCACTGTCTCCTGCAAGTTCCAAAGGTCTCAGAAATCTACTTCACAGTAACTTGGAGCAAGGGTTTTAGGATGGCTGCCCCTGATCTGTGGAACAACATTTCTCACGAGATACAACAGGGGCCCACTCTCTGCACTTTCCAGAAATAAATGAAGGTATTTTTTGCTCCAGCCACATTGATGGGGTTTTGCCATGAGAGTCTATTCATATTAAAAAGGGATGCAGGTGGCACTGTGGTCTAAACCACTGAGCCTCTTGGGCTTGCTGATCAGAAGGTCGGCGATTCGAAACTGTGTGATGGGGTGAGCTCTGCCCCAGCTCCTGCCAACCTAGCAGCTCGGAAGCACGCCAGTGCAAGTAGATAAATAGGTACCGCTGTGGTGGGAAGGTAAACGGCGTTTCTGTGCGCTCTGGCTTCCGTCACGGCATTCCGTTGCACCAGAAGCGGTTTAGTCATCCTGGCCACATGACCTGGGAAGCTGTCTGTGGACAAACGCCAGATCCCTCAGCCTGAAAGTGAAATGAGCGCTCTAACCCCATAGTTGCCTTTGACTGGACTTAACCGTCCAGGGGTCCTTTACCTTTTACCTTTATTCTTTTTGTTATCATTTTCTTTTAAATGCATTGGCTGTTTTAAAAATAATTTATTGCACATTGCCTTGAAATGATTGCATAGAGGACGATGGATAAATTATTATTCTTATGAGCAGCAGTAGTAGCACTTCTACCACAATTAGGATTTTTTTCTGTTCGGCTTCAGGCACCAACATGTCTGGAATCTGAATGGCACTTCCATTTCATTGCTTCGTACAGTTTCCAGCCTTTACCAAGCCCCCTACTTCTTGTTCTCCTATAACCAGTGTTTCACGAGTTCTAGCCATCTCTCCCGCAGCCGAGACAATGGGATTAAAAATTCTAAATTATTTAAAATTTGTTCCTTTTGGCTCAAAGCAATACAAACTGTGCATTCAGGAGACACGCCAGATTTGATTTAATGTATTCTGCTTGCAGAATCTGGGTGTTTGCAGTTATGGGGGGGGAAGGGTGGAGCAATGGGTGGGGCAGTTGCCTCGAATTCTGGAGCCCTGCTGAGCTGGGCCAGGAGATGGCTTAGCCTTGTGCCTTGCGACATAGCCGGATGAAAACCCATGGAAAGTGCTAGTTATGTGTGTTCTCAGCCTGCAGGTGTGACCCTCGTGGGATTATCCCAGGTAGCCTTCCCTGCGACCACATCAGCGGCGACTGCTACTGCAAGCGATTTGTCGCCGGGCGATACTGCAACCAATGTTTGGTGAGTGGGTGTCGCGGAACCGTTAAAAGGCGTGATGCGGATACTCCAGGCCTGAATATGCTTTAGAGAGCCAGTGTGGTGTAGTGGTTAAGAGCAGTGGACTTGTAATCTGGTGAATCGGGTTTGATTCCCCGCTCCTCCACATGCAGCTGCTGGACTTGTGCTTGAAGAAACTCCTGTTAGTAGGGGGTCATGATGTGTATTCTGCAGGCAAGACGGCTTCGAGTCAGCTGCAGCTTGTGAAACCGTCACATGGCTCATGCTGGCCTCGAGGCGCGGCTGCTGCACGACCTTCTTCATGGCCGCCACGTTGGAGGAGCCAGACATGGTTCCAAAAATCATGCCTCTTGTAAACATTCAAGGCAGGTCTCAGGTGGCACTAAGGAGGCTTAGTGAGAGAGCCAGTGTGGTGTAGTGGTTAAGAGCGGTGGACTCATAATCTGGTGAATCGGGTTCGATTCCCCGCTCCTCCACATGCAGCTGCTGGGTGACCTTGGGCTAGTCACACTTCTCTGAAGTCTCTCAGCCTCACTCATCTCACAGAGTGTTTCTTGTGGGGGAGGAAGGGAAAGGAGATTGTTAGCTGCTTTGAGACTCCTTAGGGTAGTGATAAAGCAGGATATCAAATCCAAACTCTTCTTCTTCTTCTTCTTTAGTTGAACTAGTGGTCTTTTTCCTCCACAGCCTGAATACTGGGGTTTGAGCAATGATATGGCTGGCTGCCGGAGCTGCGCTTGTGATTTTGGAGGTGCCTACAGCAACAGGTTGGAATGGAAGGGACATGAGGTGGGCTGGAGGGAATGGCACTCTGTGGCTGGCAAAGGGAGGGAAGAGTCCAAGGATGGCCAACTTCTATATTCTCAGGGGACACTCAGGTGTCCAGAGGATGGAATTAGCGCTCCAATTGGAGAACAGCCTTTACCAAAGGTGTCATGGGCTTTGAAGACACTCGAATTCAGGACCCAAGGGAGAAACGTGCTAAGAGGAAGGCACGCTTGGCAAACCCACACCGTGATCAACTCCTGTCTGGAAACCAATGTCCCCACTGTGGAAGGATGTGTGGATCCAGAATTGGCCTCCACAGTCACTTACGGACTCATTGTTAAAACCGTGTTTATGGAAGACAATCTTACTCGGCTAAGAGTGATCGCCAAAGAAGAAAGAAGAAGAGTGGTCAAGTTCTGTACTACATCTGACGCCATCTCTCACTTCACAGTACTGCACGAAAGCATGGAAAATAAGTAAAAAGTGTTGCTTTTGCAGTGAAGGGAATGGCAAGCATATTTTAAACTTCTTAACTGCACGTTGTTTTAATTACAAGTAGGTCTGCTGTAGTTGAAACAAAATAAAAAAAATCCTTCCAGTAGCATCTTAGAGACCAGCTAAGTTTGTTATTGGTATGAGCTTTCGTGTGCATGCACACTTCTTCAGATACCTGTTGTTTTAATTGTAAGTGATTCTGTGAGGCCCCATCTGAGCAATACATTTAAAGCTGTATCATATCACTTTAAACACACATGGCTTCCCCCACAGCCAACAACTGTAGATGATGATGATGATGATGATGATTACTACTATGCAAGATCTTAGGTGTATTCCCCTCAGAGAGCCACAATTCCCAGAGTTCCCTCCCTGGGGGAGGGATGAATTGTGAAACCACTCTGAGAATTGTAGCTCCACGAGAGGAAAATAAGGGGTCTCTTAAAACTTCTCAACACCCTTGACAAACTACCGTTCCCTGGATTCTATGGAGGAAGCTTTGGCTTTTAAAAAAATGGCACGAGACTCCTTTAAATGTGTAGTGCAGAGTTGTGATTGTAAAAAAAGCTGAACTTGCTATACTTGCGCATTGCTGCACACGGTGACCTTTTTTTGGTCTAGGACAGTGGTAGGGAAACTCCATCCCTCAGGCCTAATTAGACCCACCTGCCCCCCCCCCCATTTTGACTGCCATGTGGTTTGGCCCAAAACCATACCCAGCTCTCTATTACCTGAGGCCAAGCACTGGACAGGTAAACACATGGGGTCAAATGGATAAGAAAGAATTCGGAGCACACTCTTTAAGTGCCCTCCCGATTCTTTTTTGTGAGTTAAATCGGATCAAGAGACTTTACTTGAGTGTGCAACCTCCCTCTCTCTTTTGCAGCCCTTTTGCCGAACCTACTCCAACGGCAGGGCTCAAATATTCTGCCATTGTTCTCATTCTCTGTCTGGCTGTCTGTCTCTCTCTCTCCAGGTGTTCCATGGATGATGGCCAATGCCCCTGTCGGCCCCACCTCATCGGGCGCCAGTGTGATGAAGTGCAGCCGGGGTTTTTCTGCATGCCCCTGGACTATTATATGTATGAAGCAGAGCATGCCACAGGTCTTGCACCAACCCATCAGGGCCTGCCAGTGAGTGCACTGGGACAGAGGAAGGGAAAGGGGAGTGTGAGAACCCGGGACATAGAGCGAGGAGGGCTGTGTCTGGAAAACTGCTAGTGAATGCGGATTACTTGTCCAAAGGAAAAGGAGATGGCACCTGCATTTCTTGTGGGTGTTGTCCAAGAGACCTTGTTGTCTCTGGAGCACATATACCTTCATGGGGACTGAAAAGTTCCCAGCCCAGCTTACTGGTCCAAATCAGTATACACTGACCCAGTTGCATGCCACAAATTCATTCATGAATTCAGAATGTTTTGTATGTGGAAGCACATGAGCATGTAAGGCACATCACCACAGAAGTATCTGCAGGCAAGGAGAAAATTCATTAAAACTGTCCCGGTGGCTCAATCAGTCAATCATGGGCTGGTAGGATGGAAGGCAAGGAGGGCCAATGATAAGTGGAACCAGAGCCAATGGCAGGCAGAGGCAACCCATTCTAGTTTCGTCCCCATTCTCCTCCCTGCTGACGTCTAGAAGGACAACACTTTTAAGTAAAAAGCCAAGCAAGTGTGGACTGAATGAGACTGGTGGGGCAACTCCCCAGTTGCCCATTGGGACAACCTCCATTGGCCAAACCATACAATATAGGTTAGTTCCATGGGCTCCCTCTTCGCCTTGGCAGCCTCAGTGAGCCTTTCAGAGCCCCTTGGTTGCTGAATGGCTGAGGATGGAAACGGTTAGCAGGAGCAACCAATGGTGTTGGAAATAAAATCCCCCTCCTGCTTTGTTGTAGGGTGCCTTGCGGCCCGAGGCCCCTGTGGACTGTGTGGAATATTACAACGGGGTCCAGAACGGGCGCAAAGTGAGGCTGCGACGACAGCACAGCACGATCAGACTCTTGCAGCAGCGAGCGGCGCTCCGAAGAGCCAGGCAACTTCAGCAGAAGGTGACCAAAATAGGGTGGGAGAGAGAGGATTCCGGGGGAAACCAGGGAAGGAAGTCTAGGGTGGTTTGGACCAGAACTCCAGGCCACTCAGTAGAGGTGTTGTTGGTCCATAAAGCTGAGCTAAGGAGCAGCCACTTGGGTCTTCTTGGTCAACTATGTTAATTCTTTGCCTTGCACTTAGCCAGAAGGTAAAAGATACACTTGAATAGACACTATGCACTTCGTCATTGCAATCTGTTAAAGGCATCCTCTGTGAGCTGTGCGTGCCCGTGATTTTACACAAGTAGAATTCAGGTGCTTTGTCAGGAATGTCCTCAGGTTCCCGAAGGCACCTATCCTGCCTCTAGGAGTGTCAGATGGAGTGTCAGTTCCATACGGGGACTAACTGAGCGGTTTAACAACCCCCTTGGTCCATACCCGGTCCGTGGGCCATAGTTTGCTGACTCCTGACCTAATGACTGCAGTTAGCAGTCCGGGAAGTTTGCAGGACGAAAAGAAGATGGAAAAGAGAGAGAGTGGCAGCATGACTTGTCCTTTTACCAGGTCTGGAAAGGTCACGCCCACCCACTAGTCACATGCAAGGAAGGATGCTCCAGGCCAGGAGGAACAGGATGTTTTGACTGGCTGGACCAAACATTCCCTTGCATGTCCACTCTAGGAAAACAAGGAATGTTGTACTTGACTGCTCCCAGTGGATTCCAACCCACAGGAGGTACCAGGTTCAACCCCAAACATCTGCTTGTAGGGCTGGGAGAGACCCCTGGCTGAAACCCTAGAGAGCCACTGTCCGTAGGCAATACACATCTAGATGGAGTAATGGTCTGACTCAGTGCAATGCAGCGCCCTCTGTCCCTGCGGCTTTGCTGATGTAATGTTTCCCCCCGCAGCCTGATGTGGAAGTCATGCAACGTGAGCATACAGGTCACATGATTACATGGACCGGCCCCGGCTTTGCACGCGTGAGGGATGGGGCTGGTTTATCCTTCCATATCGACAACATCCCCTACCCCATGGAATATGACATCCTGTTGCGCTATGAGCCTGAGGTGCGTGGAAGGAACTGGAATGGGCGTGGCGGGTGCTTGTTGTTGGGGGGAGAAGTTCTGGCATTTTCCTGAATGCTTGCATTATTGGATCATAAATTGATTGCCGTGGGGGGGGACTGTAGCTGGGAGAACGAGAATATTTTCATGAGGCTTATCATAATAATGCTTAATCTTTACATAATAACTAAGTTCTCAGAGCACTTCGCATAAAATTAGCTTGATAACACCCTTGCAAGGTAGGCCATCCCCCATATTACAGAAAGACGGATGAGACTATGGGATAGATTTGAAGCAGGGACTTGCCAACTTATAACTCACACCCTTTCTGGAGCTGGAGAGTGGTTAAATAGCAGTAGAAAGGAGGATTTGCCCCAGTTCTTTTAATCTATGCCCATCAACTGGGAATTCGATCCATATTACACATTGTGGAAAGAGTGCGACCATTCAGATGCTGTTGGATTCCAATCTCCATCAGCCACAGTCAGTATAGCCATGTCAGGAGTCCAGTTCCCGGCTTGATAACACAGTGAGCATAGTTAATTAAAAAAGGATGCTTTATAGTCAAAACAGATAGTTCTTCATTTATTTATTTATTATATTTTTATTGGTTTTTTTAACATATCATTTCCAACAATCATATAACATAACTTCTTATCTTATACAATGCTTTAGACTTCCGTCAACACCTCTGTTGATTTTTCATTCTTTATCACTTATTCTGCATTTCTTAATTTCCCTATTACACTTAATTATCATTAGCTAATAATTTTCCTCATAGCATTTCTTGCAATATTTCCAATAATCCTCTTTACAGAACTTCTTGCAGTCCTACTAGTTTAATCTGTTCATCACAATTACTTTTCAAATAGTTCGTATATTCATTCCAGTCTTCTAAGAATCTCTGGTCCCGCAGGTTTTGAACCCTTCCCGTTAGTTTAACTATCTAATTCTGCATAGTCCATCAATTTCATCCGCCATTCTTCTTTCGTCGGTAATTCTTCTTGCTTCCAGTTTTGTGCCAATAATATTCTTGCTGCCATCATTGCAAATAAAAACAACTTACAATCCTGTCTACTAATATCATCTCCTACAATGCCAAGTAAAAATGCTTCTGGTTTCTTAATAAATGTATATTTCAAAATCTTTTTCATCTCATTATATATCATTTCCCAGAAGTTTTTGACTTTTTTACATTCCCAACAAACAGATAGTTCTTCAGTTGGCAGTAACCCTTCCCTGGGAGATGGCTGCAAAGCTTCCTTGGGAGCTGGCTCATTCATGACAACCCAAGAGTCAGGAACATCTGGGGGGTGGGGAGCAAGTTTCCCACCTTTGACACAGGGATGGAGGTGTCACTGGTAGGGCAAGGGATAAGAGCTGGCGGGTTTCCGGGGGGGAAATGCTCCTAAAGCAAGTGTTTCCTCCTTATAGCGAATGTCCACAGCTAGGTTTTTTTTGCCGTATTACGTTTTGCAGCAAGGTTATCTCTGAGGCTGTCCACCCAGTGGGCCTGATGGGGATTGTATTCTCTGGGACGGCTGCTTTAAACCTGCTGTGTCTCCTTCTCAGTCCACAGAGGATTGGGAAGCTGTCGTCAGCGTCAGCTCGCGGGCGTTACCCATGAGCCCTCGCTGCGGCAACGTGCTGCCCTCGGAGCAGATGTATCGGGAGAGCCTGCCCCATAGTTCCAGGTAAGAATGAGAGGAGGAGGGGGAGGGGGAGAAGCAGCCCCACTGGGCACAGTGTGGGGAGGGAGCTTCCTTGACTCAAGAGAGACCCACAGCATGTCAGTGAGAGGTTTTATTGGAAATCAAGTCCTCATGGATTATGTCCTCTTTTTTGGAAAAAAAAATCAATTCCAAATTGTTTACCACACTGGAGTCTGCTATTGCTGGTTTTTATTACATGTCTCGAGTCACTAATAACCACTTCAGGTTCTTGGGTTACAAAAATAATGTGTGGCTGACAGCCTAAAATGGGGTTGGCCAATTACTGTGTTCTCTGCAGTCACTTTGTTCCCAGAACAGGAGCCAGGAGCCAAAAGTGTATTTTGCTTTGCAGCTTGATTGGCCTTTTCCCTGAAAATGTAACATGAGGGGCTAAATAAAATTGCATATGCAGGTGTGTGTATGTATCTATATATCTGTTTAGCAGGCTTATAAAGAGTTTTATCTGCAGGTGTTTGCTTTTCCTACAGGCCCGCGAACAGTGAAGATTTACTCTTCTGCACAGACAGAAGAGACTACTCTTCTGTTTCCTGCTTGGCAGGGGGTTGGACTCGATGGCCCTTGTGGTCTATTCCAACTCTATGATTCTATTCTATGACACAAAACGGGACGCGGGTGGCGCTGTGGGTTAAACCACAGAGCCTAGGACTTGCCGTTCAGAAGGTCGGCGGTTCAAATCCCCGCGACGGGGTGAGCTCCTGTTGCTCGGTCCCTGCTCCTGCCAACCTAGCAGTTCGAAAGCACATCCAAGTGCAAGTAGATAAATAGGTACCGCTCCGACAGGAAGGTAAAAGGCTTTTCTGTGCACTGCTCTGGTTCACCAGAAGTGGCTTAGTCATGCTGGCCACATGACCCGGAAGCTGTACGCCGGCTCCCTCGGCCAATAAAGCGAGATGAGCGCCGCAACCCCAGAGTCGGCCACGGCTGGACCTAATGGTCAGGGGTCCCTTTACAGACACAAAACACGCACCAAAATTACAAAACACTTCCCAGCACCAGTGCAAGTACACTTGTAGTTTCTACGTTACAGCCGCAAGAAATAAATCATACTTATTGTTTCAACATCCTGATTGTTGCAGGCAGTGCTTTGGCACATCTGACGGAGCACGTGGTTTTTCTGTTATCTGAGTATTTGCTGATGGATTGACTGAGTCTTTACCATAATTAACTGGAGAGCTCATGGGTTTGTGGTTAGGAAATAGTTGGTATTTTGGTTTGGCTATGGGCCCTCTACACGTACTGGTGGCTTTTGGTACTGCAAGATGCAACAGAAACAGCACAATTAACTATTCCCTTCTCTGATCTCATTCCAAGCTTCTTATGCTGGAGTTTCCTTTTTGGAGCCTGCTATTGTCTGTCTATTTGTATTACATTATTATAACTAATAACCAGTTTCATTCCCGTAAGTGTAACAGCTAGTATTTGCAGGGATTTTACTAATCACCAGTTCCATTCACGCAAGTACATAGCATGTTGCATTTGGGGGATCTGACCGTTTTATGTAGGATTTCCTGTCCTCCAGCCTTTCGGTGTTTTTTGTTTTGTTTAAATTTTTTTGTCATGTTATTATTTCTTTTAACTTTGCCGCTCTTTGTTTTGTATGATCTGTAGAGAAGTATACCCAGTTTTTCAAAGTATATCCTTCTCTTGTCTCAGGGATTTGTGGAATGGGTTTTCAGGTGTGATGGGCTTGTGAGGGTATGGATTATGTTAAGTTGTGGGTGAACATATCAGATGACGCAGCGATTCTTCAAACAGCTCTTGATTATTCACAGGCCAGAACAGAACTGAACTGAAGGGTTCAGCCAGCCTGCTTATATAGAGCGCCACTAGAACACAAAAGTAACCACTTTCTGTAACTATCCAATCACTGAACGTCACTTTCAATAGCTTATTTGCATATGTGGACCTGAGTGAAAACTATCTACAGTATCCCCCTGCTGGCCCAGGGTGAGAACCTCAGTACATAACAGATTATGTGAGGTCATTGCATGGCAAAAAAACCCTACCCTATTGTTGTGTACTATATTCAAGTATATCTAAGTGTCCCAGTAAAGAGGGGACATTTTCTTTAAAAAATAGCATTAGTTCTCAGCTGCTCAGTTGGAGCACAAAAAGTCCCATGGAACCTAGAGACTAACTAGTCAATTGACACTAGCAATTGTGTATCAGATTTATAATGAACAGACAATTCTATATTACAATTATTTGGGGGTAGACGGGAGATACTTTATGTATGCTCCGGAAATCATATCCTTTGTGTGGTTAGCCCAGGAAGGGAGGGGCAAAATGCACAGCTAGAAAATTTTAAATGGCTGACACAATCTTTGAGTTTGAACAAACAACCTGTTAACTGCACATTCATTCTGATTTGTTTGTGAGGAGGGTGATGCTGTGTCAGGCAAATATTATCCCACACTTTCCAGAGCATTTTCCCTGTTACTTTTAATATCACAAAAGTCTGGGGTTGGGGTTTTTTTTTGGGGGGGGGGAGAAAGCTAGTTTGTTGCACAAGAGCTCCAAATTAACTTTAATTGTGAAACCTGAATTTTCCGGTATGTGATTGAATCCTACCTCAAAATAGCCACAGGCTGGAAGCACCTTTTTTGGGTGAGGGGGGAGAGCAGATTGTTGCGCTCCATGATTCTTCAGTTACAGGTAAGATGGAAACCTTCCCTTTGGGCTGTAGTCCATCTCTGGGTAAAAACTAGTTTTATGGAACCTGTTAAGTTGTCGGTGAACATATCAGACGACACAGCTATTCTTCAAACAGCTCTTGATTATTCACAGGCCAGAACAGAATTGAACTGAAGGGTTCAGCCAGCCTGCTTATATAGAGCTCCACTACAATGCAACAGTAACCACTTTCTGTAACTATCCAATCACTGAATGTCACTTTCAATCCCTTATTTGCATATGTGGACCTGAGTGAAAACTACCTACAGTATCCCCCTTCTGGCCCAGGGTGAAAACTTCAGCACATAACAGAACCCATTCCACCTTCCCCTGATCCACACTTCTTGCATAGCTCTTAGTGGAGTGCAGAAGGCGTTTGTGCTGCTGTTCTCAACACATCCCTTACATGTAGCGATTAGAGCGCTAGACAAGGGTTAGGGCGACCCAGTCTCAAATCTCCACTCAGGCCACAATCTCACTGAGGGGCCTACCTCATAGGGTTGCTGTGATCATAACATGGAGGGCAGGACCAATGTACACGGCCCTGAGCTCTCTAGAGGAAGGCTGGGATAAGACAAATAGGCGAACGAATTATGGCGAGAGACGAACTTCTTATCTGACAGGCCTGTGCAATTTCAGAACCTCAGAAGGTGTTTCTTTCCAGGGCTGCCACATTTGTATTCTAGCAGCCCTATTGGGGGAGTGGGGGGGAAGCAAGAAAACAAAAAACCCTCAGCCCCCAAATCTGAAAGGCTGCTCCTCATCCACCCCTTTTCAAGATCCCCTTTCATCTTCTTTGAAATTTGTTCTCCCTCTTCGCTAATGGTTCGGAACATTTCCTGGGTTTTAAAAAGAAAAGGAAGGAAGGGAAATGGGGCATACAAGTGTTTCCCCTGAGCAGTTTGATGGTTTTGAATCGCTTGCCACCCTCTTTTATCGCTGGGCAGGCAGGTTGGTGAATGAAAAGAAGCGGCTGCTCATTGTGCTGTCCGAAAAAGAATTATCTAAGCAGCGGGAACAAACGAGCGGCGTTAGGCGTGGGTTGTCAGCCCCGGGCAAGGCAAGTATTTGCGCCCCTAACCTGTGGGATTTGCCCTACCCCAGATGTTGCGCCCGGTGCGGCCGGGCCCCCCTTGCACCCCCCACGGGCTACGCCACTGGAACCAAAGCGACCCACTGCAGGCAAAAGGGTCCCCCCCCTCCCGGACAGCTATTAGAGGTTGGCTGGTTATTGTTATGCCCTGGCAAGAGACAGTTATTCAGGTTCAGATAAAAAGATGAGGTAAAATTTATAATTTAGACTTGTGGCAGAGGCAGAGAGCACACAAAAAACCCCTCAAAAGCCTTGCCAATATTGTTAAAAGAATGGCCCAAAGCAGGACTCTATAAACAAAATATTGGGGGGGTGGCAGAGAAATCCCGCATATTAGAGAATGGTATATGTGGGAAAGGCCCACTTTGAGTAAAATGTCCAAGATACTGTAGGTTAAATATGGGGGAAAGAAGAGGCTAGTGAAAACTTAAGGAACTTCAGAGTAGTAAGCAGGGGGAAAGTAATTATAACCCTTTTACAATATCATGGCTAAGTTGGGTTTCATTCAAAGTGGCCCTCCTAATCGGTAATCTTAACTATCAGAGGCTCGAATGAGCATTGCATGTTTTGTTGCTTTATTTAATTATTATTCAATTATTTTTATTGGGCTTGCCATAACTGTTAAGAAAGGGGCTTGCTTGGAAAAGAATTTGTTGTTAGGTTATTATTTTGTATTGTTGTTGTTGGGGGAGGCAGGCTTTTTCGGAGGGCAGAACCTCAGATTCGAATTGATTTTTATTGATTTGGGGGGGGGCAGCTACCCCTCGCCCCCTCTTGGCTATGCCCATGAGTTGTTCTTTAGTATATATTTTTAAGAATTGTACCAACAGTTGTCTCAGTAAGCAACCCACTCTGTAACTAACTTCTGACTTCTAATATTATATATAGAGGTCTTTTAACTAATATACATAGTGAGGCTATAAATAACAGCCACCAGCCTCTCTCTTCATCTTGTGTTTTGCTTCTCTTTCGTCTACCTGCTCCGACTCTCCTCTCTCCTTCCTTGATCTGCCAACTGCCTCTCTAGTCCCCTCTAATGGTGCAGGAATGATGCTGTCAGTCTCTTCTGAAGGGCTAAGGCAGCCTGCACCAATCTAGTGCCATCCAGATGTTTTGGACTACAGCGCCCATCATCCTCAGGCGGTATCCTTGTCATGGCTGGGGGCGATGAGATTCTGTTATGCATGCAAGGCCAAGTGCGAGGCTCCCTATTTGGCCTAGGCCCGGTATACCTGAAGTTCCATGGTGGGGGGGGGAGTGTGATGCAGATGTACTGTGTCTCGGCCCATATACCTGAAAGAGCATCTCCACCCCCATCATTCAGCCCAAACACTGAGGTCCAGCTCCGAGGGCCTTCTGGCAGTTCCCTCACTGCGAGAAGCCAAGTTACAGGGAACCAGGCAGAGGGCCTTCTCGATAGTGGCACCCACCCTGTGGAATGCCCTCCCATCAGATGTCAAAAAAATAAAAAACTACAGTGGAACCTCCAGTTGCAAACGTGATCCGTGTGGGAGGCACGTTCACAACCTGCACCGTTTGCAACCTGCACATGCGTGGGTCACAATTTGGCGCTTCTGAGCATGTGGAAAGCACGATTTAGTGCTTCTGCGCATGCGCAAGCACTGAAGCCCAGAAGTAACCCATTCTGGTACTTACGGGTTTGGTGCGGTGCGCAACCCAAAATCATATAACCTGAAGCGTCTGTAACCTGAGGTACCACTGTATCTGATGTTTAGAAGACATCTGAAGGCAGCCCTGTTTAGGGAAGTTCTTAATGACTGATGTTTTAATGTATTTTTAATCTCTGTTGGAAGCCACCCAGAGTGGTTGGGGAAACCCTGGCTGGGGAAACCCAGCCAGATGGGCCGGGTACAAATAATAAATGATGATGATGATATGGATGTGGGCCTCAGATGTGATCCAGGCACAATTTGCATGGCAGAGGCTGGTGGATGTGCCAGGTCCGCAGCATCAAACTTTGAAAGTGAGCCACATTTTTCTCCTCAAGGCAGCTGAGAACGATCCCAGCAACCCTTACCAAGTCTGCAAACACCTGCATTTTATGAACTGGGTTCCTCAACCCTCTTGAGCCTAGTCTTACCCCTTGTGTGTTCTCCGCCTTTCCCCATCTTCACACCTTTGTCTTCCCTCTCCCCAGGTATGTGCTCCTGCCGCGGCCCTTCTGTTTCGAGCCCAGGAACCATTATGAGATCACCGTGCGATTCCAGCGGGCAGGGGTGGCACAGCGCCATCCTGCAGCCTTCATCCTTGTTGACGCGGTGAGAAAGAACCAGGTTTTAAATCTTCACACGCACACACTCAAAAAACAGTGACGTGCCAATGTCCAGCCCCACTCAAGCAAACGAGATTCTGCAGAAGCTGCCAGAGTCTTTCTGGGAATGCATCTCAGCACCTTCTGAGGTAGATTTCTGGGCCTGCTGCACACATTCCCAGTTAGCAAGTCCCCTCTTGTGTGCTACATAAGCAGCTGGGCCAGCTTCAGTCCTTGTCCCAACCAGGCCAGACTTTTCCTGACATCTCTCCCTCCTTGCTACAGCTGGTCCTTCTGCCCCGTGTGACAGAGCTGCCCGGGCTCCATGGTAGCAGTCCTGCAGCGGTGGAGCGCCGGGAAGCGTTGGAGCGCTACACCTGCCTAGAGGTTTTCCGCATGGCCACCATGCCCGACCTGGCCGAGACCTGTGCCCGCCTGCTGTGCAGCATCTCTGCCCTGATGCATGATGGGGCTATGCGTGAGTGATTCTTTCTTAGGCCTGAGAAAGAAAACCACTTTGCATACTTTTCTCCAGTCTCTACCATTGTGTGTGTGTGTGTGTGTGTGTGTGTGTGTGTGTGCGCGTGCTGGTGGTTGCCATTTCCACCAACACACAAAGTCCTGGAATGTCGCATGGTCTCGGGTATTGGGGGGGGGGATGCAAAATGGCGGACAGGTTGTTCATGTTGTTGTTGTTGCTGTTGTTGCTGCTGCTACTTAAAAGTAAAGGTAAAGGGACCCCTGACCATTAGGTCCAGTTGCAGACGACTCTGGGGTTGTGGCGCTCAACTTGCTTTATTGGCCGAGGGAGCCGGTGTACAGCTTCCGCGTCATGTGGCCAGCATGACTAAGCCACTTCTGGCAAACCAGAGCAGCACACGGAAACACCGTTTACCTTTCCGCCGGAGCGGTACCTATTTATCTACTTGCACTTTGACGTGCTTTTGAACTGCTAGGTTGGCAGGAGCAGAGAACGAGCAACGGGAGCTCACCCTGTTGCGGGGATTCGAACCGCCGACCTTCTGATCGGCAAGTCCTAGACTCTGTGGTTTAACCCACAGCGCCACCCGTGTCCCTACCATGGGGCCTAGAAACATGCTAATTTTAAAGATAACGAAAGCCGAGGTTCTCAGGATTTGGGCGGCATCTGTCTGTCTGATGGATGTTCTGGACGATGACCTGCATGATTTCACCACCTGCGGCCTCAACCTATGAACTTGCATTTTACCACATTACTACAAGCAGGAACATTCCTCGCTTGCTTACGTGCATCCGCTCTAGAGTGATGTGCTTGTGTTCAGTGTGTTGGAGCGCATCTCCACTTGTCCCTCTCCCCAGCCTTCTTGGCATTGGCGTGGGGAGGCGATTGCCTCTCGTCTTTCCCCCTGCCTAGCTTACTTCCCTAACCGTTGTGGTTTCTTCCGCCTTCAGCCTGCCAGTGTGATCCCCAGGGCTCCACCAGCAGTGTTTGCCACAAACTGGGAGGGCAATGCCAGTGTAAGCCCAACGTGATGGGTCGGCGCTGTGACCAGTGTGTCCCGGGCACCTACGGATTCGGACCCTACGGCTGCAGCCGTGAGTAATCAAGGCAGGGCCTGCATGTACTGCCTCCCTCATGGTCATCCTTGTCTTTTCCTCAACTGTTGATTAAGCCTAGTTTTCACTGAGAGTGGAGGGGAAAAACTTGTGGCTGGGCTGTATTACTGAATGGGATCCTGACACAGCGGGGATGGAGATCCCGCTCTGACTAGGCACCACCCAGAGACAGCACCCCTGAACTAGAGCCCCTTGAGGAATAAGCTCCCTTTACAAAAGCAGTCTCAGCTCCCCAGGGACCAAGTGCTAAGCTCCAGAACAAATTCTCTGTGGCTTGAGAGGCCCCATCCGGTCAAAGAGGCCTCAGTTGAGCAACAGAACTGGATTGGAGCAGATTCTCTTCTTTGGGATTATCGTTATTATATATTTAGGTATTATTCAAGCTCCTACAACTCCAGGCAGTGGTTAAACCTGACTAACTTAAGCCACATCCAAGCCATACATCTATGATACCACTTTTAAGCAGTCACGACTTCCCCCAAAGAATTGTGGGAAATGTAGTTTTGTTAAGGCTGCTGAGAGTTGTGAGGAGACCCTCCCTATTTCCCTCACAGAGCAGCAACAATTCCCAAGCTCCTTGATCGTTGAACCACTCTGGGAATTGTAGCTCCACGAGGGGAATGGAGGTGGGGGTCTCCTCACAACTCTCAGCACCCATAACAAACTACAGCTCCCAGGATTCTTTAACAGAAGGCAGGAATGTTTATCATAGTGCTTCAAAAGCATGGTGTGAATTTGAGTTGCTCTCTGGCCTTAATGTATAAAGGTAAAGGGACCCCTGACCATTAGGTCCAGTCGTGGCTGACTCTGGGGTTGCGGCGCTCATCTCGCTTTATTGGCTGAGGGAGCCGGCGTACAGCTTCCGGGTCATGTGGCCAGCATGTCTAAGCTGCTTCTGGCGAACCAGAGCAGTGCACGGAAACGCCGTTTACCTTCCTGCCGGAGCAGTACCTATTTATCTACTTGCACTTTGATGTGCTTTCGAACTGCTAGGTTGGCAGGAGCAGGGACCGAGCAACAGGAGCTCACCCTGTTGCGGGGATTCGAACCGCCGAGGTTCTGATCGGCAAGTCCTAGGCTCTGTGGTTTAACCCACAGCGCCACCCGTCCCTTCAAAACAGGAGAACCTCTTCAGATTGGGATGAGGAGATGGGATTAAGTAACCATCTTCATATTATTATTATTATTATTGTTGTTGTTGTTGTTTTCCCAACTTTTCTCCAAGGAGCTCAGGGCGGCCTGCATGGTTCTCTTTTCCTCTCCAATTTTACCCTATCAGCCACCCTGTGAGGTAGATATTTCCAAAGGGGCAGCCTTGTCTTATTAGTCTCTTGCAGCAGAAACAACCAAAGACCTTGTCCAGTACCTAGAAATTGTTAATCTTTAAGTTGCCACAATACTTTCTAGTGTCCCCCCCCGCCCCGGTCTGTGTGAAGATTTGAACCCAGGGATTCTGGGTCCTAGGTCAACATGACCACTGCTAGACCCACCTAACGTTGCTGCCACCCACCCCTATTATCCTTTCACCCTGTCAGCCTGGGTGGTTACTACTAGAGGTTAAGGAGCTGTGTTTTGGAAGAGCTTCCTGTCTTCTGGATTTGGCAATAGCTGCCACATTGAACTCTCTGAAAATAACCTGTGCCAGGAAATTGGGCGCAATCTCCATATTAGGGACTTTCCAGAGAACCGTGCCATCATTTATAATGGTTAATGCGCCCTCACCTGTCACGCTGAAAGCATGGCCCTTGTCCCCACAGCCTGCGCCTGTTCCCCCGAAGGCTCAGTCTCCAGGATCTGCGAACCAGTAAGCGGGCAGTGCCGATGCCAACATGGTGCCATTGGACGCCAGTGCGACCAGTGCCCACCAGGCCAGTGGGGCTTCCCGACTTGCCGGCCTTGCCACTGCAACGGGCACTCGGAGGAGTGCGACTTGCACACGGGGGCCTGCCACCGGTGCCGCGATTACACGGCTGGCCGTCATTGTGAGAGGTACGCATGTGGGATTCATGGGAAAATGTGACGGGATCCCAACTGCAATAAAATGTTGCAGTGTGGAGGGCTGAGTTCGTTATGACTGGGCGACTCTTGATTGGAAAATGGAGGGGGTGGACAAGCATCGACTGACAGAGTCCCTTTCCTTCGGAAGATTGGTGCTGGTATTTGACAAGAAACACTAAATATTCCCCCTTTTAAAGAATTTCATTGCAGCAGGTTGGAAAAAAAGACAACATTCTTTTTTTGTCAGAGTCAAACAGCCCTTCTTCCCACGTTTTTCCATCTCAAACATGGATATTCTGCCCAGACACACACACACAAACACACACACACACACACACACACACACACACACAGAGAGAGAGAGAGAGAGGGGGGGGGAGATACCTTTTTTTCTGAATCATGCAGCACAGCTTGGTCCCCTGATACCAGCCTTCAAGGAAGAGATTAGAGCAGGCACTGTTAGCTTGTTTTAGGAGGAAACAGGGAGATTCCACGGGAAGATTACTGGAGGAGAGAGACACTGCAAGGAGGATTGAAAGGGGAGTATATTGTGAAGAGGCTAAACTGTGGGATGGAGCGTCAGATTATACTAATAAGGCTTATACTGAGGCAAAACCAGCTGTGATGAAGAGTGGCCAGGAAGAACGGGTGATAATTTGACATTTGAGGTGCATATTTTTAGGGCCCACCCTACTTTTGTGGTTGTAAGTTGTTTTTAATTGTTTTTAATATTGTGCTTTTAATTGCTGGGCATTAGGATGAAGGGCGTGTAATAAATTACTAACAACCACCACCACCTAAGGTTGCTCTTACTGCCTCTGTTCTCCTTTTTTTACCCCATCACAGGTGCTTGGATGGTTACTATGGAGACCCCGTCTTGGGCTCAGGGCAACAGTGCCGTCCCTGCCCTTGCCCTGGGTATCCAGGGTCTCGGCACTATCACGGCATCTCCTGCCATACCGACAGGGAAACCAATCAGATTGTTTGCCTTTGTGCTCCAGGCTATACAGGTAAGGCGTATCGAAAGGGCAAGGGATGCGGTTATATAAGTTGCCATTTTGAGGACACAGCCTCTGCAAGACTGTCCTCTAGCACACCTCCACTGCCCTTTCAGACTGCTGCTGTGCTCCATGAAGGGCCGTGACTCAATTGCACAGCATCTTCTTTGCATGCAGAAGGTCCCGGGTTTGACCCCTGCCATTTCCACGTAGGGCTGTGAAACACTCCTGCCTGAAACTGCAGAACATCTGCCAGTCAGAGTAAACAGTACTGAGCTAGACAGACTAATGCACTGAATCAGTCTTATGATCCTGCTATTATGACGTGTTCAACCGATGACTTACAGAAAAAAGAACACCCACCACCCAGGTGTCATAATCTGCTAGATGATGGGCATTCCACATGTTAGGCTGGTGGCACAACCAGCGAATTTACCAAGTCCCTGATAGGCTTTCATATTTGTGACTCATCATCATCATCAGTTTTTATTTGTACGCCACCTTTCCACAGTTAAAAAACAATGCTCAAGGCGGCTTACAGCATAACAAGATTTACATAATTACAAAAGTCATAAACAATAAATAAACCGCATCAAAAAAAAAAAATACACAACCAAGTGGGAAACAATTTCCACATAAATCAAAATCTAAAACTTAAGAATACAGCATTAATATCACAGTTTAAAATGACATAGGTAAAAAATAACAGCAATTTAAACAAAAAACAAAACAAAACGGAGCCCTCTCTGCCCAGCAGCAGCAGCGGCAGCAGCAGTCCTTTATAGAGCCCATCAGGCCCCGCCCTGGGCCAGGTGTTGAGTGGCAGGACTGGGGCCCTCAGGCGCTGAGCAGGGGAGTCCTCCTGGGTGGTAGCCCAGACTAGTTGACTGCATTCAGCTTGGTGGGTTGTAAGTTGTGCAGCCTGGATCGATCTCCCCTTCTCTTGATTCTCTCCACATGTAAACACATGCACCACTGAGCCCCTGAACCTAACTAGCAGTACAGTATTCCTTCTTGCCTTGAATTCTAGCATCTCCATGCCCCTGCCCTTCCCAGACCCACCTCTACCCTGTTGGAATTCTGCCTAGGGTCAGAGGAATGTGCCAAAGCGTAGGCACCGGCAGATATTCCTTTCGACCTCCCCGCGTCTCCACTCTGCTGATAAGCAGGCGAGGTCTCGGCGATTCTTCTCAGATGTGTGAGAGGAACACACCGTTCTTCGTCTCTCCCCTTTGGTGTTCCCCAGGAGGGGAAAGAAGCAGACAGAAAACTATTTACATCCTTTTATTTCTGTCTCTCATATCAGTACAGAGAAACATGTCTGCACTCGACAACAGCAAGAAGAAACTCCACCCAAGTACTTCCAGTACGGGTCATATGACACACACACACTGAGCTAACATCCGGTGCTCAGTACAGAATGAACTGCCCCTTTGTTTCCATGGCAACAGTCACAAACATCCTGTCTGGCTTTCCAGCCACAAGCAGCTGACTGAGCTGCTGGAGCCTTTGCTTGCTGCAGCATTGGTGCTTTAGAATAGCATCCTCCCCCTAAAGTATCAATGCTTGCTGCGAGCAAAGCGTCATCCAGAGAAGAAAACAAACAGTTGTTATACTTATAACATTCCCCTGTTGTTTCAGTTCCACCCTTGGAACTACCCGCCACTGGTTTTACCAATGTACCTCTCTGGTTGTGTGACTTCACATTACCTTGGTTAACAACTCTCTGTTGTGCCTTTGTCTCTGACTCAGACACAGCTTCAATCTGTCCTTGATCGTTTACAACAGCAACATATGCTAGGTTAGCAAACTCCTTTGAATACCTCTTGGATGGTACACCCTTTGTTGCTCTCTCAGACCTGCGTAAGAGTTGCTTCTCTTCTCTGCTTTCTGGTTCAGCCTCTGAACTCTCTGGAGAACCAGTACTAAGCTTAATCAGTGGTTCATCTTCCTCTTCTGAGGGTCTAGTCATTATTTGAGATTTCCTCTCAATGACTGTGACAATTGAGCTGTCTGAGCTATCGCTGTCATCGTCATCACCACTGTAATCTGTGACATCAGAAAAATCATCATCATCATCATCATCATCTGAATTGCCACCTGTGGGAAATGTGTGTTCTACAACCCGCTCTTGCTCTGGAGCACTCTCTAGAAACTTTGTGAGAATCACCTGACCAGATTCAGACAAAATTACTCTATAGAGACCTTTTTCATAACCCACGAAGATGCCTCTGGCATTCTTTACTCCACCTGGAGCTTCTGTTCTCACATGAGACCCGAAAACCTTGAAATATGCAACAGAAGGTTTTCTATTGAACAGCTTCTCAAAAGGAGAACATCCCAACTCTGTTGAGACTTTTCTCAACCACACATGAAGATAGGACGCTAAAGATTCGGCCCAATAATCATGTGGTAAATGTGAACTTAGCAATTGCGCATGCATCCCTTTTTGCAATTCTTTGTTCACCCTAACACAGACACATTTCTTCCATGCTTCTTCGGAAGTAGCAAGTTTGTGTCTTATCCCTTTTTCCTGCAGGAACCTCTGGAAATCCTGTAAAAGAAAAACTGGCTTGTCATCTGTGAAAAGACAATCAATGTTAGCATCATGCATACTTTTAACCTTGTCACAAAACTCCTGAAACTTTTCTAAAGTCTCCTGCGGTTTCTTCATCATATAAACCCAAGAATAATTAGTGTAACCATCAACACACAAAAGGTAATATTTTGCATTGCCTCTAGATGGTTCTAGGGGACCAATTACATCAGCATACACCCGCTGAAATGCTCTGTCGACCTTGCTGGTCACCTTCCTGGTGTCCTCTTTGTTGGTCAGATCTGCAAGAGAAATTTCGTTAGAATCAGAAGTATTACATTTCATGTAATCACTTTGATCAAAAGTCAACAAATACAGTCCATCTTTCTCTCTGGCAGTAAGAAACAGTTCTCCATCTTTGAAGATCTTGCATCTTTTAGCATCATAGTACAGTTTTAGTCCCTTCTTTGCAATCTGCGAAGCACTCAGCAGACTAAACTTCAGTTCTGGAACCAGGTAAACATCACTTATTGTCAAGTTCAGACTCTCAAGATACACAGTTCCAATTCCGGTCGCTTCCAGCTCTTGACCGTTGGCTTGTTTCACAGTGAAGCTCTGCTTCTTCAACGTCGAAAACAGTTGTCTGTGTGGGCAGAGATGCTTCGTGGCACCCGTGTCGATTATGAATGCGTTCCCAACATCTGGCGCGGTTCCTTTCGCCATCATAGCCTTTGCAGGTTTCACCTGGCACACGGTACGGCTTTTGCTTGACGCCTCAGGCTTCGTAGAGCTGTTCTTGGCTCCTTTTGACTGTCGTGGCTTCTTACAGTTCCGCTGTAGATGCCCAGTCTGTCCACAATTGTGGCATCGGACAGCACTCAATGCTACGGCATCACCAGTAGTGGGAAGATTCGAACTCTGTTCTTGCCTCCCTCTGTCTTTCACTTCCAGTGCAGCAAGTCTGTCGTGTTCGTTCAGGACGACGGCACAGACTCTCTCCGCGGTTAGCTGTTGAGCAGGTAGCGAACCAAGCTGACTGGCAACAACCTTGTAGGTGTGGCTCAGGCTGTTTATCATCATGAAGCAAAACACTTCCTCCTGTAGACGAAAATTGCGTTCCACCATCTGTTGACGCAGAAACTTCATCTCTGTCAGGTGCGCTTGAACATCTCCATCAGGCGCTAATCTCAGATTGGTCAACTTCTCAAAATACAGCAACGCTGAAGAACCGGCATCTCTCTGATGCGTTGTACGCAGCGTATCCCAAACCTCTTTCGCAAAATCCAAATGCTGTATATGCACAAGCTGCGAGTCTGACACACACAGAATTATAGCAGTCCTAGCCTTCACATTCTGTGACTCCCAAGCACGCGTTGGTGCTGCTGGGATGGGATTTTCAATCACCCCAAACAGTCTCTGATTCTGCAGCAGGGCCTTCATCTTTACAGACCAAGATGAATAATTGTCATTGGTCAGGAGGGGTGGAGAAGGCAAACCTCCCCCCTTCTTGGCATCCATTTTGAGTCCTTGCATTGACTCTAAAACACAAGCCTCTAAAATCCAATAGCTGGCTTGTTTACACGCTTGACACCTGGCAACTCTGACACTGGCTGCGTTGGAAAGTCCCTTCCAGCAGTTCGTGAGGACCTAGTCATAACAAACTTTGTTTTCGCCTCTCTGAAGCATAATCTGACTGTCCAGTCCTCTCGAATTAACTTTCCATTCTCCTGACTGAGGCACAGCCTTCTGAAGGACGTTGCTAGGCAACAGCGCATTCCTTTCCTCGGACAGGAAACCACAAAAATGCCTGGTATGCAGGCCTCTTCTAAGTTGGAGCTGCTTTCCCACACACGCTCTCCGTGAAGCAGGGAATGAATCATTCTGCATTCACACTTCTAAGCCCTTAAAAGTCTCATACCTTGAGTATCGGCTTGGCTGTCAGCTTCTTCTGGTCAGCTTCTGGCTGCAGAGAATCAGCCTCTCAAATCAGGCTTCCATGGAGCAGAGGAGGACCTTTCACCAGCCTCTCATCCAGAGGTCGATGGATCGAAACCATCCTCTGCTACCACTGTTGGAATTCTGCCTAGGGTCAGAGGAATGTGCCAAAGCGTAGGCACCGGCAGATATTCCTTTCGACCTCCCCGCGTCTCCACTCTGCTGATAAGCAGGCGAGGTCTCGGCGATTCTTCTCAGATATGTGAGAGGAACACACCGTTCTCCGTCTCTCCCCTTTGGTGTTCCCCAGGAGGGAAAGAAGCAGACAGAAAACTATTTACATCTTTATTTCTGTCTCTCATATCAGTACAGAGAAACATGTCTGCACTCGACAACAGCAAGAAGAAACTCCTCCCAAGTACTTCCAGTACGGGTCATATGACACACACACACTGAGCTAACATCCGGTGCTCAGTACAGAATGAACTGCCCCTTTGTTTCCATGGCAACAGTTACAAACATCCTGTCTGGCTTTCCAGCCACAAGCAGCTGACTGAGCTGCTGGAGCCTTTGCTTGCTGCAGCATTGGTGCTTTAGAATAACATACCCTTTACCAGAAACACAAGAGAATTGGTTGAAGAGGTACACAAAAGGAGGTGAAGGAGCTCCCAGTTCTTCTGACCTGGCAACAACCTTTCTAGTTGTTGTGATAAGGGTCGGTGAAAACAGTTCAACAGAGTTCCGCTTCCCATTGGGCCATAGTGAGAAAAGAGGAGAAATGGCCATCACTAAGTAATTGTGTGTTCTGCAGGAATGGATTTAGGCACTAGGAGAGGATATATTGTTTAGTTACTGCCCTTCCTTGCTCATGTGAGTGAAATCAGCAGAGTGCCATCGTTTGCTAAAACAAGGTTGATTTAACCTTCCAGAAACAATCCATAATGCTTTAAGGAATACTGTCACCCCTTTTCTTCCCCTTAAAAACAACATCCACGCATTGTTTTGTGAAGAAATAAAAGTAGCATTTACTTACATAATCCAGCTCTTGAAGCGGCAGTTACAGAAGCAAAATGAAGGCAGGTTTATAACTACGATCTAAGTCACAAAAGTACAAAATGTAAGTTCTGAAATGGTGTCTGAGCTGCAGAGCTCAGACACGTACGTTTGGTCAGCTTGGAAGCGTGGCGAGGAAAGAAAGGGCTGCCCAGGCAGGAAGGAAATATGTAGGGCTACAGCTTCCTGCCAAGGTAAACAAAGGAAGTGACCTCACCGAGTTCTCTCTTGCAAAAGCCCTGTGAGCCACAACCCCTTCGTGTGTCCATCTAGAAAAGCATGTATTGTTGGTCTGACTGCAGTGACGGTCTGCATGTCCTGCTCCCACCCCTCAGTAACGTCCCATGTCTCTGGCAGGACCACGGTGTGACCACTGCTCGCCTGGCTATTTTGGAGCCCCTGAGCAGGAAGGTGGAGCCTGCCGCCCCTGCCAGTGCAACAACAACATTGACCCCAGCGACCCCGAAGCCTGTGATCCGCACAGCGGCCAATGCCTTCGCTGCCTTTACCACACTGGCGGGCCCCACTGTTCTGAGTGCCAGCCTGGCTTCTATGGCAATGCCTTCCAGCGTAGCTGCCGACGTGAGTAGGGTGGCCGGGCCTGGATTGTGAGGATGGCTGGGAGGAACTTGTGATTCGAGAATGAGAAGTGGTGTTTGGCAGGCTTTGTTGTGGCTGGGGGGCCCCATGCAGGCTAGAGGAAGGAGGGTGTGGCAGGCTTGAGTAGATCTGTAGTCCATGGAACCAGGGCTGACCCTGTTCATTAGGTAGAGTGAGGTGGTCACTTTAGGCAGCAAATGTTGGGGGTGGTAGTGATGACAGCAGCAGCAAGATGCTGGAGAACAGAGGACAAATAAGAGTTTGCTAGTGAAGATAAACCGGGTTGATGGAAATTGAAAATGTTATTCTTTGAAGGAGAACTACCTGGAAATGATTTACAGGTGGTATTTAACACCGAGTAGGCTTGCTAAGATGTATAAGACTGAATCAGATAAGTGCTGGAGATGCAAAGAGGTTGAGGGAACGTTCTTTCACATGTGGTGGGCTTGTAAAAGGGTATAAGAGTACTGGGAAATGATCCATAATCAATTGAAAAAATGTTTAAAAGTACTTTCCCCCAAAAAACCAGAGTCCTTTTTGTTGGGGATAATTCAGACTGAAATTCCCAGGTGTCAAAAAAGGTTATTTATGTATGCTATTACAGAGGGAGGCGGGTGGCGCTGTGGGTTAAACCACAGAGCCTAGGGCTTGCCGATCAGCAGGTCGGCGGTTCGAATCCCTGCGACAGGGTGAGCTCCTGTTGCTCGGTCCTTCTCCTGCCACAGTCTAGCAGTTCTAAAGCACGTCGAAGTTCAAGTAGATAAATAGGTACTGCTTCGGCGGGAAGGTAAACGGTGTTTCCATGCTTCTCTGGTTAGCCAGAAGCGGCTTAGTCATGTTGGCCACATGACCCGGAAAAACTGTCTGCGGACAAACGCCGGCTCCCTCGGCCAGTAAAGCAAAATGAGCGCTACAACTCCAGAGTCGTCCGTGACTGGACCTAATGGTCAGGGGTCCCTTTACCTTATGAATGCTACTATTGTGGCCTGTGTTTCGTTAGCCCAAAAATGGAAAAGGAGCGAGGTCCCAACTAAAGAAGAATGGCAAAATAAGCTGGCAGAATATGCGCAGCTTGCAGACTTAACACATAGAATAAGAGAACAATAAGATCATACGTTTAGAGAAGACAGGGAAACATTTATTGAATATAGGGGGGGGGGGTGGAAATTGTGTACATTTGAAAATGCTGGCAGCCTTAAGATAAATTCTCTTTTCCCAAGGCTGTACCTGCAACGAACAGGGCACGCTGCCCTCGCACTGCTCCAAAGGCATCTGCCACTGCGATCGAACTACAGGCAATTGCCCCTGCCGCCCCAACGTGGTAGATAAGAACTGTGACAGGTGCGCCCCCAACTTCTGGGGCTTCGGCAGCGACGTGGGGTGTCAGCCGTGCAACTGTGACCCTGCCCATTCGTTACGGTCAGACTGCAACATGGTAAAGTGGCCGAGCGCTCGAGAGCGTTAGCCTAAGAGGGGGAGGCACCTGGGCGGCTCATGCACCAGCGTTCTAGCCCTACTGCCACCGCTTCACCTTTCACTTCCTTCAGTTCACAGGGCAATGCCACTGCCTGCAGGGCTTCGGGGGCCGGGTTTGCTCCCACTGTCAAGAAGATCACTGGGGGGACCCGGAACGGGAATGTCTAGGTGAGTACGAGTGCGCAGTGCAAGCGAGAATCTTCCGCTCCAAACATTGTACGCGGGTGCTGCATTGTGAGGTCAGGTGATTGACAGATGGCTAATCCCACCCACCGGTCAAATTTGGCCCATGAGGGTTAGGAGATCTGGATGAGTTTCCCCACCTCCTGACATTGCAAGCTCAGGTTCTCTGACAATGCCTTACTTGAGCACCTGTGCTTCTCTGCTAATGGTGGTTGCCCCAAAATTGTTGGCCCTAAAGAAATGCCTCCCCTGGTCTATTGACCAGTAGGCAACTGTGCAAGCTGATCCTTCTTTGCAAGTGAGTTATGGGATAACCGCTGCTTTTGCCCGTCTTCCCACAAAAACACATGTGGGCTGTGTATCTTTAGCATTGTTTTAGAGTGATGGTTCTATCGTGTGTGTGTGTTTTAAACATCTTTATCGAAAGTTCAAAACGTACATAATTATATGTGCACTAAACATGGTGAGATGTAAATAACAGAGAGAGAAAGAAAAAGAGAAACAGAACCCGTGTAGAAGGGAAAATGAAGGGGGGGTGAAACCCTCAAAACTGTATGCTTTACAAGCTTGTTATTGTACGTCACCAGATCTTAACCTATTACAGTATTTGTAAGAATAGATTCCAAATATCATTGAATTTGTCCGTGGCAAGTCTGTGTTTATATGCAAGTTGTTCATATGTTGCGAGTTTATAGAAGTCTTCAATCCAATTGTATAATAATATAATAATAATAATAAATTTTTATTTATACCCCGCCCTCCCCAGCCAGAGCCGAGCTCAGGGCGGCTAACACCAATAAAATCAGAGCAGGGAGCCGCATTGTTATTTTTCCAGCTCATCAGTATTAGTCATTTTGCTGTGGTAAGGGCACAGAGAGTCCACTCGTCCTGTCTTTCTGTAATGTTTTGTAAGGTGTGTTTTAATGGTGCGTGCTTATACAGTGGTACCTTGGGTTAAGTACTTAGTTCGTTCCGGAGGTCCGTTCTTAACCTGAAACTGTTCTTAACCTGAAGCACCGCTTTAGCTAATGGGCCTCCTGCTGCCACTGCGCTGCCGGAGCCCGATTTTTGTTCTTATCCTGAAGCAAAGTTCTTAACCTGAAGCACTATTTCTGGGGTAGCGGAGTGTGTAACCTGAAGCGTATGTAACCTGAAGCGTATGTAACCCGAGGTACCAATGTGTTTCAATGCGGTGCAACTGGCTTTTGTACTGGTTCGGAATGAAATGGTACTAATAAACAAACTAAAGCTTGCTTGGGGAATGACCTCCGGTTTTTGCCCCCTGCAGCTTGTGAGTGTGACCCCACGGGGTCCGAGAGCCTGCAGTGTGACCGTCTCACGGGGCACTGCCCCTGCCGAGGTGGCTTCACGGGACCGCGCTGCGACCAGTGCCGGCGGGGCTTCCAGCAGAACTTCCCCCGTTGCTCCCCCTGCCACCCTTGCTTCGGCCAGTGGGACGCGGTTCTGGCACAGCTCTGGGAACAGCTGCGGAGGCTGCAGGGCACAGTGCAGGCCCTGAAGGAAGGGGGGCCCATCCCAGTGGCCAGCAGCAGCCGCATGCGCAACCTGGAGGACAGGCTGGGTGACGTCGAGCGGCTCCTTGGGGACGGCAGCAGTCCAAGCACTCCCCTGTTGCAGCAGCTCAGTGCCCTTCTGGAAGATACCAGGTAAGGAGACGTGAGGTAGAATTGAAGCAGAAAAAGGGGGAATGGTCTGTTGTTGGGTTTTTTTTATTATTATTACAGTGGTACCTCTGGTTACGTACTTAATTCGTTCCGGAGGTCCGTTCTTAACCTGAAACTGTTCTTAACCTGAAGCACCATTTTAGCTAATTGTGCCTCCTGCTGCCGCTGCGCCGCCGGATCACAATTTCTGTTCTCATCCGGAAGCAAAGTTCTTAACCTGAAGCACTATTTCTGGGTTAGCAGAGTCTGTAACCTGAAGCATATGTAACCTGAAGCGTATGTAACCCGAGGTACCCCTGTATTAAATATTTTCTTGTTTTACAGAAGTATGTGTAATGTCTCTCGTATTTTTTCCATGTAACATTTTTCCAAATCAGTTTCATTTGTTGAGACATGGCGATGTTTCTATTTTCTTAATGTATGTAGGGTTTGGTGTCAGCGTTGCTCGTGCTGTTCATTTGTGTTTCTTTGGTGGTGAGAGAGGTTGGGCTGTTGTTTTAAGAAAATTATACAGACAGCAAAACAAAGAAGTCTGAGTTAACATTGCCTTCTACCAATAAGAAATAATAATAACTATTATGGTAATGAAAATACTAAAAATACATTTACTTCCCCTTTTGAACTTCTATTCTGGTTACAATCTATTACTATTCTATAAGAATCTATTATATCCTTTGCTGTCCCATATATTATTTTATTTCCCAAATTCAACCTAACCCTCCCCTCCTCCCCACTGCTTCCCTTCACCTGTGTGAGAACTTCCCAACATAATATTTTTTCTAGTTGCTTTCACGAAATAAAATAACATGAAAAATTAGAAATTATAATTATTTCTTTTGTCCTGACACACTTAACAAGTTGTTAAGCGTGAAATTGGTCTGTTTTTTTATTCAGTTTGTGCATGCCAGAAATTGAAGGATATGATAACCTTTGTGCTTCAAGTTTTTCCTCTGTGGGCACATCCAGACTGAAAAACCGATTAACAACCATCCACTCCTGGACATCTTAATTTGGGGTGTGGGGAATAAAGGAGCTAGAAGTTATAGAATCACGGAATCATGGAAATGTAGAGCTAGAAGGGACCCGAGTGCTGTCTAGTCCTACGGTGCAGGAATCTCAACTAAAGCATCCCTGACAGATGGCCCTCCGGCCTCTGTTTAAAATAACCTTACAGGAAGAAAGACTCCACCACCTCCTGAAAGAGTCCGTTCCTCTGCCAAACAGCTCTTACTGTCAGAGAGTTCTCCTGGTGGTTAGTTGGAATCTCCTTTCTAGTACAGTGGTACCTCAGGTTAAGTACTTAATTCATTCTGGAGGTCCGTTCTTAACCTGAAACTGTTCTTAACCTGAAGCACCACTTTAGCTAATGGGGCCTCCTGCTGCCGCCACGCCGCCGGAGCACGATTTCTGTTCTCATCCTGAAGCAAAGTTCTTAACCTGAAGCACTATTTCTGGGTTAGCAGAGTCTGTAACCTGAAGCGTATGTAACCTGAAGTGTATGTAACCTGAGGTACCACTGTAACTTGAAGCCATTGGTTCAGGTCCCAGCCTCCAGAGCAGAACAAAACGTGCTTGCTCCATCTTCCACGTGACAGCCCTTTAGATAGTAGAACATGGCTATCATATCTCCTCTCAATCTCCTCTTTTCCAAGCTAAGCATACCCAGCTCCTTCGACTGTTCCTCATACGGCGTGGTTTCCAGAGCCTTGACCATCTCCTCTGCACACATTCCAGCTTAGAGAGTTATCAGCACTACAGTTCCCAAAACCATTAGGCAAAAGGCGTGGTGGTGAAAGAGCGCTATAAACCAACAAAATTTGGTAACGCAGTCCTATCCACCTTGTATTCTCCCTTGCCACCCAGCTGTGGGGACGTGCAGCACTTGAATCATTTTGCGTGCCTTATTTCTATCCTGCTTTTCCCACTCCCGACAACCCTGCGAGGTAATAATAATAATAATAAATTTTATTTATATCCCGCCCTCCCCAGCCGAAGCTGGGCTCAGGGCGGCTAACAACAATAAAATAATACAACATTCTAAAATCATTTCATTATAAAATTAGTTCAACTCAAATTGATGGCAACCATTAGGCTAAAGTTCTGTGAAGATTGCCGAGGGAGGGAGTCAGGCTGCGCCCTGACCAAAGGCCTGGTGGAACAGCTCTGTCTTGCAGGCCCTGCGGAAAGATGTCAAGCCCCGCAGGGCCCTAGTCTCTTGTGACAGAGCCTTCCACCAGATCGGAGCCACAGCCGAAAAAGCTCTGGCTCTAGTTGAGGCCAGCCTAACCTCTCTGTAGGTAGGCCTACGAGATAGCGCTTTGCCCAACAAGCGCCGCAGCCAAGTTGGACATACATGCTGTGTTCCTTCCCACCACTAGGGCGGACACAGATGAGCTCTGGCAACAGCTGCAGGCTACAGACTCGCACCTGGACGGCACCGAGAAGGAAGCTGGCGGGCAAAAGAGGCGTCTGAATGTGCTGAGCCAAGAGCTAGGGGAGCTCAACCGCACCGTCAGCTACCTCAACAGCCAGCTGCAGAGGATGACAAACGCCAGCTTCAACAGTAAGAAACGTGGGGGGGGGGGCGGTATCTGGGCAGAAGAAGGATCTAGGCACGGGTCACGGGACCACCTCTGAAATGTACCTCTTTTGTGCCGGCAGAGTCTTTCCAAAGCATCCTGGGATTCTTCCAGGAGTCACAGCTGGCCCAGCAGCGAGCGAACAGCTCCGTCCACGGCCCTCAGAGCCCGGTGGGTCAGTCCAAGCTCACGCACCAGGCCACCGTTGAGCTCCTGAGGCGCAGGGGAGATGCTTTCCGCAAGACGGCAGCTGCTCAGCGGAAGTCTTTGCGCGACCTCCAGAAAAAGGCCGGCAGCCTCAGTCTGAGCAGGATCAACCAGAAGGCGAGTTATTGTTCAGGGCGAGGCTGCGGGGCAAGAGAACGGAGGGGAGCAGAGAGGTGTTTGTTGGAGGGGAGAGCTGTGGCCTGGGTGATAGGGATGGGGTGGAAATTCTGGGTCGAAGGGCTAATTTGCACTTTCTGAAATACTGTGCAAACCCGGTTGGGGCTGGTTGTGGTGGGGTGGTAACCATTGTTTGGAATTCGTCCTTATCATAATTTTGCAGTACGATTCTCCAGCCAAGTCATGTGTACAAAGATGCATGGGCTAGGATAAAGTATGCATGCTATTAGTGGGGGGAAAGATACAACAACACATTATATTAGGGAGCGTCACTTTGTAAAGATGTGCATACAGTAAGCCCCAACTGACACACATTTAACTAGTGTGCATTTCGCTTTACATCCATGGCAGGAAATAAAAATAAAATGGAAAGGGGGGCAGGGTTCCAGGAAAAATGATTTTGGCCATCCCGCCTGAGCTTGAACCCAGTCGATTTTGACTTTATGCCATTTTGGCTTTAGGCACGATCCCTGGAACATAACACTTGCATAATGTTATGTTTTTAATGTTTGATGTTTTATCGCTTTATTATTATTATTATTATTATTATTATTATTCTGTTGGGAGCTGCCCAGAGTGGCTGGGGAAACCCAGCCAGATGGGTGGGGTAATAATAATAATAATAATAATAATAATAATAATAATAATAATAATAATAATTTATATGTTGCTCTGGAGCTTACTGCATTGGGGGGGGGAATAGAATACAAAACGCTGTATATAAGGGTAAATTTGCATCAAAATTTGCTGGTGAATCTTTATGGGGGATTATTTGAAAAATATTTGCAGGCTAACATGGAAATGTGGAGGGCTTAACTTAAGATGGGGGGGGGAATGAGAACCTCACTTTCTCCTGCCCCCAGTTCTGGCCCTCCTTTCTCTTGTTCCATTTTTCTATTCAAGGGATTTTCTATGCAACTCCTGTTTCCTTGCACTGATCTTGGATTCCTCTTGCTCTAGATCTGCGGTGCTTCTGGAGAAGAGGGCTGTGAGCAGACCCCGTGCGGAGGGGCTTCCTGCCGGGACAGCTTAGGTCAACGGCACTGTGGAGGCCCCGGCTGCACTGGAGCGCTGCCCGTGTCCATGAAGGCCCTCTCTACAGCTCAGAACATCTCTCGCCAGCTGGAGAGCAGCGCAAGGCACCTGGGCACCATTGCTAGCAAGGTACAGTAGCAGCAGAAGTGTATGTAAACAGGTTAAGAAGAAATGCCATTCGTGTTGAGGCAAAGACTTCACTGCAGATTTATTCAAGGGTTGGGCTCCTGTCAGCCTGGGACAGAAACCGTGTGCCTCTCTTTAGGATGGAAAGTTTCAGGAGGGTGAAAGAAAAAGCGAGGCCTTTTTGTTCTTTCCCACCCTCCTGGGGTCTTCTCCTGTTCAGCTACATAGTACTTTAAAGGGTTTGGGGCTGACTCCCAACTGCACACCTGAGCTGTCTAGCAGAATGGTGAAGTTTCCAAAGGGTGGGAAAAGGCAAAAATGTTTTGCTTTCCCCCCTTTCCCTCCCTGAAATCTGCCTGTACAGTGGTGCCCCGCAAGACGAATGCCTCGCAAGACGAAAAACTTGCTAGACGAAAGGGTTTTCCGTTTTTTGAGTCGTTCCGCAAGACGAATTTCCCTATGGGCTTGCTTCGCAAGACGAAACGTCTTGCGAGTTCTTGCGAGTTTGTTTCCTTTTTCTTAAAGCTGCTAAGCCGTTAATAGCCGCTAAGCCGCTAATAGCCGCTAAGCCGTTAATAGCCGCTAAGCCGCTAATAGCCGCTAATAGCCACTAAGCCGTTAATAGCCGCTAAGCCGCTAATAGCCGCTAATAGCCACTAAGCCGTTAATAGCCGCTAAGCCGCTAATAGCCGTGCTTCGCAAGACGAAAAAACCGCAAGACGAAGAGACTCGCGGAACGGATTAATTTCGTCTTGCGAGGCACCACTGTATAATGCAGGTAGGGGATATTCTTTAACTTCATGGCACACAGGGGCGTCTTGCCCATAGAGGCAAGTGGCGCGGGGCGCCAGGGCGCCAAGTTCTGGAGGGTGCCAGGGAAAAGGCGGAGGCTGGACGGCGGCGCCTCCTGGCATCAGCTCGCTGCCCTCGCCCGCCTCACAGAAGCAGCGCCATGCCCGGAGGCTCCGCCTCTTCCCCACCAGAGGAGTCGCCCTCCAGCCGCTGCCCGCCTCCTCCAGCCCCGCAAAGCTGCCGGAAGCATCGTAAAAAGGTTGTTAACTCTCGGAAATGTGGGGGGGGGGCGCCGGAGGGTTCTCTGCACTACAGCGCTGGCACACATCCTCTCTAAACCTCTTCCCTTCCCCCTTTTCCACTTCCCACAGCTGACACAGCTCATTGGCTGGCTGTTTGCTTTGGGATGCTAAGCTTCAGTGCTTTGGGATGCTAAGCTTCAGTGTTCACTCTTAGGTGCAAGAAATCCAGGACTTGGCGCAGAATGCCAGGAGCCATGCTCAGGACACTCTGGACCGTGCACAGGGGGCCCGGAACCGCGTGGAGAAGTCGACGGCCAAGCTGCGGGAATTTATCCAGAGGATAAAGGACTTCCTAGCAGGTAGCAGAACATCAGGCTTGCTCTGAACACCAGTCCAATGTGACATGCAAAGGGATGGATGTGGTGATGTTGTTAACCACCTGCCCTTTGCCCTAAGGTCCCAGGGCAGCTTACAATGATTAAAACGCAATATTGAAAACATTTTTAAGACAGCTCGCAAGCAGGGTGGGTGGGTGGGTGGGGGGAATGTACAGGTTATATAGGCAAGCATATTTGCACTAAGTCGTGCTGTGACAATGTTGGTAGTTGGACATCTAGATTTAGGGCTGTGTGTGTGTGTCAAGGAAGGGCCGTCTTTAGCATATGGGCCACCGGGGTGCAAAGATCCGCCCAGTGCCCCCAAATTTAGTTTAGCTGCCCCCAAGGGAGCTTTTTTGGGGGGGATCGCTCACCTGTAACAACGACGCAGCAGGAAAAAAATGCTTCTGTTTCCTGACTTGTTGGGAGTATTTGATGCTATAAGTAACAGAGTGATGGGGGGGACTTCCGCTCCATTGCTTTTCACTGCCACCAATCGAGAGGGACCGGTATACAGTAGGTATACATTTGGCACGCCCCAGAATCTGGCGCCCAGGTGTGCAGCACCCCTTGCACCCCGGGTAAAGACGGCCCTGTGCCAAGACCTACATGGGTGGATGGGAAACAAGGATGGATAGTTCCAGGCCTGTTCTTGTCTCCATAGAGGAAGGTGCTGATCCTGAGAGCATTGAGCTTGTGGCTCAGCAGGTCCTCAACATCTCCCTACCCAGCAGCCCTGATCAGATCAGCAACCTGATTAAGGACATCCGGGATAGAATCAGTCAGCTGGACGGGGTGGACATCATCCTGAACGACACGGTGCACAGCCTGAACCGTACCAGGGAACTCCTGGCAAAAGCGGAACTAGCTAAGTGAGTCTCTATGTCGGCGGGGGGGGGGGGCCCACAGATTTTATTTTTGCTAATTGAGCTTTTTTATGTTAATCAAGTCACAAACTGCATATTTCTCAATGTCATAATTTGTTCAAGTCCTGATATCATAGCAATATGCACCAGCTTCTGGTCATTACTGGTAAAAACTGGCTGAGCAATGGGGCCAATTTTTAGGAATGTTATTATAAACTGTATGCTGGAAAAGCTAAAACAAGCCCCAAGAATTGTGGCCAGCTCCTCTACAGTGCTTGTGAATGTGTTTTGGCATGACTTGTGAGCAATACCCAAAACAATAGCTGCTTGGGTTTAAATTTGTCAGTGGTATCGTGTATTTATCTTTATGTTTTTAAAATATGTTGCAAATTGCTTGGAAAACTTTGGGTAATGAGTGACTAATGAATCTAATAAATAAATAGTGTTAATATTAATAGTAGCATGGCTTGTTAGGGTGTGCCATTTTAGGAGGATGAAGCTTACTTTTTGCAAATTTATTCCGTGAGGGGGTCTTTAAAATACAGGGGGTGGGGTTGGGTGTGAGGAACTCCAATCTGCTATTTTTTTGTGATTGGACAACCCTTAGCTTGGTAAGTCTACGTTTGACAAAGAAGCATATAAAATGCTTTTGTCCTTAAGCCACAAAAACCTGTGTTGCAGTAAGATTGCTAGTCTTTTCAGTGCTCCAGCTCTCTGTTATGCTCTATGCCCAGAGGGCGAGCGGAGGGTGTGCAAGAAACCATCACAGAAACACGCGCGGCACTCAATGGAACAAAGGTCAAACTGGAGGCAGCAGAGCAAGCTATGAACAAAACCAAGGAAGCCATCCAGGCTGTGACTGGCCGCGTCAGACAGGTGAGATGAACTGAACCACCCGGTGGCCAGAAAAGCTTCTTTAAACATTTCCTGTACTCTTTCAGTGGGCAGCCCACTGCTCATCCATGCTAAACCACAGTTTATTTCAACCAATGCAATGCCACACTGTGGCCACCATGGCAGAGACATGCCAGGCCAATCAAAGAGCAGACAAGGCCAAAACAAAAGTCGGTTTGCAACAACTTCCTTGCTGTATTAAAACTGATGGTGCAAATGTGCCCTGCGATTGTCCCTTCCTTCATGATGCTACCCAGTGATGGGCTGGGGACCAGGTGTGGGGCTGCCTGGCTCTGAGGTCTCCCCAAGGCAGCAGGGAACTGGTAATGATGCTGGCACAGCAGCAGAGCCAATCCGAGGCTCCAAACTCTGCATCCACACTGTGCCAAGCCCCCCGCCCCACTGTCTTGCTCCTCCCCCTGTAACCAATACAGAACAACAAACCCCTGTGTTACAAACTTAAGACAACAAACAACACAAGCAACATGATGGCCAGTATACTAGATAGCACTGCAGTTCTTATTGCATAATATACATGTTTTAGTACAACAAAAACAAAATGTGTACACTTGTAAATTCTCTAATATATTTGAAATCAAATGAACACACGTCTGTCAATCTTTGAAAGTCCGTAAAAGTATAAAGTCTATAGTTGAAGCAAAGTAATAGATGCTATCCTGTGGGCTAAGCGGTAAAACGTTTTAGGCGTTCAGGTGCCAAAGTAGTAAGTGAATAACAACGTAGGACAGTGATTCTGGATAATCTGACTGTTTCGCTGGAATCGTCTTCAGCACAACCCATAGATTAGAAAAATGCACAAGGAGCAGTGGTCATAAGGATATGTAACACCTGTAACCAGCTGCAACACATGGGCGCTGGGAAAACAGGAGAGCAATGCAGTCCCACTTCCACAGTCCCATCGGCTGCCACTGCTGCTTCTTGAAGTGAAAAGTTCTGCCCAGGTAGGCTTTCCTCTTTTTCTCAGCAGTCAGCGTTTTGACTGCGCCTTGCGGTTTTTCTTTCTCCCAGGCCGGACGCAAGCTCGAGAAACTGGTCGACGCAGAGTCGAAACTGGAGAGCCGCCTCAAAGGTCTGGCGCAGAACGTGAGCGCATTGCAAAACAAGTCCCAGAACAATCAGAAACTCGCCCAGGAGGCCAAGGGAAAAGCGGAGCGTGCCACCACTGCTGCGGGGAGGCTGGAAAATGTGAGTGTCCCTCTTCCCTCTGATCACCACCACTGCCAACGGCTACTGTGTCAACTTGCCCACATGTCTCTTGCCAACACTCTAGATGCCAACACTTCTGCCTTCTTCCATGACAACTCTTCCCCCGTAACCACTTTTTTCAAGCAACCCCCCCCCCGAATTAGAAACCCGAATTCAATATAATAATAATAACAATAATAAAGTGATTTATTATGCTACCCATCTGACTGGGTTGCTGCAGCCACTCTGGGTGGCTTCCAACAATTTATAAAACCACAGTACAACATCAAATATTAAAAACTTCCCTCAACAGGGCTGCCTTCAGATGTCTTCTAAAAGTCAAATAGTTGCTTATTTCCTTAATGTCTGACAAGAGGGTGTTCCACAGGGTGGACATAAATACAGTGGACGCTCAGGTTGCGAACGTGATCCGTGCGGGATGCACGTTCACAACCCACAGCGTTCGCAACCTGCAGCGGTGCGCCTGCGCACACGCAGGTTGCAATTTGGCGCTTCTGCACATGCGCAAAGCCTGATTTAGCACTTCTGTGCATGCGCGACTACCAAAACCTGGAAGTAACCCGTTCCAGTACTTCCTGGTTTCGGCAGGTGTGTAACCCAAAAAAACACAACCTGAAGCGTCTGTAACCTGATATTTGACTGTACAGAGAAGGCCCTCTGCCTGGTTCCCTGTAACCTCACTTCTCACAATCGGGGAACCACCAGAAGTGCCTCGGAGCTGGACCTCAGTTTCCAGGCTGAACTATGGGGGTATATAGGGCCGAAGCCATTTAAGGCTTTAAAGGTGAGCACCAACATTTTGAATTGTGCTCTGAAATGTACTGGAAGCCAATATAGATCTCAATAGAGATCTTTTATGACTGGTGTTATATGGTCCTGGCAGCTGCTCCCAGTCACCAGTTTGGCAGCCGCATTCTGGATTAGTTGTCATTTCTGCGTCACCTTCGAAGGTAGCCCCATGTAGAACGCATCACAGTAGTCCAAGCAGGAGATAACCAAAGCAAACAATGTTAAACCAAACACTGGCCTTCAACAGGTGGGTTGTGTCATGGCCTGATCTAAGGTGAGTCTTCAACTGCAGCTCTATTACTGTACAAATATATGGTAGTAAAAAAATATTAAGGAATGGATCCGCAAATGCAATGCTTTAAACTGAAAGTGGGTCCTGGGCTGGCATAGCTTACTGAACCAAATTGAAGTGAATCTCATGTGAACTAGAGGCATCCAGCCAAATCATTGGCTAGAGAGTTAGCACCTCGTTAGCGTCTCTCCAAGCCTTTGCTGTAGTGGTGAACTTCAATCTCTTGTGTCCCCAGGAGGTGGAGAAAGTGATGAAGAGATACCAGAAGTTGCAGGAAGAAGTGGACAAGCAGCCTCAAGATGCAATGCTCAGGCTGAAAAACCTCAGGGAGGAAGCCCAGAATCTCTTGGACAAGGCCACGGGCAGCAAGAGGAAGCTGGAAGGTAGGGACACCACGGGTGTGGTTGGGCAGGATCCCAACCTCCAAAAATAAAATAAAATTTGGTGTTGGAAATGTTTACTCTAAAGGCTCCCCCCCCCTTATTGACACCACTGTATGAACACAGCCTGTGTCCTATTTTGGTATGCAAAATAAGGGAGAGGAGAAGCAGAGCTCCAGTCGAGCCACAGGCATTCTGAACTGGGAAAGGGATGGTGTGATGCTTCAGCAGGTGGCGTGTGTGCTTTTGGGGAGGTGGGGCCTGTATAGCAGGGCGTCTGGAGGTTTTCAGGAAGTTACAACTGAGTGCATCGGGCACAGGTTTGGCATCAAAGGAAGACAAGACAGGCAACTCCCCATTTAGGCAAGGGGTTACGTTCTGAGGCACTGCTCCTTTAAGTGAAATCGCGTGTATTCGAAACACCATTGGAAAAGCCTGCAAGCACCCTCTAACCCTCTGGAAACCCCTTTGAAAAACCAGCAGACACCAAACTCCACCACAATCGCTCCCTCCAAACCTCCTTGCTCAAGCCCCAACTCTCCTCAGGCCTCAACGGTCAGTGCAAGGGATCATGGGATTGCCAGGCGCTTTTTTCCGCACCTTTCCCACCCCTTCTGGGCTGGTTTAGGGCCCTTTTGCCATTTTAAAAGTCACTTCTGGGTTCAGCGCGCATGCACGGTCGCGCATTGGTCGTTGCCTTTAACAGTAAGTTGGAATGTGTACAGCAGTTTGGAGTTTTCAGAGAGCCTCACACATCATTATTACCCCCCGTGTTTTGCGGGTGCGGCTGAGACTGAGAGATGGTGATGTGTCAGAGCTGAGGCTGAACCCAGTACAGTGGTACCTCGGGTTAAGTACTTAATTCATTCTGGAGGTCCGTTCATAACCTGGAACTGTTCTTAACCTGAAGCACCACTTTAGCTAATGGGGCCTCCCGCTGCCGCTGCGCCGCTGGAGCACAATTTCTGTTCTTATCCTGAAGCAAAGTTCTTAACCTGAAGCACTATTTCCGGGTTAGTGGAGTCTGTAACCTGAAGCGTATGTAACTCGAGGTACCAGTGTACATAGCTCAGCTTCATGGGTGCTTTCTCCTGTGGCACATCCTCTTCCATTCCCTTTCCATTAATAATAATAATAATAATAAATTTTATTTGTACCCCGCCCTCCTCAGCCAAGACCGGGCTCAGGGCGGCTGACACCAGGTACAAAAACAATTGATTAAAATAAAACTTAAAAACAAGATTAAACTACAACATTAAAATGCAGCCTCATTTCAGTAGAAATTCAAATCAAAAACTTTTGGGGGATGAAAACGTCAAATCTTCACCAAGGCCAACTATCCAGACTGGTCCTACATGGGTCAGAAAAAAGCCAGGGAAGTCCCCAAATAGGAGTTCCATCACAGAAAGGGAAAGGAAAAAGGAAAGAGGGGAAGGGGATCAAGTTGATTCCAAGCCAAAGGCCAGGCGGAACAACTCTGTCTTACAGGCCCTGCGGAAAGAAATCAGATCCTGCAGGGCCCTGGTCTCATGAGACAGAGCGTTCCACCAGGCCGTAGCCAGTGTTGAGAAGGCCCTGGCTCTGGTTGAGGCTAATCGGACTTCCTTAGGGCCTGGGACCTCTGGGGTGTTGCTATTTATGGACCTTAAGGTCCTCCGTGGGGCATACCAGGAGAGGCGGTCCCGTAGGTACAAGGGTCCTAGGCTGTGAAGGGCTTTAAAGGTCAAAACCAGCACCTTAAATCTGACCCTGTACTCCACCGGGAGCCAGTGCAGCTGGAAAAGCACTGGGTGAATATGAAAAACTGTTGTCACCAGGGCCATGCTCCATCTTCGAAAAAACGCCTGCCTCTTCTTTTCAGAGCTGGAAGGGCGCTTCGAGGCCAACGAGAAACAAATGAAGGAGAAAGCAACCGTGCTGCAGAAGCTGGAGGGACAAGTGACCGAACTCCTGCAGTACATCCGGGACAAAGCCACGGCCTATGCTACGTGCTAGGGGCCCTGTTTCCTGCCAGCTCCGGACTCTGCCGCAATGGGGACCTCCTATACATGTCTCTGGCCGTCTCCTCTCTCTGAGACCCTAGCTGTAGATTTGGGGGCCTTCGTGTAACCCTCTTCTTTTTAATCTCCACCTGATTGTACCAGTTAGGCCCGCCTGGGATCAGGCATATCAGGGCGATTTCAGTGCCAGCATCTCATAGACACGCAGTTACATTGCGGTGGTGCCGTTAGGTAAATTAAGACTTAATGGGGAAGGGCCGTAACCGTAGAACCTCTGCTTTGCATGCAGAAAGTCCCGGGTTCACAATCTCCAGCATTCTCCAGGTAGGGCGGGAAGACGCGTCTGAAATCCTGGCAAGCCACTGCCAGTCCGTGTCGACATTACAGAGCCAGATGGGCCCGACGGTCTCATGCAATATAAGGCAGCTTCTTATATTTTGTAATTGTCTTACAGGGCCGCTCTCTTTAGAGGGCAACGGGTGTTACCTGAATCGTAATGGTTACCATTTTGAGGTTCCTTCTAACTGTCATTCCACTTCAGATTCATTATGATAAGCCCATCTTTCTTATTCTCCCTAGATTTCTGTCCTTAAGTCTCGCCCTGATGGCATCTGTTCGGTCCACAGGCTGTCCCAGAACGGGGGGGGGGGATAGAAAGCCTTATTCCTGCAGATTATCTGCCCCAATATGTCCACACCAGCTCAATGAATGGATGAGTTCCCCTCTGGGCGACTTCTCTTTGCCCTTGGGCTCTTTTGCTGTTGCCGTGGAAAGCACCCAGCTGCTTCGGCCTGCAGCCTCAGGCATAGACAAGGGACGCAGAGTTCTACCTGTTTTATCAAGGGTAGTGGGAAATTGCCTGTGGCTTTCAGTTGCCTCCTGAGGTTTCTTTAACCTCAGCAAAGAAATATATTTAGTCCTGGACTTGACGCCCCACAGCTGCCCCCCTTTCTTGTGAAATGGATGAAGTCACACACAGCGCTTCCCCTCCCACCGAAAAATGGTTCTAGTCAAAAGCGGTATGATGTTCAGCACTTCCTCCGAGAGTTCCCTCCTATTCCACTCAAGATTGAGAGGTTCCTTCTTCCCACTTCCTTTCCCCTATGTGAATTGCCTCAGGATACTAATGATTGCACAAATAGCTTTAAATAGTTGTTTCTTTGTTTTCTAAGATGACACAGATTCATAGAAGGTGTCTGTCAACTGCTATTAGTCAACTCTTTTGAGCAAGTGAAGGTGCGTCACACCCAAGAAACACCATGTTATTTGGGCAACTGAGAATTAAAATAAAATAGAAATCCCACAAGCACATCTCCCCCCCCCCCAGCCTGGCAGTAAAAATATAATAAATTAACAATTTGCTGTCTTTTCATTATACCTCAAATAAGTTGTGTGGGACTCCTCACAACATGGTAGGGTTGACCGTGACTCTTTCTTCCTGACCTGCTCCTCCCATCATATTGGTCCAGAAGGTATATGGGGAAGTGTTGCGTATCAGGGGAAGACAGTGATGCCCAACCACAGACATTCCCTCCTGACCAGCATCTCTTAAGAGAGGAGTGTTCAGCCAATCCTTCATTTTAGTAATAAACCCCTTGACCCTCCTGGTTTTCTGGTGTGTGTTTGCATCTCTGTGACTGATGAAGGTGGTGGTATCATGTCCTCAGAACAGCAGTAACAAAAAACAATTATTGCTATACCTTTCGGTCCTAACAAAAGACATTTGGGAGCCCCTGTTTCTACCTAGCCCCAAAAGGGTCTCCTATTCCTTCCATAGCAGCGTGTGTGGATTCTGTCCACAAACCGGTATGAGACTCAACATCAAACTTCTCCCAGCCACCTATCAGAGCCAGGGAATTAAGGGTGGGTGAATAGTAGAAGCCAAATGAGGTCCCCGGTGATGGCATGTGGTGGTGGTGCGGGGAATTATTTCCTTGTGCCTAGCTGCTAGCAGAAAGAGGAAAACAATGTGTCACATACAGTATGTGCTCTTCTGACAGTTCCTTCCAGGCTCTAGAGCTAGGAAGTTAAGAAGAAATGGGCATGACAGCCTCCACATTCCTTTGTCATCGACACAGCTGAGTTGTCAACTGTTGGCAAGGCCATGATGGGTAATGACACACTCAGGCGCCCATCTGTGCACAGCTTCCTAAATTTTATTAGGAACACGCTGTTTTTTGTCAAAGCACTGCTGCGTGAACCAGGCAAACATCCAGAAATGCTCTCTATACCGTAAGGACACTGGGAAAACACTGCTTTTATCAACTTCTCCTCAGCACTATTACTTTCAATAATATGCAATTTGATAAGATAGGGGGGGGGAAATGAATTCCTGTTTTTTCAGATGATAACCAGCTATCTTCCACATATACTGCATTTTTGCTCTATAAGACGCACCAGACCATAAGACGCACCTAGTTTTTGGAGGAGGAAAACAAGAAAAAAAATATTCTGAATCTCAGAAGCCAGAACAGCAAGAGGGATCATCCGCTGCACAGTGATCCCTCTTACTGTTCTGGCTTCTGGGATAGCTGTGCAGCCTGCATTCGCTCCATAAGACGCACACACATTTCTCCTTCCTTTTTAGGAGTCTTATAGAGCAAAAAAATACGGTAATTACACCCAATGAGAGAAGCAGTTTGCCAACATGATGCTTTAACATCTTTCCCCTTGCACAAAGGCCAGCAAGGCATATGCAGAGTTACCCTGGCTGGAACTGACTCATCCAACACCACACGTTGGCTCATTGGCAAATGTGGCATTTGCGCCCAGGAACACACACACAAAGGAATTTATCACGTCCTATGGCTCTGTGATGCCTGGGAATCGACCTCTTAAAATGGCAAGGCATCTTGTGACGCTTTAAAGACTAGCACATTTATTGTGGCAAAAACTTTCCTAAGCCACAGTCCACACTTCAGCTTGATGCATCGCCTGTAATCCCATGGGATGCAGAACGGGGACATACACTAGTGAATATACATTTGCCAATTCAAGATTCGCTTTGTGCATCTGATGGCTGTGGCCCCATGAAAGCTTATGCCATAATAAACCATAAGGTGCCGCAAGACTCCTCGTCGTTTTTTTGCTACGACAACTCCTCGTTGTTTTTGCCCATCCTACCCGATCTGGAAATGTTTAAAATGTGAGTCAGCACTTGAAAACAGGAGCATTTTTGGCCACCCTGGACTGCTTAGACACTTGATCTGCCGCAGTGCGCGTTCTATGAGGGCAGCCTTTTGAACTGGGTGGGGATATCTGGCTTCCTGTAGCATCAGTGCAATTGGCATCTGAGCTGCTTGATCCTGTCTCTCTCTCCTGCAACTGAGAAGGGGTTTCCTCTGAACTTCCTCCCCCCCCCCCCACAGATGGTTTGCACGATGGTTTGATGGGATCTCTTGCAAGTAGCCGTGAATAAAGGAAGTTCTCGTGGTGAGTGGGGTAGCAGCACGGGATAATTCAGGTCAGTGTGGGATAATTCAGGTCAGTGTGCTGTGCTTTGGGCTCTCTCTGCATGGAAGAGAGAGCAAGCCAGGAAAGGCACATTCCAGCCCAGCTACAGGACCAGCCCACTCTGCACAGGAGAAAAGCTGGAGCATGCTCAGTCCTCGCAGGAATGGGAGCCTTCATCCACCCACCACAGTGAGAGAGAGGCACTGATGTGACGCTGGCAAATCCAAACATCAAAAACAAGATGCTGCACATCCATCTCTCTCTCTCTCTCTGATTTTACTCCTCTTCCAATAACTTTGAAAGCGGTAGTGTGCCATGCAGCGGCAATGACTTAATGCTGGGCCTGGTGATCCCTGAGTCTTGGCAAATGTGGGAGATAAAACATTGAATGCAAAAACACTGCCCATTTAGAATGATCAAGAAATATCCACACAGCTTCGAAGGAACTGCAGGGCTCTCTCAAGAGAGAGACAGGATGTGGCAGAAGAGCATGTTGAATTTTCAACTTTCAAATTCCCAAAATGAGGGGTGCCAAAATGTTGTAACATAACCTGGGAATTCGGAAGCTATTTCGGTTAAATTGATATGCTTTAGTTTTGGTAAGTAAAATGTGTGTAAAATTACATGGAAATCACCAATGATTGCCAAGTACTAGCAGTTGTTTATTATTATTATTATTATTATTATTATTATTATTAAGCATTACTTGACTTTATCAGAAGGTAAAATTTAAAACGTACTTGGTTTTCCAAAACAGTTCATGTGCTTCTTCATCAAACGTAGACTTACCAAGCTAAGTGTTGTCCGATCACAGCAATAATAGCAGATTTCCTCACACTCAAAAACATATTTTTAAGATCCCCCTCACTGAAGAAATTTGCAAAAATTTAAATTTCACCCTCCTAAAATGAAATGCCCTAATGTGGCAATTCACTTCTGGGTTTCAAAACCCTAAATGCTGGGGGTAGGAGGGGTTTGCTCCAGTTGCTATAGAGTCCACAGCGCCCGAACAGACTTCTTCCCTGCCACAAGCTTTCAGTCTTCTGAAAGTGGAACCCAGGAGTGGATAGCCACATTCTAGGCATCTTGATTCACCCAGCTTTAAAAGTGTTCTAGAAACCATTTGAATAAATAAAACATTTCAAATAAATAAACAGCATACTCTTTTTGTACAGGTAATGCAGGCTGGGGTTGGGTTGTTTTCGTGTGTGTGTGTGTGTGTGTGTGTGTGTGTGTGTGTGAAAGCCTATTCCTGTAAGCATGCATCAGAAAAGAGGGAGCAGGTAGCGCTGTGGTCTAAGCCACTGAGCCTCTTGAGCTTGCCAATCGGAAGGTTGGGGGTTCGAATCCACACAACGGCCAACCTAGCAGTTCGAAAGCGCAGCGGTGCAAATAGATAAATAGGTACTGCTGTGGCGGGAAGGTAAACGGCGTTTCCGTGCGCTCTGGTTTCTGTCCCATTGCGCCAGAAGCAGTTTAGTCATGCTGGCCACATGCCCTGGAAACCTGTCTGTGGACAAACGGCGCTGCAACCGCATAGTTGCCTTTGACTAGACTTAACCGTCCAGGGGTCCTTTACCTTTACCTTTTACTGCATCATAAAAGAGGTGAAGGGAATCCACCCTTTTAATCACCTTTGATTCTCAGTTGGTAAGTGACCGTGAATATGTCCAGAGTTTTGGAGGAGATATATATGGTTGTCAGCTCCTGACCTGAAGATGACTCCTGAGTTTTAAAGAGACAACATACAACTCTAAATTTATAGGAGGAGGAGAAGCTCCCATTAAAGGAAAGAGAAATAGCCATGGAGGTCAGAAAGGGATGGAGAACTCAGTGACGACAGCACACATGCTTTGCATGCTAATGACCTCTGTTTGGGTCATTTGCATATCAAGGTAGCATGAGAACCCTGGAGAACAACTGCCAATCACTATAGACAACATTGAGCTACATCAGTGGTGGGGGAACCTCAGGCCAAGGGGCCTAATGTGGCCCTCCTGACCTTTTTATCTGGCCCTCAGGACCATGACCCCTCTCCCTGTCCCTGCTCCATGTTCTCCTGGAGTGTTTTTGCCTGGCTGGAATGTGTTGTTAAAGGGAGATATTGCCTCTTGCTAACCTAGATTGGAAGATGTCCGAATTATCCAGCTGTGCTGTTCTTATATGATTCTGAGCATCCTTAGTGTGGCAGTAGATCTTTTGCAGTAGCACCTGAACATTAGCAGATCCAAGCAGATCAGGGCTGTTTCCAGATGGGTGGCTCATGCTAATAAGAAATCACCGTCCTTCTGCTGTAAGGTTCAAGCACAATTGCAGTTGGCTTTCTACTCTGCTGGGAATGTTGCACTTTTTCTGCACATTCATCCTGTTAAAAAACAAAAAGAGAGAAGAGGGGGAAAACCAATAATAATGATAAATAAAGTAAAGGTAAAGGTACCCCTGCCCGTACGGGCCAGTCTTGACAGACTCTGGGGTTGTGCGCCCATCTCACTCAAGAGGCCGGGGGCCAGCGCTGTCCGGAGACACTTCCGGGTCACGTGGCCAGCGTGACAAAGCTGCATCTGGCGAGCTAGAGCCGCACACGGAAACGCCGTTTACCTTCCTGCTAGTAAGCGGTCCCTATTTATCTACTTGCACCCGGGGGTGCTTTCGAACTGCTAGGTTGGCAGGCGCTGGGACCGAACAACAGGAGCACACCCCGCCGCGAGGATTCGAACCGCCGACCTTTCAATCAGCAAGCCCTAGGCGCTGAGGCTTTTACCCACAGCGCCACCCGCGTCCCTAATAATGATAAATACTAAAATATAAATAACGATAGACAACCAACAGATCACATCACTATGTGAATCTGAAATTAAGCATATAAATTAATATAAGCTCTCCAGATGTTCAAATTGATGCCCATGTAAAATACGTTTGAATGTAGCCAGAGTAGTGCCTTTGTGCAATATACGATATGTATTTGCCCTCCCAAGATCAAAGTATCTTAGCCACTGTAAGAGCTTGCAAAATCCACTTGTGTTGTCCATCCTTTCATCTCCTTACTGCAGGAATATAGTCTAAAAGCACATAAACATCTCCAAATATCAAGGACTTCGCCACTGCGAAATTGATGTGTCGGCTTCAGGCCAAAAGGAATGTCTCACTGGACAAGCCCATACCATATGCCTCAGAGAGGCATTCTCAGTTTGGCACTTCCAACATCTGTTTGTATGCCTTCCTATACAAACGTTCCAAGCCAGAGGCCAAGGCCACATCTTACTGCAGTGAATTCTTTCTCTCACCTGTCCTCCATCTGCTACCAGTTTGGAAGCCTGCCTTAGGCTATGGACAGCAAAGGCTTGGCTTACAATGCCACCTCCCCTTACCTTATGAAGCTCTGGTTTCCTCACCCCCCCCCCCCCCGTTTAATGAAACCTCCCTTTTTTATTATTCCTGCAGACTTTTTGCCTGACAGGTTGATAATGTTTTTCCTGTATTTGCTGTTTGATGTTACTGTTTTATTGTGATGCTGTGAATCTAACCATTGTACACCGCCTTCATTAAATGGTTACCCTTGAATCTGCCCCTTTCCAAACATTTCTCCCAGACTTTCCTAAACAGGAAACATACAATTTTGGATGGATTACCTACGTTCTCGGATGTGTTCAAATGATGTGCCCTGTGATTGACAACACATGTAGTATTCCCATAGGCGCCGACTCCATGGGGCTTGAGGGGGCCCGAGCCCCCTCAAAAATTCATTTGGGGGGGCTCCGCCCCCCCAATAATCTCCGGCGCCCCTCCAGCAGAGCGCCATCGCCGCCCCTCCCCCAGCCCAAAATGCACAGGGAGGGGCGGGCTGCATGCCTCCTGCCCTCCCTCCCGAGCAAAAGCTCCACCCAATTTCCTTTGGAGCTGATTAATAGGCGCAGCACGCTCTCCCCTATTCGCTCACGAGGAGGCGGCGCCACTTTATTTGCATATTCATGAGCTTATTTATTATTCATGAGCTTTCCCGGGCCCCCCCAATATTTTTTATAAGTCCGCGTCCCTGAGTATTCCAGACATACCCTCCTTGCAAAAAAGGCAGAACAATGAAATAAATACACACAGCTATTCAAATTAGGGGTCCTGATTTTAAATCGAAAGGCAGATTTAGGTAATTCTGAAATTAGGCCTAACCTGATTGTAAAAATCCCATCCTAAGAAGCAGTTTGGTGGGACTGACTTACTTATTTGAGGTTAGGCTTCCTATGTGCTTAACAGCCATGTGATAGACAGAAAGTCAACAAGTAAAGCTTTCTATTCACTGTATCTTTATGCACCTGATTAATTTCTGTATGTCATCATGGCAAAGTGATATAATCTATTCCTATTTGAAAATACCTCCACAGGTGAAAGTCTATTTAATTCCTCCATGAACGTTGTTATTAATATGTGTACACACAAACATGCACTCACACACAAACCATATTGTTTACAGTGGAAATATTTCACAAGAACAAATCTCAGTGCAGCTGCACTATCACTTTCTAGTGATCGTTCCTAAAGATAGCCTCACTTTTACGTTAAGTCTCAAAACAATGGCAAGTTAGACTCACACAAAGACCAACATCTCAAAACAAACAGGAATGCCATATTTTCCAGCTCTTGAAAGCCAGATGATGCTTGTAGCCTGATGTTGAGGCTATCATCATGTCTCTTGCTGACTATCTCCTGAGAGCAGGCAAATTTTTTCCTCATGACTGTTTTAAGAAATGACTCCCGCTGTCATTGCAATTACTTCTCCCTCCCTGCAAGAAAATAACACTCTGTTCCGAAGACTAGTTGGCCTGAGACTACAGAACCAGACTCCATCCGTCAGTCACAGAAGAACCAAGGCCTGCTCTGTTGTACATGTTTGTGTGAGCAGGTTTCCTCAGAGATTAAAAAGATATCAGGCTAATAATAATATGATGGTGATGACAAAAATAGAAAGAAAAACATCAAAAAGAGTGGACATAATTTGACCATATTTTTTTATTTTACAAATGCTTTCCTAGTCTTTTCCTGTGGAAATGTACTAATTATTGTGGGCGAATCTAGCTTTCAGGCAATGTCACATTTGACCTTAAGTATGGCACTCTTGTCTCATAGCTGAACGATGATCATTCTTTACCTGCTCTATGAAAATTGTAACTTTTTAATATGAAAGAAGCTGTAGCTGTCTTTTTAAAAAAGGATTTCACTAACTCACATCTCTTATTTGCTTAAATATGCAGCTCCCAGTCCAGGGTTTGCGTCACATTCTGATCCGATGTGCATAAAAGCATGCTGTGAAACTTACCAAATGCCAAAAAAATTAACCAGTGTCTAAATTTGAGGTCCCTTTTGGGCTTGAGACCCGGGCCAAATATCTCCCCACTCCATTAATGGGCCCTAACATTAGAAAAAGTGAATCAGATGCCTCAGGCAGGAGCTGCCTGGGGTTGGGCAGTGACAACTGAAGCTGCCTTCAGAATATTTTGATTGGAAGGTGGAGTATAAACCTTCAAAAAGAAAAACCAAAAGGATCAATGTGACATAGCGGAGACTTGAGGATTCAGCTACAAATAGCCCAACTCTGTGCCATGTGTGTAGCCTTAAAGAAGACAGGCTATTTTTGTGTGTCACTTCTTAAAAGGTTCATAATAGGCAGTTTTGTGTGGATAAAATAAGGCTATGGAATAGCCCATCCTGAATATCTGGGCTGAGGCAACAATTGTATAAACAGCTATGTAAATGAGAAATGCCACCATGACTGTGTATACACCATACAATGAAAGCACACACACATAAATCCTAATAGTTTACCACACACAGAGCTACAATTCCCAGCGCCCTTAACAAACTACAGTTCCCAGGATTCCATGCGGGGACGTGCTTTTAGATGTATGGTATGCCGTCTGCCTCTCTGCAAAGACTGTTGTTATGCGGGTAATAAAACAGTTTTGCCGATCCCTTCTCAAAGCTCAGCAGATCTACTGAAATACACCAAAAACTGCCAACTGAAAAATAAACTGAAATGGGACTAATCTACGGATATTTGGCTTTATAATACATACATATATAATTATGTTGTGCAATATAAAGATAAAGCCATATACCCGTAAGATTTGCCACATTTGAGAGCGTTTTCCAAGCAAAGTGAGGTTTGCTATAGAGAGAGGACAGGATTGTAAACAAAGAAATCTATGCGTGTTAAGGCTTTAATTTTGTTTAATTTGCTGCAAGACCTGGCACTGAACCTCAGCTAAAAATGAAACACCCCCCCCCTCACCTCCTAAATAAACATCGGTCACCTCATTTATTTTTATTTTTAAAAGAGAGAAAAGTCCACCCCTTCTGGATGTGCGTATGTGTCTGGCCGCTGGCTTTACGCAGCAGCAGCACCAGATCCCTGCGGAATCCGCCCCGCGCTTTCCCTCTGGCCTTTTCGCTGCTAACTTTTTCCAACTAAGTTTAGCTTTTGGATCAAGCCGAGGAGCGGCGCGAGGCGACTTCTTCTTTCTTTTCTTTTTTTTCCGCCTAAGGGGAGGACGGGGGCGAGGAGGGTTTTCTCGGGACGGAGGCGCCGGGGCTCGGGTTAGGAAAGGCGCAGAGGCATCCAGCGAGGAGGAGGAGGAGGCGGGAACGGCCTGCATTGGAAAAGGGGTCCTCCCCATCCGGAGCGACCCACAGGCCGCCCACGCCGCCGGGGTCCTCTTCGCCATCCCTTTGGCTTTGCCCCCAATCCAGCAGAAGAAGAGCCGCCCGGTGCGCGGCATCCACGGAGCTGCCATGAGGCTGTGGGGTTTGCTGCTCGCAGGTGAGTCTCCTCCAAGGATCGGGGTCGCGGCACCTGCCTGTCAAAGTCCTGGCAGGATGGCCAGGAAGGAGCGAGGCAGAGAATAGGGAGCCTCATGCTGAAAGGAGGGAGAACTTCACTTTTGGAATTGTGTGTGTGTGTGTCTACTAGGATAGTGACTTTTAAAACTATTTTTTAATCAACGAGGGCTTGAGGGCTTCTTAAATCTTTTCTAGGGACTGCATCTCAAGACCACTGCCTCCATGCCACCCTTGCCCTTCCCTCAGGACGGCGGCGGGGGTGCCTTCTTAACAGCCCAAACCAGAGAAATATCCTTTTCTTCTCACACAAACATCCTGATGGTTGTCCTCAGTGTGGCCACTCATCCTGGTGGGGCACTGCCAGGCTTCTGCTTGGCCTGATGTGCCCTGTTTGAGGGTTGGGGGCACCTCTCTGAGATTCCCCAAAGGACAGGCTTCAAGATGGTATAAATAGCGTCTGGTGGTCTTCTTCGCAGGGCGTATATTCTTAACTCCTACTTTCTACCTGGGGCATACGGTGGTCTAGATTATATTGGCTGAAGTGGGTGTGGATGGGTGGGTGCTGATATTGGGGTCCTATCTGCCCCATTCTAGAATGCCTCACTACTTGAGGGTTGCCAGCAACTGCCGCCTTCCCCCAACAAGAAGATGCTATGGTGGAGAAAGCTGCACCTGTTGATTTGTCATTTACCTGCCCTACCTCCGCTTCTCTCAGACAAGCGGCCCAATCCTATGCAAGTCTGCACGGAATAAACTTTCAGAGGTTGCGGAGGAACCCCCTGTGAGCGGCAGCTGCATAGGACCACACCTTAGATGTGTCTCATACGGAGGCTAAGGATGTGGGTGATGCCTGGATGGTCCGTCTGCTGCCAGCGGACACCTGTTTTTGCCTTGTTCACAAGATCACACCGACATACTCTTGTGTTAAGTAATCGGAAGTCAGTGCCTTCCGTCTGCACGCTCGACAATCGCTTATGCAGGTTGAAACCTCCACTTTGCCGGCAGATATGTAATGGGAAAGAACCCATCCCGGTTCTGGGTGTGCAACCACAAGCATTCATTTGAACGACGCCAAGGAGTCGCTAATCTGCGTCAAGTGTTCTTGGGTGCGTACCCTGAGAGCTGATGTAACAAGTTAAACATTTGTAGAGCAAGGAGCCTAGGCTTTGGCTGAAACCAACCATATGTGGTCGTGGCAATAAGCAATAAGCAAAGACAAAATTAGAAGGAGAGTAAAAATGTGTGTGTGTGTGTAAGTAAGTGAATAATGTCTGTGTGTATGCATGGAAGAGAGATGCCTCTATATTTGGCTTTGGTGAAATGCTTCAGCCTCTGAGAAGTCGCTGTGTCTCCCTTCCCCTTGGTTCTTGACCTGGGGCTTATCAGCAGTAGGCTGATAATTTAATTCTGGGTTAAGTGGTTTGGGATAATTATTATTGCCCCCCAGGTCAGTTTTCACCAGCCTGGTGCCCTCTGGATGTTTTGGGTGACAGTGCTGGCTGGGGAGGGGATCATAGGGACGTCGTGAAAAACATCTGGAGGGCACCGGGTTGGCGAAAGCTGCCCTCGATTATTTCTTACCATCCCTAACTCCTGTTTCACTTGGCAGTAGCTGTGTATTGAAAGAATAGCAGGGAGGGAAACCCACCTTTGGCTCCGAGATGTTGAGGGGCAGCTGTAGGTGTCCATTCTCAGGGCTACTTTGATGCTTGGCACACTGCCGTCGCCTCGCCATTTTAGCAACTAGGATGGCTAAAGGCTATATATAAGCGATGGCTCTTCCTGCCCTTTCAGGGCGTGCGTAATGAGTTGGGTTGGCATCCTAAACCGTGCTTGCAAACACGAATCTGCCTGCTATTCCAGTTTGTTCAACTTAAAACAGTGCGATAGACAGTCTATATGTGGGGCGAGGAATTTTAAACATGCATCTTCGGTGGCAGCTTTGCAACCACCCCACCTGCTTCGTTTTGTCTCTCCGTGCCCCTTTCCTGCCTCCAGAGTAGGGTGGGTGCCTGGTCTGCGTACTCCCACCCTCCATTCCCACCCAACCTTGGGTTGGGGGGAGCTGCACACCCAGCCCCACCAGCTGGAGTCTTTGTCCCTGGCTCCCTTTGAAGCTCTGGCTCCAGGGGATTTGAGGCTCAGAGAGCTGGCATGGAGCCTGGGAGCAGCCTTGCAATGTGAGAAGGTTGGGGGGGGGGCGCTAACAGGAAAGACCCACACTTGCCCCACCTCAGCAGCTGTAGAAGGAGTACCGAGTGCTGCAGTGTTGGGAATGTGCTGGCAAAGGAAGGAATGGTCCTTGAAGTTTTCTTCAGCTGCAGGGCCATCATCTCCCCCCCCCCATCCCATGTTTCCCCATGCCAGTTTGCAGTGAAGTGGAGGGGCAAGGTTTGTGTGCAAAGACCGCTTGGCATCCAGCGGGACCCAAACTTATCCGAGCTGCGATCTCCGCTTGGTGCCGTGCCTCCGCCTCCCTCTTTTGAGCAGGCTCTCCGATGGACGTGAAGCTCTTATAAAGCCATCGTTTCACGGCTTTCGGCCCCCAGCCCCCACGTTCCTTGGCGCGGGGCCAAGCTGGCCGGACAACAGAGCCAATCCCTGCCACGGTTATTTCTGGCAGGGCTGCGGCTTCCGCTCCCAGGCCCCATGTAGTCGCTGAGGGCAGAGGAGGCGAGCAGAGGCATTTCACGACCCCCCCAGCCCCACCCTTGCAGGGTGAGCAGCAGAAACAGGTGGAAGCATCTGGTGGCGGATGCCTAGCTGCATGCGAAAGGAGATGCCTAGGAACCTTCATCTCTAGCGCTGCAGTTATCTATCTGCACTGGGCTGGGATTGTTGCACTGCCAAGTCCTGAGTGTGTGGCCAGATCAAAATGGCAAAAAGACCCATCATTCTGGAGGTGCTCCTTTAATCTGAATAGGGTTGGGCAACCTTCATTGGCTCCCAGTATGTTTCCGAGCACAATTCAAAGTGTTGATGCTGACCTTTAAAGCCCTAAATGGCCTCGGTCCTGTATACCTGAAGGAGCATCTCCACCTCCATCGTTCAGCCCGGACACTGAGGTCCAGCACCGAGGGCCTTCTGGCGGTTCCCTCGCTGCGAGATGTGAGGTTACAGGGAACCAGGCAGAGGGCCTTCTTGGTAGTGGCGCCTGCCCTGTGGAACGCCCTCCCACCAGATGTCAAGGCAATAAACAACTATTTTACTTTTAAAAGACAATTGTTTAGGGAAGTTTTTAATATCTGATGCTGTATTGTTTTGTATTGATGGAAGGCGCCCAGAGTGGCTGGGAAACCCAGCCGGATGGGCGAGGTATAAATAATAAATTATTATTAATTATTATTTATGGTGAACTGACTAGATAGGTTGCTGCTATCCCTGTTTTCTCAAGGAGGAATGGAGCAAGAGAGAGAGTAGGATCTGAACCCAGACTTTAACAACTCTGGTTGATTACTGAAATATACTCGGAGTCGTGTAGTGATTTCATGCTCTTTATTGCAGTTCGTAGAACAGAAGTTAAATTCCACCCCCCCAAACCTCAGGCTTTATATACATTATTTACACAATGGGTCCCGTCTGATTGGCTGGTTCTGCTTCCCTCCTGGAGCCTGATTGGGCTGCTACTGCAGGCCAATCACTTGTTGCATTCTAGGATTCTACTGGCCTGATAGGCTGATTAACTTCCTCCTGGGGCCTGATTGGGCTGCTCCTACAGGCCAATCAGTTGTTGCATTCTAGGATCCTACCTGCCTATTGTTCTAGGATCCAAGCTTAGTACATAACAATTACCATTTTGTTTCATGGATTCTCCCCCTTCCTATGAATGGTTTCTGTGGGGCTCGAGTGGTTTGCCATCCAGTGCAGTGATTTGGTCTGCATATCTGCAGCATCACCAATTATCTCGACAGAAAGTGGTACTTCTAGCACAGTCTCTGGAGGGTTGGATCACACTGACCTTCCCCTCCCCTCGTATGATTAAAAGCACTTTGGTAACTCTGAAGAACTGGCACTTGCCTGTCTCCCAAATGCCATAGATATCCACCTATCCTTTTATTCAGGGCTAAACAAAGGGCTCAGCCACACTTCCATAGCTGATAGATTTTCCAGGCTTCCCAGGTCTGTGTTTGAGTAGTTTCTAATTTTTGCCCTGGGAAAGCCTGCATTTTACTTGCTGAATCGGAGCAAACAGCAACCGGGTTTTCTGCAGATATTGCCATTTGCTCCGATTCAACAGTAAAATGTGAATTTTCCTGGGGAAAGTGCCAGGACAAAAACAAAACAAAACTGTGCTCAGACGCAGACGTAGAAATCCCAGACCTGTGCCTAGAGAGCATGGAGCAAGTGTTAAGTGTGGATGAGCCCCAAGTGTGACACGGGAGCTCTGCAAATAGGAATAGCTTTCAAAAGATTTAACAGTAGCCATCTGGACTGGGTGGCTTCCATTGGAATAATGGGAGTTGGTAGCGCCCATTTGCCCCACAGGGCAAAATAAAGAGGTATGCTTATATGATTTTCACATCAAGAGGGGCAGCAATGCAAAAAAAGCCGCTATACAGTGGTACCTTGGTTCTCAAACTTAATCCGTTCCAGAAGTCCGTTCCAAAACCAAAGTGTTCCAAAACCAAGGCACGCTTTCCCATGGAAAGTAATGCAAAACGGATTAATCCCTTCCAGACTTTTAAAAACAACCCCTAAAACAGCAATGTAACATGAATTTTACTATCTAACGAGACCATTGATCCATAAAATGATAGCAGTAACCAATGTACTGCAGTCACACAATCAATCCATCAGTAGCTGAACTGGGTTCCACACAGTCACAAAAAACAAAACAAAAAAGAGCCGCAAAAAGAAAAACACAAAATAAATAGCAAAAACAGACAGACCTCAGCGTAACACTCAAAACGGAAGTGTGGCACTCAAATTGGAAGCATTGCACTCAAAACGGAGCATGTTCGGCTTCCAAAAAAAGTTCGCAAACCGGAACACTTACTTCCGGGTTTGCAGTGTTTGGGTATCTAGTTGTTTGAGTACCAAGGCGTTTGAGAACCAAGGTACCACTGTAATTCAGGATGCTTACAGACTGCTGCTGTTTTCGGGTGGAATTCAATCACATATCGGCAATTTCAGGTTGCACCATTATGTTTGACTGGGAGGTCTTCTTGTGAAAAAAACCCAATTTCCCCAAAGGCTTAGATTTTTTGTGATCAGGAAAGTGGCTGGGGGATGCATTGGGAATTGTGGGACGACACTTGCTTGACATTGTCTGACCTCCCCACGAACAAATCAGAACGACTGCTCAATAAGTAGCTGGTGTCTTTCTAATCTCCCTGCAAACAGATCAAGACAACTGCCCAGTAAACAGGTCATCTGGAAGCAACCTTGGTGTGTTGACTCATAAACCGAAGAACAAAAATAATATTTTGGTGCCAAAGAAACCCAGATTCTCTGTTCAAAACAAATGATGCTGAGAAGCAACAGTATAACAGAGCTGGTTAAATCTGAACGAATGCTCGAGCTTTGCCTCGGGCTAAAGAGTGCAAGTTGTCCCTTTCCCCTCTCTGAATGTAAAAGTTTGTTTTGGGGTGGAAAAGTAAATAGTGACGGTCGGGGTAAGTGGCGGTGTCTGTGAAGGGGTGTGCATGAAGGGGCTTGACTGGAGGCCAAGTGAAACGAGCGAGAGCCCTGGAATGCACAAGAGTTCGGTGTATTTGCCAATCACTGCCTTTATATTGTCAAGAAAAAGAAAATAAGACGGTCAAAGCAGCAGATCAGATGGGAACACCCATAAACTGCTCTTAACAGGAAAACCTTTATTGTCAAGAAAATCACCTCAAATGGAGTAAATCGGATATAGTTTTGCATAAACTGTATCCTCAGGAATCTGGAGGGTGGGGGAAAAATCCAGTTCTTAATCAGAGTGCCTTGATGACATCGTTTCTTTAAATTTGGGCATTATCCAGCCAAATTAAGCTCTTGGGAGCGCTCCTGATTTACGTGGCGGTGCTGTGGGCTTATTTCTGAGTAGATATGCATAAGGTAAAGGGACCCCTGACCATTAGGTCCAGTCGTGGCCGACTCTGGGGTTGCGGTGCTCATCTCGCTTTATTGGCCGCTTCCGGGTCATGTGACCAGCATGACTAAGCCGCTTCTGGCGAACCAGAGCAGCGCACGGAAACGCCGTTTACCTTCCCACCAGAGCGGTACCTATTTATCTACTTGCACTTTGACGTGCTTTTGAACTGCTAGGTTGGCAGGAGCAGGGACCGAGCAACTGGAGCTCACCCCATTGTGGGGATTCGAACCGCCAACCTTCTGATCAGCAAGTCCTAGGCTCTGTGGTGTAACCCACGTGCCACCCGCGTCCCTAGATATGCATAAGACTGGGCTGTAAATCTCTCTCCCTGAAATTAGTGGGACTTTAAAAGTGCTCACCTGTGAGTAGATTGTGCCTTTTGATTCCAATTTGTCTGCTTGGTATCAAAGGTATCTCATGATAGCTAAAATCTTGGTTTTTAAAATGGGCGAAAGCTGAAATTGTCAATAATCTACATTATATGTCCTCTCCTTCAATCAAAATGTTTATTCGGCTTTACGCCCATCATGAAACACAACACAACACAACAAAACAAATAAAAACAAATCAGATCAAATAAAACAGTGGACTCGTACACGCCACAAGTAGTATAACACAGTTCTCAACTCAGAAGGACAGATATTAGCCATTCATAAGAAAAGTTTAACATTAAGATTTTTAAAAAAATAAAAAATTTAGGCACTACACTAAAATCAATATCTCATGTAATTATAGAAAATTCTTATAACTATCAATAATCAGCTAACATTCCATTCCGTCTCTTGTACGAGAGGACGGCTGTTAGGAATTTAGCAACCTGTAGGGTGATATAAGGATCCACATCTTGAAGAACCCAGGCCTCTCCTTATTGGCGCCATCTTTCTCTCTGTTGTCACCTCAGATGCTGAAGTTATATCTTGGAAGTCCTATCATAATCCTCTGGACTGTGGAGTTCCATTGTCTTGCCTTTTTATGGATGCCAAATCTTCCGCCACCCAACCGCTGACAGCAGTCTAGCTAGCGGGTCTGATTTGCACTTGAACTCCAGTTAATGCATAGGTTCCATCCCTCTACCATGCCAAGTTGAAGGAACTCTTCCAGAGGACTTTTTAAAATTCAGTATTCTTCCGGGTTTGCTTGCGTAAACTTTACACTATGGTTGGACTATGCCTGGTCTTTAATTCATTTTGATTTGTTTGTTTACAAGGTGGTTATATCACAACGGACATTCGTCCAGAGGTCGCCAACGTGGTGCTCTACAGATGTTGCCAGGACTCCAACTCCCATCAGCCCCAGCTATCATGATCAGCAGTCAGGGATCATGGGAGTTGTAGTCTAACAACACCTGTATGTCACCCTGTTGGCTACCCCTGGTTTACAGGCTGTTTGCATGTCTTTCAGTTAATCCTTTAGTCACCCCACACTTTCTGAGACAGTTCCTCTCCACTTTCCAAACCGCAAAAAGTCAGGTTTGTTTATTTCTTTAAAGGGCATAGCTGTCAATTTTTCCCGTTTCTTGTGAGGAATCCTATTCGTAATAAGGGAATTTCCCTTTAAAAAGGGAAACGTTGACAGCTATGTTAAAGGGGTGGATTTGCTGTACAGTGGTACCTCAGGTTAAGAACTTAATTCATTCTGGAGGTCCATTCTTAACCTGAAACTGTTCTTAACCTGAGGTACCACTTTAGCTAATGGGGCCTCCCGCTGCCACTGTGTAATTTCTGTTCTCATCCTGAAGCAAAGTTCTTAACCCGAGGTACTATTTCTGGGTTGGCGGAGTCTGTAACCTGAAGCACCTGTACCACTGTACTAGGATGTTGGAGTGCTTTTACCTATTTAAAGTTTTGGTATGCACTGGGATCCCCCCCTGGCAGTCTGGAATCAGTCAAAAACTCCTCATATCGATTACATTTAAGCATTTAAAAGCATACAGTGGTACCTCGGGTTACATACGCTTCAGGTTACATACGCTTCAGGTTACAGACTCCGCTAACCCAGAAACAGTACCTCGGGTTAAGAACTTTGCTTCAGGATGAGAACAGAAATCGGGCTCTGGCAGCACGGCAGCAGCAGGAGGCCCCATTAGCTAAAGTGGTGCTTCAGGTTAAGAACAGTTTCAGGTTAAGAACAGTTTCAGGTTAAGAACGGACCTCCGGAACAAATTAAGTACTTAACGCGAGGTACCACTGTAATTGCATCCATCTCCCGTAAGATGAGCCGAACCTCATGGACCCAGCCACAGTGTCCCTTGTTCTGTACTCTCTGCTCCTCTCTCTGCCTTCCCTGTCTCCACAGTGCTGGGGGCAGCTCTCTGCCAGGAGCCTGAGCCCCCCCATGGCTGTTCCCAAGGCAGCTGCTACCCAAACACGGGAGATCTGCTGGTAGGACGGGCCGACCGCCTCTTCGCCACCTCCACCTGCGGCCTGCGGCGTCCCCAGCCCTACTGCATTGTCAGCCATTTGCAGGTGAGTGTTGCCGAGCGAAGGTCGGCGGGCAAATTATTTCTTTAAAGGACCTCTATTCTAAGCCTGAGATAGGGACGCGGGTGGCGCTGTGGGTAAAAGCCTCAGCGCCTAGGGCTTGCCGATCGAAAGGTCGGCGGTTCGAATCCCCGCAGCGGGGTGCGCTCCCATCACTCAGTCCCAGCGCCTGCCAACCTAGCAGTTCGAAAGCACCCCCGGGTGCAAGTAGATAAATAGGGACCGCTTACCAGCGGGAAGGTAAACGGCGTTCCCTGTGCTGCGCTGGCTCACCAGATGCAGCTTGTCACGCTGGCCACGTGACCCGGAAGTGTCTCCGGACAGCGCTGGCCCCCGGCCTCTTGAGTGAGATGGGCGCACAACCCTAGAGTCTGTCAAGACTGGCCCGTACGGGCAGGGGTACCTTTACCTTTACCTTATTCTAAGCCTGAGAGACTCGATAAGGGAAAAGCAAACACTAGAAAACTGAGCACCAACCAAACTGGCAACTGATGCTTACTTCAGCACTGCTAACAGGACAGCATCCTCTGCTCTACCTGGAAGCGGCAGTCGAAATAAAATAAAATAAAAAATTGTCCAGTAGCACCTTAGAGACCAACTAAGTTTGTTCTGGGTATAAGCTTTGGTGTGCATGCTTAGGGAGCGCAGACCAGGTCTGCTTCTTGCTACTCTTGGGAGAACTGCAGACAGAAAGACCCCAATTCAACCTAGGGCTGGTCACACCTTCTCTCAGCCTAACTCCTTGCAGGAGGCAGGAATAAGGGAGACACATGCATGCCACTCTGAGTTCCTCACAGAAAAGCCTGGGTGTGGTTTTTTTTTAATAATACAGTGGTACCTCGCAAGACGAATGCCTCGCAAGACGGAAAACTCGCAAGAAGAAAGGGTTTTTTTGTTTTTTGAGTTGCTTCGCAAGACAATTTTCCCTATGGGCTTGCTTCGCAAGACGGAAACGTCTTGCAAGTTTGTTTCCTTTTTCTTAAAACCGTTAATACAGTTGCGACTTGACTTCAAGGAGCAACTCATAGCACGCGGTGTGGTAGCCTTTTTTGAGGTTTTTGAAGACTTTGGTGATTTTTGAAGCTTTTCCAAAACTTTTCCGAAACCGTGCTTCGCAAGACAAAAAAATCGCAAGACGAAAAAACTCGCGGAACGAATTAATTTTGTCTTGCGAGGCACCACTGTAATAATAATAATAATAATAGTAATAATAGTATTTTTTTTATACCCCGCCCTTCCCGGTTCAAAAACCGGGCTCAGGGCGGCTAACAACAAATTTAAAACACTTAATTATAAAAGCAGCATAAAATACAGTATAAAAACATTAATAACAATAAAATTCAAAAATCAATTAGATAATCCCCAGGGCTAGCTGGCTGAATTGTAAAATAAATAACTAAAAACAAATAACAAAGAGGGTAGGGGCCAAGCCAATGGACTTAAATGACAAGAAAGGGAGTTTTAACTGCACATTAGGAAGAACTTGTTGACAGCGTGAACTGTTTGAGAGCGGAACAAGACTAACTTGGGAACTGCTGGACTCTCCTTTAAGAGGTTATTGAGCAGAGTGTAGACGGCTCTTGAATCAGGTATGCTAAAACAGCAGATCTGGTGGTTGGACTAGATCAGTGTTTCCCAACCTTTTTTGGGCAAAGGCACACTTCTTTCATGAAAAAAATCTCGAGGCACACCACCATTAGAAAATGTTAAAAAATTTAACTCTGTGCCTATATTGACTATATAAAAAGTACAGTGGTGCCTCGCAAGACGAAATTAATTCGTTCCGCAAGTCTCTTCGTCTTGCGAGTTTTTCGTCTTGCGATGCACGGTTTCCCATAGGAATGCATTGAAAATCAATTAATGCGTTCCTAGGGAAACCGCCTTCAGACCAGATCCGGGGACAGTCTGTCCCCCGACCTCTTCTGAAGGCTGGGGGGGGGGACAAGGGCTTTTCTTCCCACTGCCAGCCTTCAGAAGGCTGTTCTGAAGGCTGGCGGTGGGAAGAAAAGCCCTTCTTCCCACCTCCAGCCCCGCAAGCTCCGGGGACAGGAGGGCTTTGCTGCCGACCGCCAGCATTTTAAAAGCCCCTGCTGTCCCGGGGCGATTTTTAAAATGCTGGCGGGCGGGAGCGAATTCTCCGCTGCCCTGAGGAGATTTTAAAATGCTGGGGGTCGGCAGCGAACGCTTCGCTCCCGCCCGCCAGCATTTTAAGATCGCCCGGGGCAGCGGAGAAGTCTCCGCTGTCCCGGGAAGGCAGGCGGGGGGAGCAAAGACTTTTGCCCCCGCCTGCCTTCAGAAGAGGTCCAGGACCTCGTTCCGATGCCCGGCGGCGGGGTGTGAGGTTCCCGCCCCACCGCCCGGCATCGGGGCATCGTTCCGATGCCCGGCGGCGGGGTGCGAGGTTCCTGCCCCACCGCCCAGCATCGGGGCATCGTTCCGATGCCCGGCGGCGGGGTGCGAGGTTCCCGCCCCACCGCCCCGCTTCGGAGCAGCGCTCCGAAGCGGGGCGGCTGGGGCAGGTGTTCCCGCCCCCCCGCCCCGCTTCGGAGCAGCGTTCCGAAGCGGGGCGGCTGGGGCAGGTGTTCCCGCCCCCCCGCCCCGCTTCGGAGCAGCGTTCCGAAGCGGGGCGGCTGGGGCAGGTGTTCCCGCCCCCCCGCCCCACTTCGGAGCACCGGGAGAAGCGATCTCCCCGCAGCCCCTTGCTTCAAAAGAGGTCCGGGGGCAGCGGGGAAGAAGCGCTGCGCTTCCCGCTGCCCCCGGACCTCTTTTGAAGCAAGGGGCTGCGGGGAGATCGCTTCTCCCCGCAAAGCCTTGCTTCAAAAGAGGTCCGGGGGCAGCGCAAAGCGCTTCCCGCTGTCCCCGGACCTCTTTTGAAGCAAGGGGCGGTGGGGAGAAGCGATCTCGGGCGCCGCGGCGCGCAGGCGCACTGCTCGCTCCTCTTTCCGCGCAGGCGCCTTCTCTCGCTCTTTCGCCTCCTTTTCTTTCTCTCTCGATGGTCCGCCTACAAAGGAGCGAGGGAGGCGCCCGCCATGTTTGGATTTGCATCCAGCAGGAGATGCCGCCGCCGCCCCGCCTCTCCCGCCTCCCTCCCACGGCACACCAGGCAAGGTCTCACGGCACACCAGTGTGCCGCGGAACACCGGTTGGGAAACACTGGACTAGATGACTTTGGAGGTCCCTTCCAGCTCTTAGATTCTATGGAAGTTTGCGTGCGCACACAAACACACAGGTCATTGGCACCCTGTATCACTAGCTTCTGCGATTTCACCTAGCTCTGCTCAAGGAGAGAGAGAGAGAGAGAGAGAGAGAGAGAGAGAGATGAAAGTTTAGTTTCTTTGGATGCTGTTTTCTGTACCAAACCCCTCCTTCGCCTGAGGAGTGTGATCATGTGGTGCATGCATAGCTCAGCATACGGGTATCTCTCTTGCAGGACGAGAAAAAGTGCTTTGTGTGCGACTCACGCCGGCCCTATCAGGCCTTGTCCAACCCTAACAGCCACCGCATTGAGAACGTGATCACTGCCTTTGCTCTCAACCGCAGGAAGGCCTGGTGGCAGTCGGAGAATGGTAAGGAGCGGGGGTTTCATCTCTGCGAGGTTGCCACATGATTCGATTTTGTGCAGCGTGTGTTTACTTGCATACGTGTATATATTTTTTGCTTACTTGCATAGCAGGTTCTTTCAGCTACTTTTAAAAACCTTTTCAACCTGAACCACGAGGGCTAAAAATTTGGGCTTGGGTCCAAAGGTTCTCTTCCTCCACCAGAAAGCATCTTCCTCTGTCAGAAGAAGGGCACCTCTGAGTCCCACAATTTTTCGGAAATGAGACATTTGATTCTTGACTTCACGCGCTGGACTCCACCATGTTAGAAACAGAAGTCCACAATTTTGGCTGTGAGGATATTTCCTCTTCCTCTTTCTACATTTGCCCGAGGGCCTTCTGGTGGTTCCCTCACTGCGAGAAGCAAAGCTACAGGGAACCAGGCAGAGGGCCTTCTTGGTAGTGGCTCCGGCCCTGTGGAATGCCCTCCCATCAAATGTCAAAGAAATAAATAACTACCTGACATTTAGAAAACATTTGAAGACAGCCCTGTTCAGGGAAGTTTTTAATGTGTGACATTTTAATGTATCTTTAATCTTTGTTGGAAGCTGCCCAGAGTGGCCAGAATTATTATTATTATTATTATTATTATTATTATTATCATCATCATCATTATCATTATCACCGTTTCTCATCAAGTCTGCACACCCCACCCTATATGGTACATGTCAGGGATATTAAATTCCATCTACATCAGGCAATCCTTCTTTAGAGGGAAGTTTGTGCATGTGTGTGTGTGTCCTTTCCTGCTCTCGGGGTTGTGTGTTGCCCTGTGACAAGCCTTGTCGCCTCACAGCTGGGTGAACTCGCTGTGCCCCGGTTACGTGAGCCTGCAGAGAGTGCTCTTTGTCTGGGACATGGCACGGCTGAGAGAGTGTCCCCAGAGCCCTGTTCCTTTCCTTTCTCTCCTACGCAGAGGAAATGCTGAATCATACCCAACAGAGTCCCTTCTTTCCTGGACCCGGGCCAGGCGGGGGCGGGAGACAACAGAGGAGGGGCCCGCTACTTGCAGGAACACAGTGATGCTGCCAATTGTGGGAGCCTTGGCTCTATCTAGCAGCTTGACCGTTTCCGTCCTGGGTCATCCGCATGGCACTTACACTGCTATGGACCTCCTCCCTAAAATCCGGTACCACCTGCACAAGAATTTTCTGCATTAATCTAGAACAGTCTTCAGCAACCTGGTGGTCTCCAGACATTGTTTCGACTGCAACCACCAGCAGCCCCAAACCAGCGATATATACTTTTTGGCATGAAGTTGTCATCCATATTTTGCATTGGCAAAATCTTTGATATTTGTAGATATTAAATATAGGCACTTGCCCCAGGCCTCGAAAGCATGAATCCAAGCAGATTTGCCTTTGTCCCCACCGCTCTTTAGTGCTAAATCGGAAGAAATGGCAGTCCACACAAAAACCTGATTGCTGTTTGTCCCGATTCAGCGCTAAACTGTAGGTTTCCCCAGGGGGAAATCAGCAGGCTGAATGGAGGTTTGGTTGAGCCCATCGTCTCTTAGTGTAAGTCTCTGAGCTTGCAGTGGGCTTGCAAATTCTGTTGCCCTGCTGTGAATCTTCACGCTGCGGAAATATTATTTAAAAGTGCATTAACTGTATCACTGTTAGTACAAGGATTCACAGCAGGACAACAGAAGGGGATTTTGGGATCCCTTTGCGAGCAATCCATCCGTGCCTAGAAGGATAAATAACCACCATCTATTATGGGACGGTCTGAGGACCTCACTGCCCTGGTTACATTTGAACACACTTTTACATAGACATCAATTTCTTGTGGAAACCTATTTGGAGGGCATATGTCAATGTTTATGTTTAGCTTAAGATGGGTCTATTGATGGTTATTTCACCCTCGGTGTGAGCTCATGGTAGTACTGTTATTATTAATAATAACAGTAATATTCATATATCACTTTTTCTTTGTTTTATGTATCGTAACTATTTCCCCCCTTTGTTAGATTTGCAAATAAAAGAACTAATCAATCAATCTTGAGTAGGGTGCAGAGTGGGCCTGGGAGAGGGGGTGTGGTCTGGGGAGAGGCCTGGAAGGCCACATTTTGGCCCCGAGCCTGAGGTTCCCTACCCCTGCTCTGTATCATTGTGGGCAATTAAAACAGAGGTTCCCAGAGCTGAGTCCTATTGGACTGGCGAGGCCTGAAGCTGCTACATACAGTGGTACCTCGGGTTACATACGCTTCAGTTTACAGACTCCGCTAACCCAGAAATAGTACCTCGGGTTAAGAACTTTGCTTCAGGATGAGAACAGAAATCGTGCTCTGGAGGCGCAGCGGCAGTAGGAGGCCCCATAGCTAAAGTGGTGCTTCAGGTTAAGAACAGTTTCAGGTTAAGTACGGACCTCCGGAACGAATTAAATACTTAACCCAAGGTACCACTGTACTTACTATAGGCGTAACAGGGTGTTGGCTGGACTTGTTGGGTTTCCCTCGTTTTCCTGCATGAGCCAAGCTTGCTCCCTAGAAATGTACCCAATATATTCTGCGTAGCGAGATCAGCAGCGGTGAGTTAACGGATCTTCCCGCTGAGAAACAAGCGTCTGAGAAGCTTCTGAGAAACTCCTGAGCACGGCTTGAAAACTGCTTCCTTGTAGAATGGAGTTTTGCTGGGGCCTCTCTAACACCGATCCCTCTCCCTTTGTGTCTGTCTCTCCATTTTGTTTTATTTTTACAATTTTTATTATTTTTTCCAATTATTTTTAACAATATCACATGTAATTAACTAAAAAAGAGAGAAAAGGACAAATACAAGATTCCCTTGTACCCTTAGATCTCCCTCCACTTTTCCATGGTTTCTATATTTAACATTTCTTGCTGCATATTTTGTGACATTTGGTAGTTAGCCGTGACTCCCGCTAATTGATTTACGAACCTCGATTAGCGATATATGGCCGCCCGGCACACTTCCTCAGCGCCTCTCCGTCACGGCTCAGCAGAGTTTCCGCACAGCGGTGTAGAACTGTCACGTTGCTTGGTTCAGCTTCCAGACAAACACACATAGACAGGTCCGTCTATTTACAGCTTTTATTCCAACATTTCTCAGAAATTACCAGGACTATTTGCAGCCATGCCAGACCTACGTCTTTTCCCCACGAAACACAGAGTGGGACTGAACAAAACAGGGAATAGTCCCGCCCAGCTTCTAAAGCTTCTGTCTCCGCCCAGCTGTAAGCTGACGTCAGCAGGTGACACACACCAGGGAATTTAACCAGATAAATTCTGAACTATAACACCCCCCCTTGTGTCCCTGCGTGAAACCTGTGTAACATCTTCAGTAATACCTTGTGAGATCAATTCCATCCCCAATGCCTTGCGCCTTCCCTTGGCAAACCTGTTTGGCATTTGTGGAACCACCTCACAACTCTCAGAAACGCACTGTGCGAAATTTGCCCACGCACCTGTGGCCTGATACCTCTCTGGCGGAATACCCTTTGTTGTGCGACTGGACCTCCTAGGCACAAACACAGATTTTTCCTCTGGCTCACCGTCACCAGCAGGTGTGATCTCTGCATCACGGGATTCCCCTTCTGACTTAAAGCGTCTTCGAATCCTTTCCATCACACTCACAGGAGAACTAGGCTCGCTTTTGGGTGCTCTCTTAACATCTTGTGGAGAAACTACAGATACCTCCTCCTGTTCCTGACTTTGCTCCTGACTTTGGTCAGTGAACTGATCATCATCATCGGATTCTGAACCCTGATCCTGGACCTGGTCCTCATCAGCAGGCTCAGCCTCTCCTTCCTCCTCATCACAACTGTCCTCTGGGTCAGAGAGACAATCTGAGAGAAGATCACGCTGGAAAACAATCTTTGGCTTCTCACTCTGCTCAAAGAACTCAGCGTGTTTACTGATCAGTAACTTACTCTGATCACCTGATGGAAATGCGAACCTCCATGCACGGGCTTCTGGCTCATACCCACAGAAGATCATTTTCTGGACTTTGGCTCCATCTGGCCCTCGCAAAGCCTCAGGCACAGAGACAAGCGCAGGGGTCCCAAACGTCCGCAGAAAGTGAACCTGGGGTTTTCGGCCATTTAACAAAGAAAACGGTGTGTCACCTACCAATGAGTTATAGACACGATTCCAGGTGAAGCTCACATACTTGATTGCCTCCAGCCAAAACCTTGGAGGTAACTCAGAATCTTTCAGCAACACCTGTGCAGCCTGAACTAGAGCTCCACTTCGCAGCTCTGCCACCCCACCTTGCTGGGGTGAAATAACTGTGTGTCGTATCCCTTTCTTGTGAAAGAACTCCTGCAAAGCAGAACCAGTGTACTTAGCATTTCTGTCACTGATGATAGCTTGAACCCTGGTGGAGAACCTCTGTTCCACCCCTTCAATCCAGCTCTTGATCAGCCGTGCTGCATCCTCCCTGGATTTAAGACCGTGAGCCCAGGAATTCTGCGAGAAATCATCCAGAAAAACGAGCAGAAACCTGGCCCCCCCTAGACTTGGTGCCTTGACAGGACCAGACAAATCTATGTGCACCAGCTCAAAAGGTTTTGTGGCTACACGTTCCACCTTTGGGTAACTGCATCCTTTTACCTTTGCTAGCCTGCAAGTGTCACAATTAATGGCACTTTGACAATTTTTAATCTTACAACCTGTAACAACCTCAGGTAACACCTGCAAATCCTCTAAAGGATTGTGAATCGTTCTCTGATGCCATACGCATGCACATGTAACATTATGAGCGGGAATTGTAGCACGCTGGTTGGGAACTGTAGCACGCAACGCTTGTGCTTTCTCAACCTTCCCCTCACCGCCAAGAGACGTTTTAAGAATGAAAAGATCATTCTGTCCCTTCCGCACTTTGGCCAGTAACCTCCCCCCTTTGGAGATCGTGCAGACATCGTTTTCAAAACAAACTTTGAACCCCTTACTTAACAAATAAGGCACAGATAACAAACAATGTTGAATCTCTGGAACAATACATAAATTCACCGTCTCCTGTAAAACAGAAAGATAGGCATTAGTACACGTGGAAACTCTAGTTTTCTGTCCATTTGCAAACTTAATAGTCTGTCCCTTCGGAACTGCCGTGCAATTCCACCTCTCGACTGCAGGGGTCTCTGGAACCATGTTGCGGTTAGCTGCAGAGTCTATTACAAAGGCCATCTCGGAATTTTCCACTCGGCCGTCTTCAAACACTGCCATACTTGCCGAGACTTGATAAGACTCTTCCCGTTGTTTACTACGGCCACCTGGCTCAGTTCCACGCCTGCCTGTCTTCCCAGGCCTGTTGCCATGGAAACCCGACTGGTTCCCATGAGAAATGTCCTTCACAACATCCTGCCGCGGCCTGTGTGCTCCGGTGGGGGCAACTGCCACTCAGATGTTGCGCCGTGTGACGAACTCCAGTGGAAAAACACTGCTCGGGGCTCCCAGCTGGCTTGGCCCTCCTCCTTCTGGAACGGCGCCTCCCACCAGCCTCGCCCCCCCTGAAGCTGCTCTTCGCTTCAGCACAAAGGGAAAGTCCTTTAAACTTGCCTTTGGAACTCTTCGCCCCCCCGATCTGCTCACTAGCGCTCCTAGAGGCCAATACATCGGGAACAGGGCCTGCCAGTCCAGCCTTTCCAGGACTCAGTCCATCACACAGACGTGTAGAAGCATTACAACAGCTCCCCAACACTGTCCCAGCCCCCATTGGGCTTTCTGGGCATCCTTCTGCCTCTCCAGGGCTTCCTCCAGGGCTCTGGCCTTTCGCTGACGCCTCACACAAGCCTTTCAGCAAATTCCAGGCAGCCCACGCTGTCGTTACGCCCTCCAACTGAGGCCCCAGTGACGCATCAACGCATGCTTTGAGCATATTCAGCTCTTGTTGCAGCCTCTGGCTATCTTCAGCCAACACAGCCCCACAGCTTGCTTCACCTGCTCCAGCTGCTGGCCGGCTAAGGGGTGTTTCTTTTGGCTCCCACTGGTTTGCTTCCCAGAGCCCTTCAACCAAGAACCATCCCCTTATTCTCCTGGACCACGTTGCCCAACTCTTTAGAGTGAGCTTTTCCACTGGTATATCCTGGCAGTCTGCCATCTTCTCCCGTTCTCCCAAGGGGCCCCAAGCTGTACTCACAAGCTTCTCTGGCTGTCCCTTCCGTGGAGAAACGATTTCTCAGCTGCTTTTCAGCTCCCAGCTGCTTCTTGCTTTTAGCTCTGTGTTCCAGCAGCTCTCTCAGCAGCTTCTTTGCCTCTTAGACGCAGGCAAACATCAGGCGAGACTCACTGAAAGCAGCCTCCGACATCCGGCCAGCTCCGTTTCTCAGATCCCAGCTTCAAAGCCTTCCTGAAGCTGATTTACGACTGCTTTTACGAGCGTTGGCTGACCTCCCATAACCTGTGACATTTGTTATTAGCCGTGACTCCCGCTAATTGATTTACGAACCTCGATTAGCGATATATGGCTGCCCGGCACACTTCCGCAGCGGCTCTCCGTCACGGCTCAGCAGAGTTTCACACAGCGGTGTAGAACTGTCACGTTGCTTGGTTCAGCTTCCAGACAAACACACATAGACAGGTCCGTCTATTTACAGCTTTTATTCCAACATTTCTCAGGAATTTCCAGGACTATTTGCAGCCATGCCAGACCTACGTCTTTTCCCCACGAAACACAGAGTGGGACTGAACAAAACAGGGAATAGTCCCGCCCAGCTTCTAAAGCTTCTGTCTCCGCCCAGCTGTAAGCTGACGTCAGCAGGTGACACACACCAGGGAATTTAACCAGATAAATTCTGAACTATAAAATATATCTTATTTTACATGATAAAGCTATTTTTAGCCATGTCACCCCTTGCTTTTCTCTGTAAGACCACTTGCAGTCATCAACAGGTTTACCACACCTATCAGCCAATCACCCCTTCCCACCACCCTTCTGAGTAATACCCCTCCCCACCCTCTCACTATGTATAAGGTGACTTCTGTTCCAGTGTATCTGAAGAAGTGTGCATGCACACGAAAGCTCATACCAATAACAAACTTAGTTGGTCTCTAAGGTGCTACTTGAAGGAATTTTTTTATTTTGCATATTTTATATCCTTCATTCCACTTAACGTCCATATCCTAAGTCTCTGTTATCTTAAAAAGGTAAAGGTAAAGGGACCCCTGACCATTAGGTCCAGTTGTGGCCGACTCGGGTTGCGGCGCTCATCTCGCTTTATTGGCCGAGGGAGACCGGTGTACAGCTTCCGGGTCATGTGGCCAGCATGACTAACCGCTTCTGGCGAACCAGAGCAACGCACGGAAATGCTGTTTACCTTTCCACTGGAGTGGTACCTATTTATCCACTTGCACTTTGACGTGCTTTTGAACTGCTAGTTTGGCAGGAGCAGAGACCAAGCAACGGGAGCTCACCCCGGGGATTCAAACCGCGACCTTCTGATCGGCAAGTCCTAGGCTCTGTGGTTTAACCCACAGTGCCACCCACGTCCCTATCTCTGTTATCTTACAAGTGTCATTTAAGTCCTCAGCTGTTTACAGGGGTCTGTGTCTGTCTCTCCAGGTGTGGAGCAGGTGAGCATCCGCCTGGACCTGGAGGCCGAATTCCACTTCACTCACCTCATCATGACTTTCAAGGTAAGGTACATCCCAGCTGGGAACAGGTGGGCTTCTTCTCCAGTAATAGGGATCCACGCTTCCTCAAGGACATCAGAAGAACCTTGTTGGGTTGGACCAAAGGACCATCAAGTCCAGCATTGCGTTCTTGCAAAGATGCTGATGATAAGCCCGCAAGTGGGACATGAGAGCAGTAACGCTCTCTTGCCCATGATCCTCAGCAACTGTAATAGTGCCTCTAATAATGCAGCCATCGTAACGGGTCAGCATCCTGAACATTAGCCACCATCCCCCACGAAGCACGAGATCCTCAGGATGCACGAGTGAGTGTCTGTTTGCGTGTCAAGACCCCGCAGCCAGCCGCTCGTTGGGAAATAACACACACAAGGACACGAATATTGGGTTTATGTTATTGGGCAAATTTGGCCACAACTTTATTGAATTACAGAATGTGAGTGGTATTGGCTTAGGCATTGATTGGACCTGACTATATCTAACTCCTGCCCGATGCGCAGGAAGTCCGGTAAGGGTAAACCACTGGATGGAGGAGCCCTGTCGATGCATACCAACTCAAGCTCCCCCTGGTGTTCCCGTTGGGGTCGTGTAATGGCCCTAGCCACTGACCTGGGCTTCGGACAAGATCAACACCCCCAGATTTCTTTAACGGAATACCCTTAAGCTTGGAGGGGCAGGTGATGGCCACACCTCCCCTCCCCAATCACAAGGTCAAACAATGCCTAACCACAACCCTAACAAAGTTGTGACGATTGCTAAGAGGTAGGTGAAAACCAAATGGCCAGTGCCAATTTGCCAAATGGAAAAATTCCTACCAGGCCCCTCAACGGCGAACAACCAAGGTCCATAGCAAGGCCACCGCCTAAAACCTGCAAAATAGGGAGGGAGGGCGGGTGCTTGAGGAAGCAAGCCAAAGAGGAAGCCCTCTGGCTCGCTCCTCTGATTAAAATTGACCCAGCCATGCCCCCCCCCCGGCCAGCGGATTGGCTGGCTGGGCTCTGATATGACCGGGATCCCCCGGGCAACGGGAGACAAAGTCCCCCGCCCCGGTGGGGAGTGGGTGGCCACGCGGTCCACCGCAACCCCTCCCCACTGGGAAGTGGAGCGGATTTCTGCGCTTCTCTGCCATTCTGTTCATTTCCTAACAGGGGAAGGAGCCGTATAGCTCAGCGGTGGAGCACGCAGATGGCATCGTACGATGACTCGCCCAATCTCTGTCTGGCTGAGTCTCTGCAGCACACGGAGATGGAGAGGGGGTTGCGTCGGTGCAAACGCCCTAGCAGGAGCACTGGATTGTGTTTGCACCACACCCACCTCGCCGCCACCACATCCCTCCTGGTCTGCTGCAGCAACTTAGCCAGGCAGAGGTCAGGTGAGCGGCAAAGCCCCACCATGCTGCTGGGTTTGCAGGCAGAATTGCAGGTTCAATTCCTGGCCCCTTCAGGTGATCAGGTAGAAGGAGATGGAAAAGGTCCTCTGCCTGAGACCTGTAAGAGCTAGTGGTAGTCAGCGTGAGCATCATTGGGCTAGGTGGATCGCTGCTCTGACGCTATATATTTCTGTGTTCGCATCAGAGAACATCTGCTGCCCTTCTTAGGTCCAGGCCAGAGATGACATTAGTCATGTGGTTTGTCCTTGCACGGGCAATTAAAAAGAAACGTATGCACATAGCCAACGTCAGGGTGTGTCTTGCTGGGTCCGTTTGCAGCTGTGGTGTGGGAAGAAGGGTCTTTAACCTTTCCCCCTTGCCACAGTCCCAGTTGGAATTCCAGCCCCCACCAGCGCCACATGCCTGCTGTTTGCAATGGAAAGAGAAGCTGCGGAGGAATGGGGGTGGATTTTTATGTTCGATTATTTCCCGATGCCCCCAAACGGGGGGAGAAAATCAGAGGACATTGTTGTGAAACTTTTTCTCCCCGCTGCGGGAATGAGCTGTGTTAAAATTAAACGAGGGGATGATTAAACCGGCATTTCCAAGAATATGCTTGTAAACGCTTTGCTGCGTAACAAGTGATTTGCAGGGCGGCTCGCTCTTTTAATTTCGACTTTGCACGCAGCTGCGACTTCGTTTTGTGCGTGATTATTGCTCTCGTTTGTCCTCGCTTCAGAGATACAGGGCGGTAGCCGACCACTGTGTCCTGTTGGCGTGAGGATGAATGCTTGTGCAATGGGGTCCCCGCTCCTGCCTGCGCCCTCCCCAAATCTGCACCAGGTGGTTGGGGACCCTTCCCTATGCTATTGGAATCCACCCAATCCCATGGATGGATTCCTTGGAGTTGTTTCAGCAGAGAGGGGATGGCCATCTGTCATTGATGCTTTAGCTGAGATCCCTGCATTGCATTGCAGGGGGTTGGACTTGATTACTCCGGGGTCCCTTTCAACGATTCTATGAGCCCCAGCCAGCAAGGCCGTTGGTCAGAGATGATGGGAGATGTAGTCCAACTCATAGCATTTGGAGGGCCACAGAGTTCCCAACCCATGTGCGCTGGTCCCTTGGCAACTGGTGCATCAAGTGATGACGTCCACATATGAACGGGTTGCGTCATAGCTCTATCCTATTCCACCCCGACTTACTAGGTGATAGTTCTGGACGCATGCAAGGATTCCCATTTTCCTCTACCCCTTGCAGACCTTCCGGCCGGCAGCCATGTTGGTGGAGCGTTCAGCAGATTTTGGCCGCACCTGGCAGGTGTACCGCTACTTTGCCTACGACTGCGCCGCCTCCTTTCCGTCTGCCTCCCGGGGACCCTTGCGGCGTGTGGACGATGTTGTCTGTGAGTCACGCTACTCGGACATTGAGCCCTCTACCGAGGGGGAGGTGAGTGAAAAAAGCAGGGCGTCTGGAGCAGTAGGATCTCCTATGGGGGTGTCAGGGATGGGCTAGATGACGGGGAGTGGTGGGAGGTAGCAGTCCGGGAACCCCCAAGTTGAAGCCCCAGAGGAGGAAGGCTTAGGGCCCAGGAAGTGATGGTGGGACATGGAGGAGAGGTAAGGGGGAGAGATGATAATAATAATAATAATAATAATAATAATAATAATAATAATAATAATAATAATTATTTATTGTTTATACCCCGCCCATCTGGCTGGGTTTCCCCAGCCACTCTGGGCGGCTTCCAACAAAATATTAAAATGCAATAGTCCATCAAACATTAAAGCTTCTCTAAACAGAGAGGAATGGTTGGATGCTGAGGAAGCAACAGGCTTTAGTGAGCGATGAGAGCCTGTGACAGGGAGCAGCTCAGACACAATGGCTGAAGCAGAGGAGGGAGGGAAGCCGCTGGTGGAGAATTCCAGGAATCTGCATCTCCTATTGCAACTAGCTCCCCTCTCCTTGACTCCAAGGACACCCAGGGCAATACATAGGGCAGAACAGATATTACAGTAGTTTGAAGCTGCTTGGGCAACATCCAGCAGAGGAGGAGGCCACCAATCCTGGAAACTGCTCTGTAGAGGCAAAACCTGTTGCTGAGCAGTATGCCATTTTCTTGAATAAAAAGATAAACTACATTGCCAAACTTTGTGTCTTGTGTGCTGACCTGCACCTGACCCAGCTCTGATGGGAGATGTTGGGAGGTTGGGGTCAAGAGATGGGTTCAGCACCAAACACACCATATACGTTAGGTCCCTGCAGACTGCCTCCTCCTTGTAGAGGCCCAAGCCAAGGGCTGCAGGATTATGCTCTCGTAAGATGGCTGTTGCCCCTTGACCCTCTGCTCTTTCTTCCTTGCTCCAGGTAATCTACAGAGTGCTGGATCCAGCTATCCACATCCGTGACCCCTACAGCCCCAAAATCCAGAGTGAGTCTCTCTCTCTATGAGAGGTTGTCCTGAGTGAGTCTCTCTGTGGGAGGGAGCCAGAGGAGGGAGGAGCTGGTTTAGGGCAGGGAGAGGCTGGGCATACTGTGTATTTGCCCCCCCCCCAAGAGGAGTTGGATTCCCAGTGGACAAATGAGATTCTGACCTCCGAATGAGAGAAGAATCTTGGAACATTTCTGCTGCACCAAATATTTCCATCTTAATATAACTATAAATAAATGCACGGTCTCTCTCTCTCTCTCTATATATATATATTACGTAGGCAGAACCCAGGCCCCAAAATTGCAGCAGTAATGTGTCACAACATTGCTTGCGCAAACCAAGCAAGAAACTTGCACACCCATGTTTATTAGGCCATGCGATCGACTATCGTAAAAGCGGCACTATATGTGCACCCTGGGCTATTTGGCCCATTCCAGGGACTGCATCCTTCCTCCCCTGCCATGAGCATACCTTCTGGTTTGGAGGTCTTCCTACCACCTGAGATGCGGTGGGTGTAGGGCAGGTGTCGTGGAGAAGGCCTTTTTGTTTGTGGCGCCCGGGATTTGGAACTACTTCCTGGGCGAAGTATGCGTGGCCCCATCACTGTTTCCAGACAGGCAACGGAAATCCTTTTGTCGAGATGGATATTTTCTCATTTCAGTGAGAACTTTTCTGCCTTTTTATGGAGTTGTGGTGCTGTTCTGTCGTTCTGCTCTTCTTTTGTAGTGTGCAAAAGGTTGTGAGCCACCTTACGCATCTTAGCGGACGGGTGAGGTAGAAATGAATGGATGAGTCTAGTGGGCTCGTTTGGGAAATGGCAGCTCATTAGTGAATTGTGGTTTTAAAAAACAAGCAATCACACAATAAGGAATTCTTTCTAATTACATTTATAACTCTCATGGTTCCCAGGCCAGGTCTCCAGTCCATGTAGAAACATAGGAAGCTGCCTTATACTGATCTAGATGGCTGGTCCATCTAGTTCAGTATTGTCTATGTTATGTATTCAGTGGCCTGTGTTTGCCTGAGCTTGAGTCTGGACCATAGCTGTCAACCATCCCTTATTTGGCGGGAAAGTCCCTTATCCAAGTGCCGTGTCCCGCTGCTGTCCCTTATTGATGATGTCCCTGAAATTTCCCGGGTTTCAAAGGAAGCAGCTCCTCTCCCTCCCTGCGGCCAGGGAGGCTCCAACTGTGTTGCTTGGCTGCATTGCTCACCCAATAAGGAGTCTAAGAATGACTGGGGGGATGGAGCTTGCATGCCTTGTGCCGATCAAATCGGCAGCGTTGCCTGGGGACTCGCCTTTGCTCAGCGCTTCCCAGCGGAGAGGTGACGGTGGTTTTCCTTGCTGCATCCCCTTTGCCGGGTTGCTGCACTGTGGGAACCACCGCTTGAGGCTTTGTTTGGCTGCTGGCTGGGCTTTCTGCCTTTGGCTCGGAGGGGCTCAGAAGTTGAACATACCTGTGCTTGGAAAATCCCTTATTTTGGCTGCTGATCCCTTATTTTTGAGGCTGCTGGTCCCTTATTTTCAAATCTGTAAGTTGACAGCTATGGTCTGGACTAAGGATTCTGAGCTCCTGTGTTCTGATTCGATACATGATTTCCAGTCACAGAACATTTCAGGATTTGGGCCTCTGCCATTGGCCCTTAAAGCCTGAGTCATGATTCGCAGCTTGGAAGTTTAGACAGCCAATCACGTTGGGAGTGGGAGTGGCCCAGGCCTTCAGAAATGTATATAAGCAGTTGCTTTGTCCCTGTTGTTCAGTTCTGTAGTGCAATAAAGGTTTTTGCTGTTATCACTGCGCCTTGCCTTGTGGGAACCCACCTACACTTCAGTCTACACTGACTGGCAGTGGCTCTTCAGGGTTTCATGCAGGAATCTTTCCCAACCCTACCTGGAGATGCTGAGGATTGAACCTGGGTATGGCCCAGTGTGGTGTAGTGGTTAAGAGCGGTAGTCTCGTAATCTGGTGAACCGGGTTTGCTTCCCCGCTCCTCCACATGCAGCTGCTGGGTGACCTTGGGCCAGTCACACTTCTCTGAAGTCTCTCAGCCTCACTCGCCTCACAGAGTGTTTGTTGTGGGGTAGGAAGGGAAAGGAGAATGTTAGCTGCTTTGAGACTCCTTAAAAAAGGGAGTGAAAGGCGGGATATCAAATCCAAACTCCTTCCCGTGTAGTGATAAGGCCCAGAGCTGCTTAAGTTTAGCAAGGCTGTGTCTCCCGGACCTTCTGACCATACATTGGGAATTAAGGAGAATGTTTCTCCTGAAAAGGTATTTTGTTCTTTTCACCAGATCCAAATGGCTGAGTAAATATTTTCTCATCACAAACAATTGATCCTCGTCTTTGAGACTTTTTTTTGGGCCTGGGGCACATTAGGAGAGATAACAAACAATTATGAATGTGGCAAGACATTGATTTCACAGAAGAAAAACCGGCAAAGCTCAGAATGTTCCCCCTCACCAACAAACTTGCAAAACACCTACATCTCTCCTACACAATTGAAACGCTATACAACAACAGCAACAATTCCTGAACCAAATCAACAAACGAAGAAGGAAAAACCCTGACTTAAAAATATATATACTAAAATTTAGGAGAGGGGGAGAGGGCGTTGGTGGACACTAAAGGGGTGTTTGAGGGTGTCACAGAGATGCCACAATGGGGACCACAAATCTAGACAAACATACCCTCTTTCCCTAAGAAAGAGAAACATATACACAAATAGCTAGCTAGCAAACAGTTCCCTGGGATCCTAGTGTGGACAGCAGCTGGCCCTGCCTTTTACTTCTATTTGGGGGCTGGTTAAATTTGGCCCTAGACAGATTTCTGCTTTGGCTGCTGCTAGATTTAGCTGTGGCCTCTCTCTGTCTGTCGCTCTTTCTCTTTTTCTCTTTCTCTCTGTGTGCGGCTGGGAATCTGTTCCCTCTCCCCTCGTCGTGGTGCGCATACTTCTGACTGGTCCTGGCCGATAGCTTGCGGGGTGTTGACAACTCTGATATTCATAGCCCACCACGTAGCCCAGCTTTCGAACCCACAGCCCCAGCCGGGAAAGCTGTTTCCCAGTGAGGATGCTTCTCGCTCTGTCTGCCTTCTCACTCATTCCAACCTCTCTGCCCGCCAGATCTCCTGAAGGTCACCAACTTGCGGGTGAACTTGACCAAACTCCACACGCTGGGAGACGACCTGCTGGATTCGCGGCGGGAGATCAAGGAGAAGTACTACTATGCCGTGTACGAGATGGTGCTGCGTGGGAACTGCTTCTGCTACGGACACGCCTCAGAGTGCGCCCCCCTTGCCCGTAGCCCTGCTGACGTGGAGGGCATGGTAAGGCACTAGGAACGCTCATAGGCACACACTGCACTTGATTAGGCGTGCCGTCTCCTCCCACAACTTACAGTGGTACCTCGCAAGACGAACGCCTCGCAAGACGGAAAACCCGCTAGACGAAAGGGTTTTCCGTCGCGGAGGCGCTTCGCAAAACGAATTTCCCTATGGGCTTGCTTTGCAAGACGACAGCCCATAGGGAAATCTCCGGGACAGCGGGGAAGCGCAGCGCCTCTTCCCCACTGTCCTCGGACCTCCTCCCGCCGCCAGGCTTCGGAAGGCTGCTCCGAAGCCTGGCGGGGGGGCGGAGAGGTTTTTTAAAAACCCCGGGACAGCGGGGGACTTCTCCGCTCTCCAGGGCGATTTTAAAATGCTGCCGGGCGGCAGCGCTGACGCCCGGCAGCATTTAAAAAAACCCGGGACAGCGGGTTTAAAATCGCCCCGGGCGGCGCGTTTCTCCGCTGTCCCGGAGGGCTTTTGAAGGCAGGCGGGGGGAGCAAAGACTTTCGCCCCCCGCCCGCCTTCAGAAGAGGTCCTGGACTGTTAAGTCGTGGGTTGACATAGCAGCCGGCACAGCGATTTCTTCAAGTAGCTCTTTATTCTGGTAAGCTGGAATAGAACTGACTGCGAACAGCTCAGCCGGCCTGTATTTATAGGCAGCCGGCTGTCAACATTGTAACCACAACAGCCCAGAGTTCCCGCCTAAAATAACTGGCGCGGACCTGAGTGAAAACTATCTACAGACCTGAGTGAAAACTATATACAGTATCCCCCTGTTGGCCCAGGGTGAAACTACACTACATAACACCCCTCCCCACCGAGATAAGGCGTTAGTTACAATCGTAATGGTTTCCTTATATACAGCACTACGCGTAATGGTTCAATTAGGCACAAAAGCATATCGGTTACATTTCCCATACTTAGACCAACAGTGATACCTGTCCAACAACATAGTCCTTTAAATGAGTTGGGCGCTTGGAAACTCTGCCAGACCGCCGGGGACTGGTAGCCAAGTCCGGAGGGCCACACAGTTCTCGCTGAGGCTGTGGTGCGACCCTAGGTGGCGTTGGAACCAACTCCCCTGGATCCGCTGCTGAGAGTGGAGCCTCCGCAAGTGGAGTGGTCTGAGTCTGTTCTGAAACGGCTTGGTTCGGCTCCACGCTGGCAGTTTGCGAGGGAGGTGTAGGTGGGGCCTCGCCATCTGTACGTGTCTCTTCTGGAGCCGCAAGCGCAGTTGGGGGCACCTCGGTAGTGTCCAAGTCCCCAACCCTGCGCCTAAGCTGGTCTATGTGCCGTCGCCACAAGCGTCCGTCTTCGAGTGCCACCTGGTACGAGCGAGGTCCAGTGACTCCCACTACTGTGGCTGGCACCCAAGGGATGTCCCCCACATAGTTCCGGGCAAAGACCTGGTTTCCCGGGACAAATGACCGTGGTGCGTTGGCACAGCCTGGGGGTTCAGCCACGGCAAAGTCTGGGTGTAGCCGGTCGAGCGGTGACCTGAGGCGGCGGCCCATAAGCAGTTCCGCAGGACTCCTCCCTGTGGCCGCATGAGGGGTGATGTGTTGCGTGAACAAGTATTCGGCGACCCGCTCATGCCAGTCTCCCCGGTCCAGGCGCGCCAGTGCCTCTTTTGTCGAGCGCACCATTCTTTCCGCTTGCCCGTTGCTGGATGGATGAAAGGGTGCCGTTAGGGCATGGCGGATGCCCAGTCCCAAAAGATACCGCTCAAACGTGCCTGACGTGAACTGCGGTCCGTTGTCAGAGACAAGGACATCAGGACACCCATGCGTTGCAAACAGGCCTCGCAGCACCCGGATGACAGCTTCGGTAGTGGTGGAGGGCATCAGGGCGACCTCCAGCCATTTGGAATAGGCGTCCACCACTACCATAAAGGTCCGGCCGTGAAAGGGGCCAGCCAGATCGATGTGCACCCTCGACCAGGGTGTCTTTGGCGTCTCCCAGGTGTGTCCCTTAGCTGACGGTGGTGCAGGCCTCGACTCCTGGCACGCTTGACAGGCGGACACCCAGGCAGTGATGGCATCGTCCATATTAGGCCACCAGACGTAACACCGAGCCAACGCCTTCATTTTGACAATTCCCGGGTGGCCAACGTGCAGAGCCTCCAGGACGCGCTGACGGAGTCCCTGGGGAATCACGACGCGGTCTCCCCACAGCAGACAGCCGCGATGAGCTGAGAGTTCATGTTGTCTGGTTGCGAAGGGCTGGAACTCCGATGCAAAGGGCCCTTGTGGCCACCCTCTCCACACCCAGTTGAGCACCCGGCTGATGGTGCGATCCTGGGCAGATGCGGAGGCCACAGTGGCAGCCGATACAGGCGCTGCCGGAAGATCCTCAATCAGAAGGAGCGATGAAGCTGGAGCCGGGTCTTCCACAAATGCTGGAAGAGGGCAACGGCTGAGGGCGTCGGCATGGCCCATCGATTTCCCCGGGCGGTGGATGAGCCGGTAGTGGTAGGCAGCCAGGAAAACAGTCCATCGTAGCATGCGTGGTGAGAGGACCGGTGGAGTTGGACGATCACCGGCGAGGAGGCCCAGGAGTGGCTTGTGGTCAGTGATGAGGTCAAAAGTCCTGCCATAGAGGTATTCATGGAACCTCTTCACTCCAGCCACAAGTGCTAATGCCTCCTTGTCGAGCTGGCTGTACTTCCGTTCCGTCCGAGATAGTGTCCTGGAAAAGTAGGCGAGCGGTGCTTCTCTTCCATCTGGAAAACGGTGACTAAGGACAGCACCGATGCCAAAAGGTGAGGCGTCGCAGGCAAGGACCAGCGGCCTGGATTCACTGTACTGTACCAGCACACTGTCTGAAGAAAGGAGAGCCTTGACCGCGTTGAAGGCCGCCGTCTCCCGATGACCCCAGGCCAAGGCGTCTTAGTGCTAAGGAGTCGGTGAAGAGGCTCAGCCACTGTGGCTTTGTGGGGCAGGAACATGTTATAAAAGTTCAGCAGCCCCAGGAACGCCTGCAACTCCGTTTTGTTCTTTGGAGTGGGGGCCTGCTGGATAGCGCGGATCTTGGATGTGGTTGGATGAAGACCGGAGGCATCGATAAGATAGCCCAGGAACTCTACCTGTGGAACGGCGATCTGGCACTTCTCCCTCTTTACCTTGAGCCCGGCCTCCTGGAACCTGGTCAGCACGGCACGGAGGCGCTCGAACAGCTGCTGGTGTGAGTCTGCAGACACCAAGACGTCATCAAAATATGGTACCACGCCCGGAAGCCCTTGCAGGAGACGCTCCATAAGGCTTTGGAAGATGCCAGGAGCCACACTCACCCCGAACTGCAACCGGCGGCAACGGAATGCCCCCCGGTGGGTGACGATCGTCTGGGCTTCAGCAGTGGCATCATCGACTGGCAGTTGTTGATAGGCTTGGGCAAGGTCCAGCTTAGCGAAGACCTTACCCTCACCCAGGGAATGCAGCAGGTGTTGGACAACAGGAACCGGATAAGCTTGCTGCTGAAGTGCCTTGTTGATCGTGCACTTGTAGTCAGCGCAGATTCTCACCGACCCATCTGGCTTGACAGGCGTGACGATGGGGGTTTTCCACTTTGCGTGGTCAACCGGCTCCAAAACTCCTTGGGCGATCAGTTTGTCCAGTTGTTCGTCCACCTTAGCCTTGAGAGCAAAGGGAACCCGGCGTGGCTTTAGCTTGATGGGGGCGACTTGTGGATCAAGGCTAAAGGAGATGGGCGTACCTGTATATTGGCCCAAGGTGCCGTCAAAAACCTCGGCAAAGTCTTTGACCAGACCCTCAGTCTCTGTGTTAGAGATGCAGTTGATGCCGGTGACTTCCAGGCCGAGGGCATCAAACCAGTCTAGCCCTAGGAGGCTTGGCCACTGACCTTCGACCACCACCAACCGGAGCAGGCCCGAAAAATCCTTGAAGGCGATCCGGAACAGGCCAACGCCTACCACGGGAATGTCGTTTCCCTGGTAGTCTCTCAGGTGTACGCGGTGAGAGTCGAGTTGCCTTTTGGACACTCTGGGTACCAGTCTTTTGATGGTGCTCCATGACACGATGGACAGGGCAGACCCAGTGTCGATCTCCATGTCACATGGAGCTCCTTCAATGAGCACCGTGACGTTCAGCTTGCGTCGCGTAGGCGAGTCGGTTTGACCAATCGTGGTTCCAGACGGGCAGCGGCAGTTGGTGAGAGCGAAACAACTTTCCTTGGCAGACTGGAGTGAAGACTTGGACTTGCGAGTCGATGAAGGGGGGGTGTCAGACGGAGCCGATCGGCAGACCTTAGCGATGTGGCCCCTTCTGGAACACTTCCTACAGATGGCGTCTCTGAATCGACACTTGGCACGGGAATGGTTGCCTCCGCAGCCAGCACATTCCGGTTGGCCCTTGGACTTCTGTTGGAACTTCCTGCGCTCCCGCTTTGTCTGGTGCACGTCATCGTCTTCACTGGAGGATGCCTCATCACTGCTGGCCTCTTCATGATGCACCGGAACTGGCTCCCTAGCAAGACGCGGGCTGCTGGACTTGCGGATCTCCTGGGCGGAGCGTTCAGCAGCTTCTGAGGCCACAGCCTCCTCAATGGCTTTCTGTAGCGTGAGGTCTGGCTTGGCTAGGAGGCGCCGTTGCAGATGGATGTCCCGGACCCCGCAGACGATTCGATCCATCAGGGCATCGTCTAAGTCTCGGAACTCACAGTGCATTGCAGCCTGTCGCAGGGCGGTGGTGTAGTTGTTGATTGACTCCCCCTCTGCCTGGTTCCGGTGGTAGAACGCATGGCGGGCAGCAATCTTGGACGGCTTTGGTGCGTAGTGGTTGCGGAGCTTCTCTTGGATCGTGTCCCATGGTGTTGCCTGGACTGCTTCAGGCGCAACCAACGCTCGGGCCGTCTCAAACACCTCAGGCCCACAGAGGCTGAGGAATAGGCCCCGCTTCCGATCCTTTGATACTGCTGTCAGCTCGTTGGCTTGGAGGTAGCAGTCGAACCGAGCGAGGTAGGTGTCCCATGATTCAGAGGCTGGCGCAAACGGCGGTAGAGGCACAAGTGAAGCCATGATTCCGATGCCGGCGTGAAGGGCGATGGATGGAACACAGTGCTCTAGCCAGAACAGTCAGCTCTGAATTGGTTCTGCCCAGTGATTTCGCTCAGTGATTTCGCTCTGTGATTCAGCTCAGTGATTCAGCTCAGTTCAGAGGCTGGCCGCATCTGGCTGTGCTCTGATGTCCATCCATCCCATCCTCGTCGCCAGTGTTAAGTCGTGGGTTGACATAGCAGCCGGCACAGCGATTTCTTCAAGTAGCTCTTTATTCTGGTAAGCTGGAATAGAACTGACTGCGAACAGCTCAGCCGGCCTGTATTTATAGGCAGCCGGCTGTCAACATTGTAACCACAACAGCCCAGAGTTCCCGCCTAAAATAACTGGCGCGGACCTGAGTGAAAACTATCTACAGACCTGAGTGAAAACTATATACAGTATCCCCCTGTTGGCCCAGGGTGAAACTACACTACATAACATGGACCTCTTCTGAAGGCGGGCGGGGGGCGAAAGTTTTTGCTCCCCCCTGCCTGCCTTCCCGGCACAGCGGGAAGACATGGCCGCCTCGTTTCCCCCAGCCATGTGAAAAAGCACACGCATTTTCAAGTTTACGGTCTGCAAATAAAAACATCCTAAAGATCCCAGGCCACAGAGAGGTTAGGCTGGCCTCAACTAGAGCCAGGACTCTCTCGGCTGCGGCTCCAATCTGGTGGAATGCTCTGTCACAAGAGACTAGGGCCCTGCAGGACCTGACATCCTTCCGCAGGGCCTGCAAGGCAGAGCTGTTCTACCAGGCCGTTGGTCAGGGCGCAGCCTGACCCCCTCCTCTGGCAATCTGCACAGAATTTTGCTTGATGGTTGCCATTAATTTGATTTTAATTTGATTTAATTAATTTTATAATGAATGTTTTTAGAATGTCGGACTATTTTGATTGTTGTTAGCCGCCCTGAGCCCAGCTTCGGCTGGGGAGGGCAGGATATAAATAAAATTTATTATTATTATTATTATTATTATTATTATTATTGACTAGAATCATAACCCAACTATTTATTGGGGCACCAACTTAGTTCAAAATATACATAGGCAACGTGGCCTTTGTCCCCTATGTGGGGTGCAAGCCTAACTTCTCTGGATGCATACCTGGGAAGGGCGCGGCATGCCCATGAAGATGTGGGGTAGGAAGGTCGTGTGCAGTCTGAACGCAGGAAGGCAAGCAAAGACCCGCCCTCTTCCATTCACCGTGGGCGTGGCCTGGGTCTCCCCCTTTCTCCGCCCGCAGGTGCATGGCCGCTGCGTCTGCAAGCACAACACCAACGGGCTGAACTGTGAGCAGTGCGACAACTTCTACCACGAGCTGCCCTGGCGCCCGGCTGAGGGGCGGCGCACCAACGCATGCAAGAGTGAGTATTTGAGGAGGGGGCGTTGAGGGAACAGGGAAGCCAGGAGGAGCGTTGATGCTTCCACAGGCAAAGCTGAAGGGTTACCGCGTGAGAGGGCAGTCGCGGTTGGGAATGAGAGCCACCCTCCCGACAAACCCATGAGGCGGAATTTTTCTACCGCCAGTCCCAATAGAAGGCGTTGCTTGAAAGACTGTACACCAGCAGTTCTCAACCTGTGGGTCCCCAGATGTTGTTGGACTACAACTCCCATCATCCCTGAGCTCTGGCCTTGCTAGCTAGGGATGATGGGAGTTGTAGTCCAACAACATCTGGAGACCCACAGGTTGAGAAAGGCTGCTGTACACCATCATATACTGGTGGAATTGCCACTGCTACAGGTGCCACATAATGCCCGTTCCACGTTTGTAAGACCTCAGTTGTTTAGTGTGGCAGGACCTATACTTTGGAACTCCCTGCCTATTGAGGTCTTTGCAGGGGGTTGAACTAGATGACCCTTCGGTCCCTTCCAACTGTTAAATTCTTTCTTTTTTAATCATTTTTATTAAGGTTTCCATTTTAACAATCCAATCCAATTACATTAAATATTCCAAATTATACATATGCATATCAAATAATCCAAATTATAATTTTTTTATTGGGACTTCCCATGCTTCAAGTTCGGGGGGCTTTGATCATCACATATCTGTACTGCTTTTCATAGTCCCAACTGTTAAATTCTATGGTCAAGCAGGCACCTTCACTGGACCCTTTTCGGACCTGCTAGAAACATTATTGTTTAGACAAGCCTACCCAGATGCTTAGAAAGTTGAAGTAATTTTAATCTGTTTAATAATAATAATAATAATAATAATAATAATAATAATAATAATATACCACCCGCCATCCAAAGATCACAGGGCAGTTTACAATATGAAAACACCAAAAAATACATAACACAGTAACAAACAAGATAATACCGACCCCCAATTTAAAAGGCCATGGATTGTTTGAATTAGCCAAAGGCCTGGGAGAAGATGAATGTTTTTGCCTGGTGCCTAAAGATCTATGTAACAAAGGTGCCAGGCGAGCCTCCCTAGGGAGCGCATTCCACAGGCAGGGAGCCAGCACAGAAAAGGCCTGCTCATCTCTTCAGTTTTGAAAGGCTGCAAAGAGATGGCGCTAGGCTTACATCCGTGGCAAGGGAGTTCCGCATTCTCGGGGCCATCACTGAGAAGGCCCTCTCATGAGCCACTGCCCCATGAATTTCCAACTGTGGTGAAGCCTTCTCCTCTGATCTTAATTCCCAGGCCAGTCTGTAGGGAGGGAGCTGCTGTTTCAGATACCTGGGGCTGAGGTCATTTAGGGATTCACATGGATTTGGGTGACAGGGCTTGGTGAAGTCAGGGATGTGATTGCCGCCTCTCGACAGAGTGCAACTGCAACGAGCACTCCCACAAGTGCCACTTCGACATGGCTGTGTACCTGGCCACGGGCAACAGCAGCGGCGGGGTCTGCGACGACTGCCAGCACAACACCATGGGCCGCCACTGCCAGCTCTGCAAGCCCTTCTACTACAAGGACCCCACCAAAGACATCCGGGACCCCAGCGTGTGCCGCGGTGAGAGCCTGCCGACTGTATTGGGGTGGGTGGCTGGGTGGAAATGGGGCTGGGGTCTGCATGTTTGCAGGGACGAAGGACCTTTCTTGTGGAAAGGCTCCCTCTTTCAGCGCTGGGAAAGTAGCTGTTTGTGCTTCATAGGATTCAGGTGCCTGAATCGGCTGATGGCATCTCCAAGGCTGTCCTGACTCCCCATTCCTGCAGAACAGGAACTTGAAGGAGGAGCCTTCCTGAGGGCTTTAAATGTTTAGGTCGCTGTGATGGATAATTTTAAAAAATCAGTTTATTTTATATAGCCAAAGTCCTTCACAGTGAATAACAGAGGGCCTAAGCATGGTATTCCTCTAAAACAGGGGTAGGCAACCTAAGGCCCGGGGGCTGGATGCGGCCCAATCGCCTTCTAAATCCGGCCCGCGGACGGTCCGGGAATCGGCATGTTTTTACATGAATAGAATGTGTCCTTTTATTTAAAATGCATCTCTGGTTTATTTGTGGGGCATAGGAATTCATTCATTCCCCCCCCCCAAATATAGCCCGGCCCACCACATGGTCTGAGGGATGGTGGACCAGCCCATGGCTGAAAAAGGTTGCTGGCCCCTGCTCTAAAATCAGACAGCGTAAGGCTATAGAGATTACAGCATAAAAATTTTAAATTACAATGCTGGAGCGAAGATGTCAGAGCAGATTTGGCTGCCAGAGATGGCCTTAGTTTGCCAACCCATGCCTTGACTCTACTTAACTGCTTAACTTTGCCCTCTGCCTAATTCCCACAGCTTGCAAAGAATATTGGCATGTGGGTTTTGCTAGCAGAGCCTTTTTTTAAAAGGCCTTGGCACGTTCCCTCAAAAGCTCAAGGCTCCACTGTTCAGCAGCGGTGCGGAGCGTGAGAATCTGCAAAGGTGGCAAGCCTGGAGTCCGGTTTCGGAAGCTAACGTGGAGTTGCCAAAGCCGAAATCTTCTGTTTTGCATCACCAGGACCCCTTTCTTCCTGCACCTGCGGGTTGGGAGCCTCCAAACAAAGTGCTTTTTCTTTGCTGCCAAGTTAGCAGAGGCTGTCTTTGCACAGACACCGCCGTGTGGTTGCAGCAGAGCTTGCTGAGATTTAATTTGGGCAAGGTTTCTCGGCAGGCTTGAGGACTAGAACCCCTCTCTTTAAGAGCGGAAATGATTTCACATAATAATAATAATAATATAATAATTTATTATTTATACCCCGCCCATCTGGCTGAGTTTCCCCAGCCACTCTGGGCGGCTCCCAATCAAGTGTTAAAAACAGTACAGCGTTAAATATTAAAAACTTCCCTGAACAGGGCTGCCTTCAGATGTCTTTTAAAGATAGGATAGCTGCTTATTTCCTTCACATCTGAAGGGAGGGTGTTCCACAGGGTGGGCGCCACTACCGAGAAGGCCCTCTGTCTGGTTCCCTGTAGCTTTGCTTCTCGCAATGAGGGAACCGGCAGAAGGCCCTTGGCGCTGGATCTCAGTGAACGATGGGGATGGAGACGCTCCTTCAGGTATACAGGACCGAGGCCATTTAGGGCTTTAAAGGTCAGCACCAACAATTTGAATTGTGCTCGGAAACATACTGGGAGTCAATGCAGATCTCTCAGAACTGGTGTTATGTGGTCCCGGCGGCCACTCCCAGTCACCAGTCTAGCTGCCGCATTCTGGATTAATTGCAGTTTCCGGGTCACCTTCAAAGGTAGCCCCACGTAGAGCGTGTTGCAGTAGTCCAAGCAGGAGATAACCAGAGCATGCACCACTCTGGCAAGACAGTCTGCGGGCAGGTAGGGTCTCAGCCTGTGTACCAGATGGAGCTGGTAGACAGCCGTCCTGGACATTGAATTGACCTGCGCCTCCATGGACAGCTATGAGTCCAAAATGACTCCCAGGCTGCACACCTGGTCCTTCAGGGCCACAGTCACCCCATTCAGGACCAGGGAATCCCCCACACCAGCCCGCTCCCTGTCCCCCAAAACAGTACTTCTGTCTTGTCAGGATTCAACCTCAATCTGTTTATGTTTTAAGAACTGCAGCTCGGCACAGCAGACCCGCTTTCCCAAGAAGGGACCAGATCTCTTCCAAGAAAGTGGAATGGTTTTCTTTTCTTACTAGTTTAGATAGGGATTAGCGGCTTCTCTTTACGCCTTTAATTTTGGGGTTTGCTCTGTGCCCGCCCTGGACAGCCTGCGACTGCGACCCCGACGGCACCCTGGATGGCGGGGTCTGCGACACCCATGACGACCCAGCGCTGGGGCTGATTGCTGGGCAATGCCGCTGCAAGGAGCACGTGCAGGGAGTCCGCTGTGACAAGTGCAAGGCTGGCTTCTTTGGACTCAATGCGGAGAACCCCCAAGGCTGCCAACGTAGGTATCTCCAATGGGGTTTCCCTGGGCATATCCAGCTCCTTTTCTGAGCCCTTTAGACAGGGACGCGGACTTATAAAAAATATTGGGGGGGCCCGGGAAAGCTCATGAATAATAAATAAGCTCATGAATATGCAAATAAAGTGGCGCCGCCTCCTCGTGAGCGAATAGGGGAGAGCGTGCTGCGCCTATTAATCAGCTCCAAAGGAAATTGGGTGGAGCTTTTGCTCGGGAGGGAGGGCAGGAGGCATGCAGCCCGCCCCTCCCTGTGCATTTTGGGCTGGGGGAGGGGCGGCGATGGCGCTCTGCTGGAGGGGCGTCGGAGATTATTGGGGGGGCGGAGCCCCCCCAAACGAATTTTTGAGGGGGCTCGGGCCCCCTCAAGCCCCATGGAGTCGGCGCCTATGCCTTTAGATGTGGTTCTGGGTGGGCTACTTAGCCAGTGCAGCGCACCGCATAGACCAGTGGTTCTCAAAGGTTTGTGGTGCGCCACACTGGTCAAAGAAACATTTCAGTGTAATGCTATACACCATATTTTTCTCTCTATAAGACACACCAGACCACAAGACGCACCTAGTTTTTGGAGGAGGAAAACAAGAAAAAAATATATTCTGAATCTCAGAAGCCAGAACAGCAAGAGGGATCACTGCGCAGTGAAAGCAGCAATCCCTCTTGCTGTTCTGGCTTCTGGGATAGCTGCACAGCATGCATACACTCCATAAGACGCATGCACATTTCCTTTTACTTTTTAGGAGGGGAAAAGTGAGTCTTATAGAGCAAAAAATACGGTAGTATTTATTTATTTTTTAAAAAAAACAGTTTGCAGGGTATTTATTTATTTATTTGATACAGCAAGAAAATAAAAAAAGAGAAAACACAAATACCAAATTACACACAGGAATAACAATAGATTACAGAATTTTCTTAACAAACAATAAGACATAAATTGGTCTTAACACTAAAGACCCAACCTCCCGTCTATTCCATATATCGATTTCATATAACCTATTGCCAATACACACTTTTTATTTTATTGAATTTATATACCACCCTATACCCGGGGGTCTCAGGGCGGTTCACAGGATAAAATCAAAATATAAAACCACAAAACACATAAATCAAAATAAAAAAACAGCCCAATAGCCCCTCCCCCAAATATATATATTTCTGATATCACCAATGATGGTTTGTTTGCCTTTCTGCTGGTCATCTTTGGGGTTAATTACAAGGGTAAAATATTTTCCATTGTTTTAAAATCAAACACATATGACGTTCCGGTATTTCTGAAAGAAGTGCCCTCTGTAATGTATTTCTTCAAAACCTTGTGATAATTCATTATTACCAAAAGACAAAGCTATCTGCTGAATATCTTAACTGTTGTGTATCTCAGTAGAGCAATCCTTGTGTTTTCACTGGTAATCAGTATAGAACAATGATTATCTGGGGATTAAGCCATCAGATGTAAAATGAGGACCTGCAAATCTTTTCAAAATAAGAGCAAGAGCATCAAGTGATACTGAGGACGATCCCAGGACAATGCTAGGAGCTGTTTCTTTTCATTTTCCAATGTATTTCTTATCAATAAAAAAATAAATGGTGTGATGTGAGCAAGTTTTTATTCTGAAAGTATGGCCCAGAGAACCATGGGCATAGAGTGCAAGACAGGCTAACCACAAGCTGGTTAGACTTCGGCTCCCATCATCCTTGACTCTTGGAAAGGCTCACTGGGGCTGATGGGTCCAAAAATTTGGATGGCACCAAGTTAGGGAAGGCTGGCACAAGACTTCGACTGGGGAGACCTGTGCTCAAATCCCTGCACATTCCTCTAGCTCGCTCTCAGGACAAAAGTCTATAAAAGTGTTAATGGCGTTATCTCATTTTATCTGTTGGTTGTGGGCAACCCTGAACTCCTGTTTGAAGGAGGCGTGGGATGAAACCAGTGCTATTTTTCCGGAAAAAGAGGTGCTCACAGAACTCACCATGAACTCTTGTTCTCTTACCATGGCAATGTCACCCACCTTAGAGGTGCCGGAACTGAGTTCCAGTGAGTTCCAGCTGGGTGTAACAAATCTAAGTGAGTGCGTAATTAATTCTACTGATTGATGTTTGTTCCAGTTCAGCAGTAAACAGCAGAATTTCTCTGATCTGTGCCTAGAAATAACGGGACAAGTGTGGATGAGCTCAGAGTCAACTGGATCACACCTCTCTCTCTCTCTCTCTCTCTCTCTCTCTCTCTCTCTGCTGGCTGGCACTTTCAACTCTTAATAGATTCATGAAAGAAGGCTTGCCCTTTCAGAAGCCATGCTGGGGCTGCTCCAGCAAGGCTTGTTCTTCTATGCACTCGGTTATTTTTGTCTTTAACCCACCAGGCTGCCAGTGCGACCCCCGGGGTACAGTGCAGGACGGGCCCCAATGCGATGCCCTCGCAGGCGACTGCTTCTGCAAACGTTTGGTGACCGGGCGCAGCTGCAACCAATGCCTGGTGAGTAACAGGCTGCCCTGCTCCCCCCTTCCCTTTCCTTGTGTCTCCCCCCAGACTGGCTGACACATAATTGTGTCTCTTTTTTTCAGCCGGAGCACTGGGCGCTGAGCCCTGACATTCATGGCTGCCGGCCTTGCGACTGTGATGTAGGGGGCGCCCGCGACAACCAGTAAGGGGGCGCTGGAGAGAGCGTCCTGGGTGGGTGGGGGAGGCTGAGGAAGGTGGGATTGGGAGCACGATCCCAACAAGGGGCCCTTGAGGAGGCAGGGTGGGATAGAAACCCAATAAGCAATAGGACCATTAGGTCCAGTCGTGACCGACTCTGGGGTTGCGGCGCTCATCTCGCTTTATTGGCTGAGGGAGCCGGCGTACAGCTTCCAGGTCATGTGGCCAGCATGACTAAGCCGCTTCTGGCGAACCAGAGCAGTGCACGGAAACACTGTTTACCTTCCCGCTGGAGCGGTACCTATTTATCTACTTGCATTTTGACGTGCTTTCGAACTGCTAGGTGGGCAGGAGCAGGGACCAAGCAATGGGAGCTTACCCCGTCGCGGGGATTCGAACTGCCGACCTTCTGATCAGCAAGCCCTAGGCCCTGTGGTTTAACCCACAGCGCCTCCCAATTTCCCCAATAAGCAATACCATAGACCAAAATGTGGGCTTTGCAAACCAGCTGAGGAGCAATCTCTTTGCATGAAAAGGACCTGCGGTGAGTTTTCCTGCAGTCGCTAGAAACTGCAGGAAGGGACAGGGCTCTTGCCCTTGGGTCCTGCTTTCGGGCTTCCCACAGGGCATCTGGGGTGCTGGCCTGATCCAGCTCAGCTCTTCTGCTCTCTAGCCCATATAGGAGGGTTTGTGAGAGGCACGGCATGATCTGCTGTGCCAGAGATAGGTCACTTTGCAAGGAGAGGTGAGGAAAGAGACAGAGCCCTCCCCTCCTCTTTATTTGCTCATTTATTTATTGAATTTCTACCCCGCCTCTCTGCTGGGGAACTCAAGCAGCAAGCAATGGGGTTCCCAGACAGTCAGTTGGCCAGAACTGAACTTGCTTAGCTTTATTTAGCAAGGGAGCAGCCTCCCAGCACCTTTTAGCTTGGTACTGGAGGAGATGGAGAGAGAGAAATGATTTGGGGCTGTATTTTGAGGCGGACCTGGTTAATTCGCACTTTCCAAAACAATAGCAGACTGAAACGCAGGCACCTTTCGAAATTTGCGTTTCTCCAAACTCTGCAGTTCTCCGAGTGAGTAATGTGTGCAGAAACACACATGCCGGGGGAGAATTGTGCCTAACAAAAGCATTCAGGGAGGGGGAAATTGCTTTGCAAAAACGTGTCTATTGGCGAAAATTGTACGTTGGGAGAAAATCATCAATGAATTTTCAAGAGGACTTGAAACAAACCGATTTGGAAATGTGGAGAGCGGGACATAAGTGTAGACAAATGAGGAGCTGGAATAGACAGATTTGCCCATCCCTGGACCGCAGGAGGCGGGTGAGCGTGTTCTCATGGGCTAGAACCACCTTTCCCGTTTGAGCCTCCCGCGCTGCCTTGCTGCAGGTGTGCCATGGAGACGGGGCAGTGCCGCTGCCGGAGCCACATGGTGGGCAGGCAATGCAGCCAAGTGCAGACCGGCTACTACCGCACCGCGTTGGACCATTATACGTATGAAGCGGAAGAGGCCCGGCTTCTCCAGGTGAGGACGTGGGCCTGCGGTTGCTTATATGCAGGGGTGTGGGAAAGCGTTCTCTGCTGAGTACCGACAGTAGTGTCTAACCTGACCGGCAGTGGCTCTCCAGGGTTTCGTAGAGTTGGAAGCATAGCTGTCAACTTTGAAAATAAGGGATCAGCAGCCAAAAAAGGGGCTTTTAATCAACCAGCTGAAATACGAAGTTAAAAGGGACCAGATAATTTTGGAGAGCAGCGCCGGTTTTTAGCCCTTCATTTCCAGAGGTTGCTGCTCAAGCTGATGAAACACTGCAATTAAATAACTACAAGCAGCAATCACTTTTCGTGCAAAACGAAGTCCAAGCTACAAAGATGCTACCCCAGGCAGAGACGCTCAGTTCGGCGGCCGCGAGGAGGATGGCGGCGGGGAGGGGCTCCCGGGGGTTGAGGCTGGTGAGAGGAGGCCGGAGGGGGGGGCGGGCCGGGCAACCAAGCAACACAGTTGGAGCCTCCCTCCTCCCTGGCCAGCAGGGAGGGAGGGAGAGGAGCTGCTTCCTTTGAAACCCGGGAAATTTAAGGGACATCATCAATAAGGGACAGCAGCGGGACATGGCGCTGGGATAAGGGAGTTTCCCGCCAAATAAGGGACGGTTGACAGCTATGGTTGGAAAGGTACCCTAGTCCAACCCCATCTGGATGGCTGGGGCTGATGGGACTTGTAGTCCAAAAGCATTAGCACCAGGTTAGCAACAACTAACTAACTAAGAGAAGCAGAAAGTCTTACTGATCTTTCTCTTGGCAGGGCGCTGAAGTAATGGAGCGCGTGCACCTCACGGGCCACCCAGCTACGTGGACAGGGCTGGGGTTTGCCCGGGTGCTGGAGGGCGCTGTGGTGGAGTTCCAGGTCAACAATGTGCCCTTCTCCATGGAGTATGACATTCTGCTCCGCTATGAGCCTCAGGTGCCTCTGCTTTTGCCTCCCGTACTACTTCTGCCCCATTCATAAACAAACAGTGGGGGTGTGCAGTTTGGGCTTCCAGTCTTCATATATATAAATCCAGATATACAACTCTTTAACGAAGCATTCAGAGCTTTACATGAAGTTCAGAGTATTTCTCAGGGGAATAAATAAAGTTTCGCCTCTGCCCCGCTGCTTTCCCCCGGAAATCCTGCTCCTTAGCACTAAACCACAGGTTTTCTTGGGGGAAAGTGGCAGGCAAAAGGATGTGTGGATGAGGCCTTAGTCATATCCACCCATTTCAATGGGTCTATTCTGAGTAAAGCTTAGCTGAATATCACCCAATAGGTCAGCGACATACGAAGAAATACTATACAGTGGTACCTCGGGTTAAGTACTTAATTCGTTCCGGAGGTCCGTTCTTAACCTGAAACTGTTCTTAACCCGAAGCACCACTTTACTAATGGGGCCTCCTGCTGCTGCCACGCCGCCGGAGCACGATTTCTGTTCTCATCCTGAAGGAAAGTTCTTAACCTGAAGCACTATTCCTGGGTTAGCGGAGTCTGTAACCTGAAGCGTATGTAACCTGAAGCGTATGTAACCCGAGGTACCACTGTATTCCAATTAAGAAGTCCAATCCCAGAATTCGGCTTTTCGGAGTTCAGAATGTTCTGAGCTTCAGCTTGAAGAAATGTAAACTTTGAAATCGTTTGGAATTAGTTTTGCCTTTGCCGCTAGTTCCCAAATCTTCCAGGTCTGTTCTGGGTTTCTTGGCTCTCCAGGATTTCAAGACAGGCTTTTTCCCCAAACTGGCCTGGAGATGTCTAGGGTGGAAGCTGAGACCTTCTGCACTCAGCTATGGCTGTTCCCCCTAAAACCAAAAAACACCTTAAAGGCTGTTTCTGAGGGGGTGCCATCTTAGTCTTGGCCTACCTCCGCATCTCATGCAGCCACACTGTAAGTCCTCCTTTTTCCTCAGCTTCCAGGAAAGTGGGAAGAGGTGAAAGTGTCTGTGGTCCGGCCTGGGCCCATCCCCACCAGCAGCCCCTGTGGAAACACCATCCCTGCGGACGATGTCATGACGACAGCTCTGCCACCCTCATCCCGGTGAGTGATGAAAAACATACAATGCTCTCCTCTCCCCCCTTCTCTCTCCCCAACTCTCTTTCCTTCCCCCCCCCCCAACCTTATGCCATATACAACAATCATGTCTTGCGTGGAATATAACTGATCTGTAGAAGTGACTTTATAATCTGAAAACAGAGACAATGTACAGTGGTACCTCGGTTCTCGAACGCAATCCATTCCGGAAGACCGTCCAAGTTCCAAAACGTTCAAAAACCGAGGTGCAAAGGACGGTCTGCAAATTTCTTTGAAAAAATTAAGAAGCGCGCAAAAGAAGCTGTTCGACTTCCGGGGCGCGTTCAAAAACGGAAGCATTTACTTCTGGGTTTTCGGCATTCGAGATCCGAAACATTCGTCAGCAGAAACATTCGAGAATCGAGGTACCACTGTATGTATGTTCTTTTGTAAACCCAAGAACTTCTCTAATAAAAGCAATTTTAAAAACCAACCAGGAATTAGTGGTCTCACCCTGGGAGAACTTCCTTTCCCTGCCTCTCACACAGGCGCCTTCCAGAGCTCTGCTGAAGTCAGCAGTGCCTTCCCATCCATTGCAGGGGACAAAACAGGCTACCTAGATGTGCCAGTCAGTGGGGCAGGCGGTTCCTTCCCATCCTTGGCTTTCAGGAAGGCGCCGTAGGATCATCACACACAGGCAAAAAATAATGCCAGGCCCTCCGCTCCCCTTTGCTGTTAACAGGCCTTTTCTTGTTCTGTAGGTTTGTGGTGCTGCCCCAGCCAGTCTGTCTGGAACAAGGGCTCAGCTACACCATCCGGGTAGAGTTCACCCGCTACGGAGGACGTGACCATTTGCAAGGGGCTGCAGTGCTGCTGGACTCTGTAAGTATCGAGACTCCGGTTGCATCTTCTGTAGGGGGGACTGTGGCCTGCTGCAAATAACACCTCCTCTCTGCCTACCTCCCTCTTGCTCCCCTCCCCGCTCAGCTGGTCCTGATGCCACGCTATTCCTCCCTGGAGATGTTCATCGCCGGGGACGCCGCCTCCATCGCCCGCAAGGAGACCTTTGAGCGCTACCGCTGCGCCCAGCAGGCTCTGCCCGTGGTTAAGGCGCCAACGCCGGAGCCTTGCGTCACTTTGCTCACCAGCATGTCGGCCATCATCCACCAGGGGGCACTGCGTGAGTGTTAAAAACAAGCGACTACCACCAACTCACAGGGACGCAGGTGGCGCTGTGGGTTAAACCACAGAGCCTAGGACTTGCCAGAAGGTGGGCAGTTCGAATCCCCATGACGGGGTGAGCTCCCGTTGCTCGGTCCCTGCTCCTGCCAACCTAGCAGTTTGAAAGCATGTCAAAGTGCAAGTAGATAAATAGGTACTGCTCCGGCGGGAAGGTAAACGGCGTTTCCGTGCGCTGCTCTGGTTCGCCAGAAGTGGCTTAGTCATGCTGGCCACATGACCCGGAAGCTGTACGCCGGCTCCCTCGGCCAATAAAGCGAGATAAGCGCCGCTACCTCAGAGTCGGCCACGACTGGACCTAATGGTCAGGGGTCCCTTTACCCTTTACCTTTTACCACCAACTCACCATGCAAGACATCCTTACTGCACAGGTAGACCGGGAATGGGTTACCTATGGCCCTCCAGACTCAAACTCCCATCAGCCCCAGCCCGTGTGGCCAGTGGCCTGGGGTAATGGGGGCTATAGTCCACAGGTTGCAGTAGAGGCTTTCGCTCGTCCTAGCAAGCAATGGAAATGTTCCCAAGTGCTACAGGGAGTTCAGGGTGAGCTGAGAGAGGTGGTACCCAAAAGGCCCACACTAAGAGGGAGCAATACTGCGCCACATTCTTGCTAGGTTGCATGCATGGGTGGGGCTGCCCTAGCCACATAGATCATGCTTCTCGCCATCTTAGACTGGAGTGGGCAAGCTGGGGGCGTGTCCGCAGCTGCCTTTGGCTGAGCCAGATGACTGGCCCAGCTGCCTTCAACACTGGAATCTTTTGCCTAGCATGGGGCTCGAACTCACGACCTTGAAATCAAGAGTCTTATACTCTACCACCTGAGCCATGTAGGCCTATACTGCCTTGCAGCAGCTCTCCAGGGTTTTGGGCAAGACACATTCGCAGCCCTGCCTGGAGATCCCAGGAGTCGAACCAGCAACCTTCTGCATGCAAAGCAGAGGCTCTGCTGCTGAGCTACGGCCATTGCAACCTCTCTCAGGGTCTTTCACAGGCCCTTTTATGTATATCACAGGAAGAGAGGCTCCTGCTGGCTTATAGCAGAAGGGTGCCTCTTTCCTTTCGTTCTCCTGCCTCCTACTCACTCTCCCTTTGCCCCCAGCCTGTCTGTGCAGCCCCCAGGGATCGCTGAGCTCCGAGTGCCGTCCGGATGGGGGGCAGTGCCAGTGCAAGCCTCACGTCGTGGGCCGCCGCTGTGAACGTTGCTCCCCCGGCACCTACGGCTTTGGGCCCGGTGGCTGCAAAGGTGAGTATAATTCAGGTTCCGACCTTTCCTCCCCAAATTCTTTCGTCTTTCCTTTTGAAAGCATGGGCCGGTCCTCGCTGGGCTCCTGAGTGTCAGTCAGTGCTGATGTAAACAGTCTGCTAGGACGGAACCACTGGGAGCAGAGAGCTGTCCGGTCTCCTCTTGCTCCTCCAAAGTGCAAACCCACATTTGAAACTCCTCCTTGGGCTGCAGAAGAGGAGCTGCTTGCAGAGTTGGGGATGGAGGAGCAATATGGGGGGAGGAAATGATAACATGCCCCCACCTCCCTCTTGCTCCTCCACCCACTGTTAATCCCTCCCAGTAGCAGCTGACAGGGCAGGGGTGCTTACCTGACCTCCTGTCAGACCTGAGTCACCACGACTCACCCAGAAGGGGGCAGGTAAGGCAGTGGTGAGGTCAGCACAGTGCAAACGCACCAATGGAACCAATCCTGCACTTGCACCATGCTGACCTCCCCACCACCTCACCTCTCCCTCCCAGTAAGTTGCAGTGATTCAGGTGGCAGGAGGTCAGGTAAGTGCGCCTGCCCTGCCAACTGCTACTAGGAGGGCAGAGGAATAAGAAGAGACTGAGACAAACCACGAACCCAGGTTTGTCATCATGCTAAGCCAAACCATAGTTTAGCTCACAACAACCCAGCTGCAACAGGACCAGAGGAAAAGCAAAGTGGACTCAATCTCCCCACCTCATGTTTGCACCTGCACAGAATTCGCAGTTTGTCTTAGTGTTACATTCAAACGAGCTCACTCTGCTTTTTACTTTCCTCAAGACAGCTCCTCTATTACAGATATTGTAGCACTTGCACTCAAACTACAGGGTTCGTTTTTTGTTGTTTTTTTTACAAAACTGGAGCAGCTGTGCATTTTTGTAGATGCCCTCTTTATTTTTCTCTCTGTCCTTTGATGTACCTCTTCGTCCTGCCATTAGCTGACGGATATGCAAAAATCTGAAATGATCAGGTTCAGGAAAAGATTGTGCGCGTGCATTAATTTGAATGCAAAGCCAGCACGTTTCCATTCTCTGATTTGCATAATTGGATGTTGAAACTTCTCGGCACAGATTGCGAAGCACCCTAGCAGACACGGGTGAAGGGGGTTTGCCTATGGTGGGGGACGGACTGCAGGACGTGATGAGCAGGGCAGGAGGCGCCCACGGATCGCTACCTTGTGTGTCAGGAGGAGCAGTGGCAGGGAGCATGTGCGTGACTTCTCCCTCTCTCCCCTTGCAGTGTGCCAGTGCAACAGGGAAGGCTCTCTGAGCGGTTTCTGCGACAACTTCAACGGTCAGTGCCCGTGCCGGCCTGGTGCCTTTGGGCCACGCTGTGACCACTGCCAGCCTGGCCACTGGGGCTTCCCCAGCTGCCGCCCATGCCACTGCAACGGGCGCTCGGAGGAATGTGACCCGCGGACGGGCACCTGTTTGCATTGCCGGGGCCACACAGAAGGAGATCGATGCCAAAGGTGAGCATCCTGGGGCGGCCTCCGGTGGAAGTAGGGGGTGTATCCAGGTGTCCAGAGGGAAAGGCCTCCTGGCGAGGCCTAACTTCCAAAGGACCACACCACGATCTACAAACAGCCCTGGGGATGAGCCCCCACACCAATGGCAACGAATATGTTCATCAAACCCTTTTTGTCCCCCCAAATTGCAGTTGCGTGTCCGGATTCTATGGGAACCCATCGCTGGCCTCAGGGGGCCACTGCCGGCCCTGCCCCTGCCCTGAGGCACCTGGCTCTGGACGCCATTTTGCTGCTTCTTGCCGCCAAGATGGCCGCTCTGGGACAGTAGTTTGTAGCTGCCTCCCAGGCTATACAGGCAAGTCCAACTTTCTAGCGCCCTGTAGCCCTAGGATTAGGGAGCTTGAGAGGAGATGAGGAAGGGGTGTAACAGAGACAGAAGCCCACATGGTAACCTCCTTCTCAAGTCTTGCTTCTCTGGGAACTTGAGTGCATTGATAGACCTGTGGCCGCGGTTTATGTGTGTATTGCAGTGGAGATTGGGGACCGGGCTCCTTTTACCTCACACAGCGCCTTTTACCTCATAAACGACGCCTTTTATCTCACACAGCGCCTTTTACCTCACACAGGCCCGCGCTGTGACGAGTGCGCTCCTGGTTACTACGGCAACCCTTGGCAGGCCAGGGGGCAGTGCCAGCCCTGCGCATGCAACAGCAACATTGATGTGGCAGATCCGGGATCTTGTGACCGGCGCACAGGCCGCTGCCTCCGCTGCCTCTACCACACCGAGGGTGACCAGTGCCAACACTGCCAGGGAGGCTATTATGGGGATGCCACACGACGCACCTGCCGCCGTGAGTGTCTCTTGTGGAGAGAGATGTGTTTTCCATCCAGCACATGTTGCTCCCATCGCTACCTGCCTAACCTTGACTCTTGGTGGTCCTTCAGTAAACGAAAGAGGATCAGGCATCAGGCTTCCTGATTATTTTGTCAACAGCCGACCTGTTAATTTTATGGAGGAAGGAGATCACCGCAAACACTCAGGGCTTATGGTCCCGGGACCAGCTGCACCTTAAATCTTAACCGCATATCATTTTGTTATTCCCAAGTTCGGATCTCAACAAAATTGTAAACTGTGAATGAAACCCCCTAAGGCACCCATGTCCCCTTCCTGTAAGTTAGGCCACTTATATTGAGACCCAAGAGGAAAGCTCGTTTTCAAAATGCTGTTAGGAACTTGGTGTTCTAATTCCGTATATGGCATATTTCAGAGGACCAAGAATGTGAGCTTCTTGTTTCTTTTTAAAAAAATAGGAAAGGGGGGATGAAACAAAACACAAAAATCCAGTTTCTAGTCCTCAGGATTGCTAATAAATGAGACTAGTAATGTTGCTGGGGCTGAGGTGCAGTGATGAGAAGGAAGGCTTCTTTGCCTTCCACACAGAACAAGGATGGCTGCTTTATCACACACAAAGGCTTGTGGGGAACAATTTAGGAGTCCGATTATCTGCAATGCCCCTTCGTGCCCCATATTTCCCCCCCCCACTGCACTACCTTGCTGAAGTGTGAAAGCTGCCTAGGTTTCTTATGCCCAAATGAGGCGTGGCTTCTTTTTAAATCTACATGATTGCATATTTAATTTTCGTGCCGATCCATTGCTTTGCCCTCCAAGCGTAGCCTCTTTCTTCGACCTGCCATTTTGAAAGCACTGGTGTTTCTCCTGTGTGTAGTGTTTCTGTCCCTTCCCTCCCTGCAGGCTGCTCCTGTAACTTCCTGGGCACGGTTCGCAGCCAGTGCCCGTCGCAGGACCAATGCCAGTGCGAGCGGTACAGCGGGCAATGCCAGTGCCTGCCCAACGTCCAGGGGCAGAACTGCGACCGCTGCGCTCCCAACTTCTGGAACCTGGCCAGCGGTCAAGGCTGCCACCCCTGCGACTGCCACCCACAGTACTCCCTGAGCTCGGCTTGCAATCAGGTTAGGATGGGAAGCTGTGTGCCGGGCGAGGCTGGGAGCCTCCAGGGCAGGAGCGGGAGGGAAGCATTTTCTTCTAGGGAACCTTCTGAGGGATCAGCAGAAACTAAAGGTGGCTGAAACCATGAAAGTAAATGTGTACCTTTGCAGGCTGATTTCTGCACTCCCATTGCTTCCATCCTCCATCCAGGCAGGGGGTGGGCCAGTTGACTCTTTGGGACCCTTCGAACGCTACAGTTCAAAGATACATTGGGGGGTGTGCAAATCAGGGCCAGTAACAGGAGTGGTTTGGGGAGGTAGAGAGATCTGGTGGGCCTCTTTTTCACACCCCATACCTGGTTCAAAGCTGTGTTAGAAACAAGGGGAGTGGAGAGCACAGGAACACAGGAAGCTGCCTTACCCTGAGCCGGCCCATTGGTCCATCCAGCTCAGTAGCGCCTACACTGACTGGCAGCAGCATTGCAGGGCCTCAGACAGGGGATGCTGCCAGCCCTTCCTGGAAATGCCAGAGGTTGAACCTGGGACTTTACGCATGCTAAGCAGTGGATGGTGAGCGGCGGCGGCAGTGGCGTTGGGAGGCTCCCGGCTGCAACATCACGGAGTCTTATCCCTCTTCATCGCCAATATTGTTTGTGGAATCAGATGACCCCAACTTGACTTCAGTATTGGAGCATTTAGATGATATTAAAAAGAGCAATACTCTGCTTCTCCAACAATTGAAACGATTGATATGCGACCTCTGCAGACTATATACCGTATTTTTCTCTCTATAAGACGCACCAGACCACAAGACGCACCTAGTTTTTGGAGGAGGAAAACAAGAAAAAAAATATTCTGAATCTCAGAAGCCAGAACAGCAAGAGGGATCGCTGCGCAGCAAAAGCAGCAATCCCTCTTGCTGTTCTGGCTTCTGGGATAGCTGCGCAGCCTGCATTCGCTCCATAAGACTCACACACATTTCCCCTTACTTTTTAGGAGGGAAAAAGTGAGTCTTATAGAGCAAAAAATACGGTAATCTTCCCCAGCATCCCGATGTTGAAATGTTAGATCAACCATTGCTGACCGGCCAGAATGGAACAATGGAAGAAGTTACATCAGAAGAAGAGGAGGAGGAGGAAGATACGGGTGAAGATATTGATCTGGATCATTATGATATGAAGGAGGAAGAACCTGTCGATGGAAAGAAGACAGAGGATGATGGCATTGAAAAAGAGAATCTGGCAATCCTAGAAAACATGGTGCAGTCTCTGGGTCTGTCCAGGCTTCAGATCGACTTATGAAAGAACTCAGGGATATATATAGGTCGCAGAGTTACAAGTCAGGGATTTATTCAGTGGAACTTGTAAATGACAGCCTATATGACTGGCATGTAAAACATCCTGACAGCCTGTTGCATAGTGATCTTCAAGTCTTAGAAGAAAAAGAAGGTGTAGAATATATTTGGCTCAACTTCTCTTTTAAGGATAACTCCCTTTTATCCTCCATTTGTGAGAGTAGTCTCTCCTGTGCACACTGGCGGGTATGTTCTCGGTGGAGGTGCATTATGCGTGGAGCTGCTTACTAAACAGGGTAACAGTGCCTATTCTACAGAATCTGTCATTACGCAGATCAATGCCACATTAGTCAAAGGAAAAGCCAGAGTACAGTTTGGAGCAAAAAAGAACCAATATAACCTAGCAAGAGAACAGCAATCCTATAAATCTCTAGTACAGCTACATGAGAAAAATGGCTGATTCACACCTCCTAAAGAAGATGGTTAACATTGTGGACATTTCATACACTTGGACCAATGTCAGTAAAAGATTTTTCCTTCCAACACAGATTCGACTATGGATGCCCCTATAACAGCCATACTGAAGATTCTAGCTCATAAATAACTAGTGGGCAATCTGTTGACTGACACATCCAGTATAACCTACAGCTGTACGATTCTGCTCTTCTGTCGAGTATCTTCAACTGAACAGTTTTAAAACTTGATTGTCCCCATGAATTAAGCATACCAATCCCCACTCCATTTTAGAGTGTTAATCCTTCAAACTGGGCTCTTGGGGTTTACTAAAATACCAGTCATTAAGATCTCCCCCCCTTTTATATGCACTTATTTGTCCTTCCTTAGACCCAGCTAGGGCTAGGGGCTGAGAGGTCGTGTGAAGCAGTGGTTAGGGTGCCCGGTGAGGATCCAGATCTTTGCTTTTGTACCCTGGCAACACCTTCTGTGTCTCACTTTTCCATGGGGCAGGGTACAAAGGGCTCGCTTTGGGGAGTTCTTGAAGTTGTCATGCAAACTGCGCCTGCCTTGTAGTTTACAGGGCAATGCCAATGTCGGCCAGGTTTCGGGGGCCGCACCTGCTCGGAATGCCAGGAGAACCATTGGGGGGAGCCCAGCCAGCAGTGCAGAGGTGAGTGCTGTGTATTCTGAAACCCTGCCGTTGCTCTGGGCCGTGCAGGGATCCTGAAAATGTCAGCTTCGTTTTTATTTCACTTAAGCAAGTTTCTGGTGTTGATGCCCGTGAAGGTGATGGCTTGGATTCCGAGAAATATGAATTAAATGTTTGCTCAAAGGGGCTTACCCCTATTTCACATTTCAGCCCCATTCACCTCTCTCCCCCAAAAGGACACTTCCTAAGGGTCAAGAGATGCTCTAGAATTGGGTTCCTTCTGCTTGCACAGGAGGAACTCTTGAGTCCAAGCCGTTGTTTAAGAAAGGGGAATCCCCCTACTTCCTTGTAAATTACAATGCACTGGAGACTTCCTGTGCCTTTTGTGATATTTATTTGATCATGTGCAAGGAGAGCCTACTGGAAGCAAACTGTCTCCTGAAGCAGGCAGCACAACCAATTAATCCAGCATTAGATTCTCAAAGGCTGACATTTGCATCCCAGTTTCGGCCAACTCGCCAGCTAAACATACAGCACTTCATCTGACTCTCACTTCCTGCCCAAATTGGCATTTTTCTGTCTAGTCCACTCGCTGAAGGACACGACTCACTAAAAGCCTGGGTGTCCAATCTCTTACCAATATGCCTGAAAGTGTGAGGGTAATCAAGAAGGGGGAAATCTTAGAAGCCAGTCAATATTTCAAGCGGGATGTGGGTGGCGCTGTGGGTTAAACCACAGAGCCTAGGACTTGCCGATCAGAAGGTCGATGGTTTGAATCCCCGCGGCGGGCTGAGCTCTGCTTGCTCTTTCCCTGCTCCTGCCAACCTAGCAGTTTGAAACCATGTCAAAGTGCAAGTAGATAAATAGGTACCGCTCTGGCGGGAAGGCAAACTGTGTTTCCGTGTGCTGCTCTGGTTTGCCAGAAGTGGCTTAGTCATGCTGGCCACATGACCCGGAAGCTGTACACTAGCTCCCTTGGCCAGTAAAGCGAGATGAGCGCCGCAACCCCAGAGTCGGCCACAACTGGACCTAACGGTCAGGGGTCCCCTTTAGCTTTACCTAATATTTCAAGCAACGACGTTTGAGATCAACTCAGCTTCTTGATTCTGTTATGAAGCCATTTGGAGTGGGTGATTTAATACTAGATCGCACTCTACTAGCACACATGGTGAAATAATAGGAATGGCATTTAAATAGGCAGAGCTAGGAGAATGTGTTTTTTACAAAGAGTGATTTGGAGACCCTGGGTTCAGACTATTAAGGGATTTGTTTCTTCGGCCATGCTTTCTGGAAAGGTGTGAGGGTGTATCCCTAGTTGGCAAAGAAAGGGGTTGTTGGTTGGAGACACAGAGCACATTGTTGCAGGAGAACTCTGCTACAGGAAGGAGGGACACCCAGTTGCCATGCTAGTTGCTGACATGACGGCACAAATATTGCTGTAAAGTCATGTCAGTTTTCTCCAACTCAACATTCATAGCAGGATGGCAGGTGGACAAAATGCACAGTTCCACTCCCAGCATCTGCATGAACTGGGCTATGAACTGGGTACCTTTATCAGAGGCAATCCCCGGCGGTAGCCCATGCAGCTTGGAAAATGTGGTCTACATTACCAAGTGTTAATATCGAGATGTGGAAAATATGTAAACAACAAGGATAAGCAGGACTAAGATGTGGAAATATGCTCCAGAGATCCAGACCATGGGGAGCCCCAAGAAATTAATAAATACAATTTGGACTATAATTTGATCTTTTATATATATTTTTATTTTTATTTTAATTGAAGTATTATGATTAGATTATTATTATTATTATTATTATTATTATTATTATTATTATTATTATTATTATTTATACCCTGCCCTCCCCAGCCAAGACCGGACTCAGGGCAGCTAACACCCGATACAAAAAGAAATTGACCAAAACACCACTTAAAAACAAGATTAAAATACAACATTAAAATATTAAAATACAGCCTCATTACAATGGAAACTCAAATCAAAAACTTTTTTGGGGATGAAAACGTCAAGTCTTCACCAAGGCTAATTTTCCAGACTGGTCCTACATGGGCCAGAAAAATTGGAAAATTTTAAAAATAAAATGATTTTTTTAAAAAAAGTGGTCTACAAAGAGCTGGGTGGTTTCCTTGGAGGTGGGGGAGCCCTTTACGCAGGATGAAGCACTTGGAAGAGGCCACGTGCAAAGGAATAACTCTCTCTCTCTCCTTTACGGCATTTTTGGAGAGCCAGTGTGGTGTAGTGCCCTTATACCCAGTCAGACCCTGGGTATCAATCTCTGCCATCTCACTGCTCACAGAGAGCCAGTGTGGTGTAGTGGTTAAGAGTAGTGGACTCGTAATCTGGGGAACTGGGTTTGCATCCCCGCTCCTCCACATGCAGCTGCTGGGTGACCTTGGGCCAGTCACACTTCTCTGAAGTCTCTCAGCCCCACTCACCTCACAGAGTGTTTGTTGTGGGGGAGGAAGGGAAAGGAGAATGTTAGCCGCTTGGAGACTCCTTCGGGTAGCGATAAAGCGGGATATCAAATCCAAACTCTTCTTCCCTTCTTATGTTGCGCGCAGCCTGCGACTGTGACCCGCGTGGGATCGAGAAGCCGCAATGCCACCGCATCACTGGGCACTGCTCCTGCCTCCCAGGGGTCTCGGGCGTGCGCTGCGACCAGTGCTCCCGAGGTTTTGCCGGCGAGTTCCCCGCCTGCCAGCCGTGCCACCAGTGCTTTGGGGACTGGGACCGCATTGTGCAGGATTTGGCCGCTCGCACCCGCAGCCTGGCGCAACGCGCCCGGCAGCTTCAGCAGACGGGCCTCACCGGGGCGTTTGAGGGCACCTTCCGCCGACTCCAGGACAAGCTGAGTGCGGTCCAGGCCATCGTCAATGCCCGCAACGCCACTGCCAGTGCAATCGCCCACCTCTTGCAGAATATGGATTCGCTGCGGTGAGTGATGGGTGGCCTTGGTACCTGTATATGTGCAGAGGAAATGGACCTGGCTGGAGCCTAGGAGCAGTGGGTAGGCAGGGTAGGAACTGAGCTGCTGCGTTCAATTTTTGTCTTTTGTTTGGCTTCTCCCAAAGAATCCCAGGTACCATAGTTTGTGTTGGGAGCTGGGATTCTCCTTCTCCCTCTCTCTCTTTTCACATTTTTTTACAGTGGTACCTCGGGTTACAGACGCTTCAGGTTACATACGCTTCAGGTCACAGACTCTGCTAACCCAGAAATAGTACCTCGGGTTAAGAACTTTACCTCAGAATAAGAACAGAAATTGGGCTGCAGCGGCAGCAGGAGGCCCCATTAGCTAAAGTGGTACCTCAGGTTAAGAACAGTTTCAGGTTAAGAACGGACTTCCAGAACGAATTAAGTACTTAACCCGAGGTACCACTGTATTTGCAAGTTTCTCAGATTAAAACTTTACCTTCACATATTGAACGTACAACATAGACACAAGATTCCCAAAGAGTCTCTAGGACTTCCCTCCTCCCCTTTGTGGGTCCTATTGTTAATCGTTTCCTCTTGCATCTTTTATGATAACCTACATCTTTTACATCTCCATTGTGTCCAAAACTCACCATTAAACTACAAGTGCTATTCCAATCCCACTAACAATTTTAACTGTTTATACAATGGTTTTTAAGATAAGTTATAAATTTCCCCCATTCCTTATTAAAATTTTGGTCTTCCTGATTTCTGATTCTTCTGGGTCTTTAGCCATCAATTTATCATCCATAATCCATTCTTCTCTGGTATAGGCTTTATCTTCTTTCTATCTTGGGGCCAATAACATCCGTGCAGCTATGGCTGCATATATAAATAGTTTCTCTGCTCCCTTGGGATTTCGGCAACTAGAATTCCTAAAAGAAAGGCCTCAGGTTGTTGTTTTTTTTAAGAAAAGGTTATTAATTTCATTTCTCTGAAGAGGAGCAGTGGGTGGTTTAGTCCTGGGTGGCAGTGCACCTCCCTCCCCACTGAGAGCCAGTGTAGTGTAGTGGTTAAGAGCAGTGGACTTGTAATCTGGCGAACCGGGTTCGCTTCCCCGCTCCTCCACATGCAGCTGCTGGGTGACCTTGGGCTAGTCACACTTCTCTGAAGTCTCTCAGCCCCACTCACCTCACAGAGTGTTTGTTGTGGGGGAGGAAGGGAAAGGAGAATGTTAGCCTCTTTGAGACTCCTTAGGGTGGTGATAAAGCGGGATATCAAATCCAAACTCTTCTTCTTCTCCCTCCCGCTTCTCACTCACGTCCTCTCACCAGGCAGGAGATTGCCGATGTCACGGAAACGCTGACCAGCCTGGAAGGGTTGCTGACGGCCACCCAGGACAGGAACTTCAATGCCAACCATGCTCTTGGCACGCTGGAACGCGGCGCTCGGGCCCTGAACCTCAGCCTGGCAGATCTTGCGCGCCAGCTGGAGGCGCTCAAGAATGCCAATGTGCTGGGTAAGTGCGTGTCCAAAGTGACGCAAGAAACATACTCTCCTCCCGCCCCATTTTTACCCAGCCCTTTCGTCAAACGTAGAATTGCAGTTCTTCTCCCCCACAACCTTTTGACTTGCAGCCTCTGCTCAAGAGCCAGAGTGGAGGCCAGGCTTGTATAGGGAAGTTTTTAATGTTTCATGCTGTTTTTATATATTTCACTGGGAGCTGCCCAGAGCGGCATGGACGACATATTCCGTATTTTTCGCTCCATAAGGCGCACCGAACCATAAGGCATCTAGTATTTAGAGGGGGAAATCAAGGGGAAAAAAATCTTATTACACCCCCCCCAGCCCCAGCCTGTCCGCTTCTTCCAGAGCTTCTGGGGCTGCCGGGGGAAGCCCGGCCCCCCCCCCAGCCCCAAAGAGCAAAGAAGCCAAGACAGCGAGCAGGATCCAGATTCTCCAGCCAGGGGATGTTGCGTGCGGCTAAAGAAGCGGGCAGCCAGAGGGGCTGCGCTCGGCTATGGCAATACCCCCACCTCCCGCAAAAGCCCACAGGAGCTGGGCACCCTTTAAGGAGCGCACGGCTCCTGCGGGCTTTTCTACGAGGAGGGAGAAGGGACTGACTGGCCACGTCAGTCCCTTCTCCCTCCTGGGGAAAAGCCCGCGAGGGCCGCACAGAGCTTGTGTGCGGCTCTTGGAGGCTTTTCCTGCCTGCCTCCCCCCTGCATTCACTCCATAAGATGCACACACATTTCCCCTTACTTTTTAGGAGGGGAAAAGTGCATCTTATGGAGCGAAAAATACGGTATATTATTATTATGGGGGTTTCCCATAGGTCTAGCACAGGCTTCCTCAGCCTCGGCCCCCTAGATGTTTTGAGACTACAATTCCCATCATCCCTGACCACTGGTCCTGCTAGCTAGGGATCATGGGAGTTGTAGGCCAAAAAAACATCTGGAGGGCTGAGGTTGAGGAAGCCTGGTCTAGCAGAAGAGATGCCCAGCAAGGGCCTCATAGTCCTGTTCTTTAATCCCGCCCCCACTTCCCCCGGCAGGAGCCTATGACAGCGTCCGCCAGTCCTTTGTCCAATCGCGGGAAGCGGAGCACCGGGCCAACGCTTCCGCGGTGGGTTTCTCCAGCCCCGTCGGCCAATCGGCCGCATCCCGGCGACGCACGGAGAACCTGATGGCAGCCCGGAGAGAAGCTTTCAATCGGCAGAATGCAGCCAACCGGCGAGCTCTGACTGACCTGTCCACACGCGTTCGAGGGCTGAGCCTGCATCGGATCAATGAGAAGGTGGGTGGGGAAGCTGGGAAGGAAATTATCGCAAAGTAAAGCATGTAAGGGACGCGGGTGGCACTGTGGGTTAAACCATGGAGCCTAGGACTTGCCGATCAGAAGGTCGGCGGTTTGAATCCCCGTGACGGGGTGAGCTCCCGTTGCTCGGTCCTTGCTCCTGCCAACCTAGCAGTTCGAAAGCACGTCATGTGCAAGTAGATAAATAGCTACCACTCCGGTGGGAAGGTAAACGGTGTTTCCGTGCACTACTCTGGTTCTCCAGGAGCGGCTTAGTCATGCTGGCCACATGACCCAGAAGCTGTACGCCGGCTCCCTCGGCCAATAAAGCGAGATGAGCGCCGCAACCCCAGATTCGGTCACGACTGGACCTAATGGTCAGGGGTCCCTTTACCTTTTAAAGCATGTAAGAGCCAGAGATGGGGAACCAGAGGCCTTCCAAATACTGCCAGACTTCCAGCTCTCGTCGGCTCCATCCAGGGGGACTAGTGACACAGTGGTCACAGTCTCCCTGCATCCCTGAGGTAGCCAGTCAGGTCTTGGTTGAGGGGAAAGGCGAGCTCCAGAACTTTTCAGACTGCGCTGCTAAGTTTCTGCTTAATGTTCTGTTGGTATTTTACTGCGAAATGTTACTCTGTGGTACTTCGACACGCACGTCTTCTGTGTGAACCACACGGAGCAAAGGCGAGGAACCTTTTCCCACCTCTTAAGGGCCACATTCTGTTCTGAACAAGCACCTGAAGGCCACATGCCAGTGGTTGGGCAGAGCCAGAGGCAAAAGTGGCCGGAGCGAGGAAGGAAACGTTTTGACAGCAGGCGAGTGTCAGGGACTGGTTGAATGCAGAGGAACGGTGAGGGCGACTGGGGAACCCCCAAGGGAAGACGACTCAGAGCCCAGGGACTGGTGGTGAGATGACAAGGAGTGGTCAGAGGGAGAAGACTGGGAGGAGGTTGTCAGAAGCTGAAGAGGGAAGAGGGTTCAACGAGTGGAGGGAATCTGTTGGAGAAAGAAGTCCAGAATCAGAGGTAGAAGTGGGAGCAGGACTGTGGAATGAGGAAGGCCAAGAGGAGTCCGGCTGGTGAAGAGGCCTTCCTGCTGTGACAAGCTCTCCTCCCTCCCTGGTCTCCCAGTACCAGGAGAGGCATGAAGAGAGCGGAGGAGAAATCAGCGTCACGTAGTCACACAAGCGCAGCCTCAGATTGCTTAGGGGAAACCCTGGAGGACTTAGGCAGCTGCGGGGAGGCAGGGCCTTCATCTCCGCAACTGCTCCATAGGGGCAAGACCTACTGAAGAATAGCTGCTGCGCCCATTGGGCCAGACTCTCCCGTGCCAATCCTGGTTGTTTTTTTTAAAAAAAAACTTATTTCATGTGATTTACTGCTGGCGAGTTTCTTCATGCTTCCTCCAATGCTCTTGTGCTGGTCCCGAGGGTTAACCGTGCGGCGAGGTCCGAGTCCAGTCCGAGGTTGAGGGTGTGGTATGGAGGCTGTCCGTCAAAGCTTAAGCAGGGTCCAAGGCAGGGAGTCGGGTGAGGTCAGGAACTCTGGCAGAAGAGCAGGACAGGGTGCAGGCAGGAACAGGCTACCAACAATGTTGCTCCTGCAACCTGGGACTGGGGCTGGCTGGCTTTTATCTGCCCCGAGGCATAGGGCGGCCCCGGTCCACAGGTGACTCGCCTCTCCTGGCCTGGAGGCGAGCGCTCCTCCTGCGGGAACTTAGTTCCCTCCGCCTCTCTGCCCTGAGCCTCTGCAGCTCAGGAGAGGCTGGAGGGTTACTGGACCCAGAGGCAACCTCAGCTTCCCCGGACGGGGCTGAGAGTGGAGCACCTGCAGGCAATGGGTCCTCCATCACCTCAGGGGCCAGAGCAGACTCAGCTGGTGCCTGCACCTGAGGATCCAGCACAGGTGAGGACCCTTCAGGCTCAAGCCCCGGCTCAGCTGGTTCTGGAGGCGGGGACTCCTGTGCAGGCTGGGATTCCTCAGGTTCAGCCTCCGAGTCCGAATCCCAGGCCATCACAGCTCTCTCCTCTAGGTGTGCGGTGCTCCAGGGGACGCCCCCTGCTCCAGCAGCCCCTGTGGAGGGGCTGGTTGCCGTGACGAAGACGGCAGGCGCCACTGCGGGGGCCTCAACTGCAACGGGGCCGTGGCCACGGCCGACAACGCGCTGGATCGAGCCCGCCACGCTGAAGGGGAGCTGCGCCGCGCTGTGGCTGACGTGGATGTCCTGCTGCGTCAGGTAAGCAACCAGAGGAGAGCTGCAGAGCTCAGTGTTATAGGCAAGGTGAGAGCTTTTCCATTTGCACATATTTCATTTCATCGGAAAGACCAGCAGCACGAAGGCCTGGGCATGGTTCTCAAGGCAGTAAACAGAGTTAGCTCCGGCTCTGTTCCTGGAATGCAATGCTCCCTGCATCCCTAGGCCTCTGCTTCCCCCTGCTGGCTGACCAGGGGACCTGCTGTGTCCTTTGCAGGTGGCCGAGGCAAAGGCAAGGGCAGGTGAGGCGAAGCAGAGGGCACAGGCTGCGCTGGACAACGCCAATGCCACCAAAGCCCGGCTGGAGCGCTCCAACAAGGAACTGCGGGACCTCATCCAGCAAATAAAGGGGTTCCTGAATCGTAAGTGCTAGATATTGGGCTGCCCCCCACGCCAGTCCCTTATTTTATTTTGTTTGATGCCTGGTACATCACGCGCCATAAAATGCCACTTTTAAACGGCTCCCCCCCCCCAAAAAAAAAGATTTATAGGAGCTATAGTTTGTTAAGGCTGCTGACAGCTGCAAGGAGACCCCATTATTCACCCTCACAGATCAACAATTCCTAAAGTAGTTGGACAGTCAACCCCTCCTCACAAGGAGCTCTCGCAAAGGATAAACATGCAAGTGCCAAAAAAAAATTCAGAACGCAATCTTAATGTTGAAAAAAATTAAATGAAAGCCAGTTACGTTCATGTTCCTGCCAAAAAGGGAAAGGCAAAATTCTATACAAAAAAGTTAAGAATGCCTCTGCACCTCCTTATACAAGTCCCAGGCAGGGCCGTGGGGCAAGGCAGGTGGACATATTTATCCCTTGATGGTTCCAGCAGTGTGTGTGTGTGTGTGTGTGTGCGCGTGCGCGTGCGTGCGTGCGTGCGTGTCGGGGGTTATTCAGACAGGGATGAAAGAAAGCAGGGCAGAGGGGACATTTGCAGTGGGTCTTGCGAGAAGCAGGGGCCTGTCGTTCTACCAGTCTGTAGCGCTGACTGACCCATCCCTCACACAGTTGACGGAGCCGACCCTGACAGCATTGCTCTGGTGGCCTCCCGCGTGCTGGAACTCTCCATCCCAGCGTCCCCCGCACAGATCCACCACCTCGCTGAGGAGATCAAGGAGCGTGTCAGCAGCCTGGCCAACGTGGACGCCATCTTGGACCAAACGGCGGGAGACGTGCGTGTGGCGGGGCAGCTGCTGCAAGACGCACGCCGCGCCAAGTGAGTGTGCGAGGGCCGGAGAGGGCGTGTGATGGAGGCTGCTGCTGTCGGACCCAGAGGAGAGGCCATAGGGACAGAACTGTGCTCCCCTTGGTCCTCCTCCCTTCATGAGCAGCAACTAGTTATTCAGCAAAGGGAAAGGAAGATGGGGGAGTGTAGGAGTTTGCTGGGCGGGACCAGCACACTGTCAGGAGTCTCCACAGCTGAACTGATGGTGGACTTATTATTAGGTTTGAACATGGGTTCAAATCCCCCCTCCTCCATGAAGCTCACTGTTGGGTCTTAGGCTGAGAGAAAATAACCTCCTTTGTTAGGTGTATTGCCAAGTTAAATGAGGAGAATTGTGAAGTACTGTGTGCGTATCAGATACTGCTAGAAACATGATTGTATGGTGATGAGAGGCCCTTCTACAGTACTGCCCTTTTGTGTGGCTGTGTTACAGGAGCTGAACAGAGTACAAGGGTGGGGCGGTCACTGTTTGGGCTAGTTTGCCATCTAGGCTCAAATACAGGAATGGTTTAGATGCAAGGAGGGCCAAACTCTCACTGATGTGGGGAAAACATGGAGGCAGCTGTACAATTAGCCTTTCAAAAGCGGTGTAGTACAGTGGTACCTCGGGTTAAATACGCTTCAGGTTACAGACGCTTCAGGTTACAGACCCTGCTAACCCAGAAATAGTACCTCGGGTTAAGAACTCGGCTTCAAGATGAGAACATAAATCGTTCAGCAGCGGCACAACAGCAGCAGCGGGAGGCCCCATTAGCTAAAGCAGTGCTTCAGGTTAAGAACAGTTTCAGGTTAAGAATGGACCTCCAGAACGAATTAAGTTCTTAACCCGAGGTAAGGTAAGGGTAAAGGTACCCCTGCCCGTACGGGCCAGTCTTGACAGACTCTAGGGTTGTGCGCTCATCTCACTCTATAGGCCGGGAGCCAGCGCTGTCCGCAGACACTTCCGGGTCACGTGGCCAGCGTGACAAAGCTGCTCTGGCGAGCCAGTGCAGCACACACGGAACGCCGTTTACCTTCCCGCTGGTAAGCGGTCCCTATTAATCTACTTGCACCCGGGGGTGCTTTCGAACTGCTAGGTTGGCAGGCGCTGGGACCGAGCAACGGGAGCGCACCCCGCCGCGGGGATTCGAACCGCCAACCTGACGATCGGCAAGTCCTAGGCGCTGAGGTTTTACCCACAGCGCCACCTGCATCCCTTTAACCTGAGGTACCACTGTACAAAACAAATTAACTATGCAGAGCTAAAAACCGAACAGCAGGTCAAAATGGCAAAAGTGACCAGAAAGCTCAGGAACCAAGAAGACCAAAACTTTAATAAAGAACAGGGGAAATTTACAATTTACTTGAGAGACCACTGTAAGCAGATGAAACCATTAGCAGGATTGTAATAACACTTGTAATGTAGAAATTACTATGGACAAAAAGGAGAGACGTAAAACTTGGATGATGGAATAATATGCATTTGAAAAGGTTGATAATAGGACCTGTGGAGGGGAAGGTGGGAAGTCTAGAGATACAGAGAAATCTCTAAATATGGATATGTATTTGGCAATGTTATAACTCTACACTTGTAAAATCAACTAAAAAATTATTTCAAAAATAAAAACCGAACAGTGGGGAACACAAATGGTCAGCACAAAAACGTTCAGGGAGAAGCTAAATCAACCAGATTCGTTTTCAGGGCTCTCTTTCATCCAGAGAGAGGGCTTGGCACAGATCTTGGAATGGGGAGGGAGGTAAACTACACCTGTACACAGAGATCCCACCTAGCGAATGGCTGCCCCTAGATCTATTACTCCCATGGGGATTTGTCATCCTGGCCATCGCAGCAGTGGGGATGCTAGTGCACATAGCTCTGGGCTCACACTTGCCACACGTTCTTCCCGTCTCCAGCGCTCGAGCAGAGAGTGTAAAGACTGCAGCCGAAGCAGTGAAGAAGGCTCTGGACGACGCCAAACGGGCTCAAAGCGCCGCCGAGAAAGCCATCCGCAACGCAGCCAGCGACATCTACAACACCGAGACTGTCGTGAATAGGGTAAGCCCCGTCGCTGTGCGGAGCCCTCCCCTGAACGTGTACAATAATTGAACATTGAGAAGGACTTGGAACGTAATTAGGTAAAGGTAAAGGACCCCTGACAGTTAAGTCCAGTCGTGGACAACTCTGGGGTTGTGGCGCTCATCTCGCTTTACAGGCCAAGGGAGCTGGCGTTTGTCCACAGACAGTTTTTCCGGGTCATGTGGCCAGCATGACTAAAAACCAGCAAAACCAGAGCAGCTCACAGAAACGCCATTTACCTTCCCGCCGGAGCGGTACCTATTTATCTACTTGCACTTTGACGTGCTTTCGAACTGCTAGGTGGGCAGGAGCAGGGACTGAGCAACGGGAGCTCACCCCGTCGCGGGGATTCAAACTGCCAACCTTCTGATCGGCAAGTCCTAGGCTCTGTGGTTTGGACCACAGCGCCACCCATGTCCCTTGGAACATAATTAGCTGCCCTTATACCCAGTCAGACCCTAGACAGTTTGGGATCAAGCTCTGCCATCTCACTGCTCACCCCTCATTCTGGATCGTTTATATGAGCCAAGTTGAAAAGCACAGGTCCCAATAGTGACCTACTTCTCTCCATTCGGAGAACTGCCCTTTCATTCTTACTCTTTACTTCCTGCAACTTAACCAATTCCTGATCCACAAGAGGACTTCTCCTCTTCTTCCTTGACTGCCACGCTTACTGGGGAGTCTTTGGTGAGGTACTTTGCTGAAAGCTTTTTGAAAAACCAAGTCCAAAGAAGCAAGGTGAGTAGCACCCTGGATAGCTCCAAGAAGCAACAAGGCTGAGTGCTTGTCTGCACTTCCACTTGTCTAGAAAGCACGGGTCTGGGTGCTTTTTCCACTTGACCCACTTTTTCTAGGCATGGAACCAAGCAGCTTTGCCTTTGCCCCACTGCTCCCCCCCCCCCGAAAACCTGCTCTTTAGTGCTAAATCTGAACAAACAGCAATCCGCAAAAAACCCCAACCCAGTTGTTTGTTCCAATCCAGTGCTATCAATTGAGTTTCCCTGGGGGGAAGCAGTGGCGCAAATGGAGATGTGGGCAAACTCTCAGCCTTAATTAGGACTACAGCATCCTTGGAGCAGTTAGCCCCACCCCCGAGGAGTGGGGCCTTTACTTTTAAAGGGGAGGTGTCAATTTAATGAGTTGTGGATGCCATTGATACAGGGGAGGCTACGGTTCTGTTATGGCCTCTGAGCTGGAGCCCTCCGTGCCTCAAAATGGTAATGCCATTGAGGCGTTGGCACTGAGGGCACCTCTGGCAGTAGAAGAGAAGAAGAGTTTGGATTTGATATCCCGCTTTATCACTACCCTAAGGAGTCTCAAAGCGGCTAACAATCTCCTTTCCCTTCCTCTCCCACAACACTCACTCTGTGAGGTGAGTGAGGCTGAGAGACTTCAGAGAAGTGTGACTGGCCCAAGGTCACCCAGCAGCTGCATGTAGAGGAGCGGGGAATCGAACCCAGTTCACCAGATTACGAGTCCACCGCTCTTAGCCACTACACCACACTGGCTTGAAGTTCCAAAGATGGAGGGGCACCAGAGGCTGGTTCAGGGGGCATCAGAGGCTAGTCCATGATGCCCTCTAAATCCCCTGAGTCATAACATCTCCTCAGTGAGGTCAGCGCTCTTGTGTAGGCTGGGGGAGACCCTCCCACAACGGTGAGACGCAGCAGACCTTCTCCAGCTTCCCATCTTGCCTCCCTTCTCCCTTCAGATCCAGCAGCAGACCGCAAGCGCCGAAGGTCAGCTGGCTGAAGCCATGGAGCGCGTGGGTCACCTCGACAAGCAGGTGGATGCGCTCAAGATGAAACGGGCCAACAACAGCCTGGCCGCCACGCGAGCTGAGGAGACAGCCAGCGCTGCCAGGGACCGAGCTGGCGAAGCCGAACAGGTACGTGAGGCTGGGCTTGAGAAGGTCCAGGAGTCTGGCAAAGATGGATAAGTAGCTGTCTCTTGGGTTAGGACTGAGAGGGCAGGTGAAGGAAGCATCCCTGCTGCATTGTGTACACACAGGGTGCGAATGGGTGGCTGCCCACGCAGCACTGTAAGTTTGAGTTTCATTTCATTTTGGAAGGTTTTCTACCATGTTTCCTCATAGAAGCGCCTGGCAGCTTGCAGTGAATAATGCAAAACAAGTATTTCTTGTGCAAATTGGTACTTGGAAATGCTTAATATTCTGTAGCTGCTACTTCATGTATCCTCTTTGCCTTGTAATTTTGGTGACGCTGCTGCCCACTCCATTTGCTTTTTCATTCGTTTGGCTCCAGGAATTCAGTCTTGCCAGTTTCATCCTAATGTCTTAAAAAGGTAAAGGGACTCCTGACCATTAGGTCCAGTCGTGACCGACTCTGTTTACTGGCCGAGGGAGCCAGCGTACAGCTTCTAGGTCATGTGACCAGCATGACTAAGCTGCTTCTGGCGAACCAGAGCAGCTCACGGAAACGCTGTTTACGTTCCCGCCGGAGGGGTACCTATTTATCTGTTTGTACTTTGACGTGCTTTAGCACTGCTAGGTTGGCAGGAGCAGGGACTGGGCAATGGGAGCTCACCCCGTCGCGGGGATTCGAACCTCCGACCTTCTGATGTGTTATAGGTCTTATAATAATAATAATGTCTTATTAGAAACTACCAAGTGCACCAACAAACTCCCGTTGCTATAATACTGAGCTGTAGCACACAACTGAAATGTGTTTCCTCCAACGAGCCCAGCCTCACCCCCAGAATATCTTCTCCCCGCTTCACCTAACAGGGTTGTTAGGAGGAAAGCTAAGGCTGAGAGATGGTGACTGGCTGTCAGTTTCTCTGGGTGTTTGTGGTTCCTGCTAAATTACTCAGAGGGTGAAATTGACTGACTGTTCGGAGGCAATCAGACAAATGAAGATGGCGTGAGAGATGCTCCTTCACCCAAATGCTCTGCCAACCACCGTGGCCAAGAGGCAGCTGTGCCTTAAGGGGGACGTCCGCCCGCTTTTCGAGACTGCAGGCATGTTACGCAAAACAGTTGGAAAATAATCCTACCTGTCAGAAAAGCATCAGAGGAGATTTTGCTGGTGTCTCTCCCGTCACTTCTATCTTTTGGTATATTGGCAGTTTGTTTATTTTGATTGTTAAGATATCAATTAATTATTTTTTTTTAAAGAAGAAAAATAAACAGTGGGATTCAACTCACCTGTCCCATCAGCTGAAGGCTTGTGCAACGAGGTTCTAGCTCCTCACCCCACCCCTCTAATTGGCTTGGGGGCCTGGGTGCTCAGAGAACCCATGGAACAGCATGTGGGGCAGTGGGCGGCGGATCTTTCCGCCTGACAAGCTGAAATGCTTGCCCTGATGGAACGGTCACCTTAGTGCAACATTGATTGCCTCCCAAGGCTGTGTGGCTGTGTGGCTAGGTACCCGCTTAAGCCTCTGGCAGATAGAGCCAGGCTGATAGCCTCCTGTCTTCCTTCAGCCACCGGACCCTGTCACTTTCACGTCTCTATGTGTTCCTTTGGAATCAGGAAGTTGGGAGGCACCTAAAAGGCCAACCCCAAAATCCAAGAACTAGGACTGACCACCCCTTAGTTCCTGTTTTGGATCCATCCATGCAGCCTAGCCCCATAATGTGCCACAAGCAGAGGCGTGGGACCTTGAGAGAAAATAGCTGATGATGATTCCAGGAATTACAAGAATTGGGAGGGGAGAGCATGGCACCCTGTTTCTTACAGTGGTCAACCAGATGGCACAAACAGGAGGCACAACCCTCGGGAGGTAGCGAAAAACAACAACTCCACCATCACTGGCCACTCTCATCTATGATGGCATTCCTTCCTGGCCTCATTTACAAGATTTTAGAATTCTTAGCTCCTCAAGGCAGCGACTTGTCCCCTTGCACCCTGAAAAGTCCAATACACATTGATGTTGCTGTTGAATGAATGAATGAATGAATGAATGAATGAAACTTGGGCTCAGCAGGATGATTGGCAGGAACAAAACTCATTGTGCTGGTCCTGGGGGCTAACCAGGAGGCGAGGTCCAAGTCCAGTCCGAGGTCAATGGTGCAGTATGGAGGCTGTCCATCAAAGCTGTAGCTGGGTCCAAGGCAGAGAGTCGGGTGAGGTCAGGAACTCTGGCAGAGGAGCAAGACAGGGTGCAGGCAGGAACAGGTTACCAACAATGTTGCTCCCGCAACCTGGGACTGGGGCTGGCTGGCTTTTATCTGCCCCGAGGCATAGGGCGGCCCCGGTCCACAGGAGACTCGTCTCTCCTGGCCTGGAGGCAAGCACTCCTCCTGCGGGAACTTAGTTCCCTCTGCCTCTCTGCCCTGAGCCTCTGCAGCTCAGGAGAGGCTGGAGGGTTACTGGACCCAGAGGCAACCTCAGCTTCCCCTGGCTGAGAGTGGAGCACCTGCAGGCAATGGGTCCTCCATCACCTCAGGGGCCAGAGCAGACTCAGCTGGTGCCTGCACCTGAGGATCCAGCACAGGTGAGGACCCTTCAGGCTCAAGCCCTGGCTCAGCTGGTTCTGGAGGCGGGGAATCCTGTGCAGGCTGGGATTCCTCAGGTTCAACCTCTGAGTCCAAATCCCAGGCCATCACACTCATCCACTAAGTCAGGGATCAGCCTGTCCAGATATTGTTTGGACTCCAATACCCGATTAGCCCCAGTGAGCATGGCCACTGGTCAGGAGTGGTGGGGGTTGTAGCCTGACAACATCTGGAGGGCCACACAGGTTCCCCCCACCCCTGCACTAAAGTCCTTCCAGAGGAGGCCCATTTCCTGCCTTTTCTTCCTGCCATCTTCCTTGGCAAGGCTCCAGAGGTGGTGGGAAGCATAACGCTGCTGCACTGAGGCCTGCAGTTCCTGCTCACTGCTTGCCCCTTATTTCCCGCTGCATCTCAGTTGCTGGACGGGACGCTGGGTGACCAGTACCGCACCATGAAGGACCTAGTGGAACGCAAGGCCCAGCACGTGGTCCGGGCCCGGCAGAAAGCAGAGCGCCTACGGGACGAGGCCAAGGGCCTGCTGCGCGACGCGCATGACAAGCTGCAGCGGCTGAGCGGTAAGTGCCCGGGAGAAGGGGGGAGATATATTCTCTGGGGTGGTGTGTGACATTTCTGGGGCCGCCCCATAAACTGGATTTCACACAATTCTGTGCCTTCTAGACAGTAAACTGTGCAAATTATTATTATTATTATTACAGTGGTACCTCAGGTGACATACGCTTCAGGTTACATACGCTTCAGGTTACAGACTCTGCTAACCACAAATAGTGCTTCAGGTTAATAATAATAATAATTTTTATTTATACCCCGCCCTCCCCAGCCAAGGCCGGGCTCAGAGCGGCTTACAAGCAATAATAAAAACAAGTTAAATGATTACAACTTAAAAACAAAATTTAAAAATACAACATTAAAATATTGAAACATTAAAATATTAAAATGTAGTTAAGAACTTTGCTTCAGGATGAGAACAGAAATCGTGCTCCGGTGGCGCGGCAGCAACAGGAGGCCCCATTAGCTTAAGTGGTGCTTCAGGTTAAGAACAGTTTCAGGTTAAGTACGGACCTCCGGAACGAATTAAGTACTTAACCTGAGGTACCACTGTATTATTATTACCACCCTGCCCATCTGGTTCGGTTTCCCCAGCCACTCTGGACGGCTCCCAACAGAATAATAATAATAATAATAATAATAATAATAATAATAATAATAATGTGACAAAACATCTAACATTAAAAGCTTCCCTAAACAGGGCTGCCTTCAGATGTTTTCTGAAAGTCATACAGTTGTTTATTTCCTGCCATCTGATGGGGTGGCATTGCACAGAGCGGGCGCCACTACCGGGAAGGCCCTCTGCCTGGTTCCCTGTAACCTCACTTCTTGCAGTGAGGGAACCGCCAGAAGGCCCTCGGCGCTGGACCTCAGAGTCCGGGCTGAATGATGGGAGTGGAGACGCTTCTTCAGGTATACTGGGCCAAGGCCACATGAACTTGTTTCATTTGGTTTGTACGCCGCTTCCAAAATCCAGGTTTCCAAAGATTCTCTCCATCACCATCACACACAAATAGATTGAGGTGATGGAACCAAGGAAAGGAAGACCATAAATTTTGAGAGTGGGCAGGAGAAGGACAGGGAGCTACATGAGATGCCGAAACTGCTCTTTTGATTGTGGGAAGCCCTGCCCAGCCCTTTTGGTGTCTTCAGTTTGCTTATTTACTTATTTTATGTATGCATAAATTTCCATACTGTTAAACCAAGAAGGGGGCAGAGAGATCTTCTCAAAGCAGTGTGCATAAAATCAAAATTAAAAACCTATAAAGACAAAGCTCAGAATAACATAAAACCGAGTCACGTGGCAGGGCAAGTTTATATAAATAAAAATGTTCAAAACTGGAAGCTGAAAACTAAACACTGATGCTGCCTGCCTAATATACAGAGAATTCCACAATACAAGTGGAATTTTATCAGGCTGCCCACGCGTTTCCATTTCCATCTCTCTTGTTATGTTGTGGAGGATAGAACCGTAAAGAGCCATTTCCGTTTAGAAAGCTGATAAATCCCCCAAAGATCCCATTCTGTGACACAGGACACGCTTGGATAGAAAACCTGCGACCAGGCAGAACGCAGCAAGCCCTGGATGTGGCAGCTAGACTGGTGACTGGGAGTGGCCGCCGGGACCACATAACACTGGTCCTGAGACATCTGCACTGGCTCCCAGTACGTTTCCAAGCACAATTCAAAGTGTTGCTGCTGACCTTTAAAGCCCTAAACGGCCTCGGCCCAGTATACCTGAAGGAGCGTCTCCACCCCCATCGTTCAGCCCGGACACTGAGGTCCAGCTCCGAGGGCCTTCTGGCGGTTCCCTCACTGCGAGAAGCGAGGTTACAGGGAAACAGGCAGAGGGCCTTCTCGGTGGTGGTGCCTGCCCTGTGGAACGCCCTCCCATCAGATGTGAAGGAAATAAGCAGCTATCTTCTTTTAAAAAGACATCTGAAGGCAGCCCTGTTTAGGGAAGTTTTTAATATTTAATGCTGTATTGTTTTTAACACTTGATTGGAAGCCGCCCAGAGTGGCTGAGGAATCTCAGCCAGATGGGCGGGGTATAAATAATAAATTATTATTATTATGTTGCAGGAGAGAGGAGATGTGGGTAAACAGAAAGGGACAGCTGAGGAAGAATGGGAGTTTAGACTCTTGCGGGAAGCGGGGCCCTTCCCGTAGAAGTAAGATATTAGGAGGGGAAGGGCAGAGCTGTGGGCAATCCCCATGTCAGACTCAAACATCTTGTGCAGGATTCATGAACTTTAACAGGGAGATCCATGAACTTTAACAGGGAGAAATGTAAAGTATTGCACTTGGGCAAAAAAAACGAGAGGCACAAATACAAGATGGGTGACACCTGGCTTGAGAGCAGTACATGTGAAAAGGATCTAGGAGTCTTGGTTGACCACAAACTTGACATGAGCCAACAGTGTGACGCGGCAGCTAAAAAAGCCAGTGCAATTCTGGGCTGCATCAATAGGAGTATAGCATCTAGATCAAGGGAAGTAATAGTGCCACTGTATTCTGCTCTGGTCAGACCTCACCTGGAGTACTGTGTCCAGTTCTGGGCACCACAGTTCAAGAAGGACACTGACAAACTGGAACGTGTCCAGAGGAGGGCAACCAAAATGGTCAAAGGCCTGGAAACGATGCCTTATGAGGAACGGCTAAGGGAGCTGGGCATGTTTAGCCTGGAGAAGAGGAGGTTACGGGGTGATATGATAGCCATGTACAAATATATAAAAGGATGTCATATAGAGGAGGGAGAAAGGTTGTTTTCTGCTGCTCCAGAGAAGCGGACACGGAGCAATGGATCCAAACTACAAGAAAGAAGATTCCACCGAAACATTAGGAAGAACTTCCTGACAGTAAGAGCTGTTCGACAGTGGAATTTGCTGCCAAGGAGTGTGGTGGAGTCTCCTTCTTTGGAGGTCTTTAAGCAGAGGCTTGACAACCATATGTCAGGAGTGCTGAGCCCTCGAGGCAGCGACGCTTCCACCCCCTGGAAACAGCAGGAAGGGAGAGCGCTCTTGTGCCCCGGTCCTGCTTTGAGTGCTTCTCATTGACGCGTCTGCTTGGCCACTCACTCTACATGGGCCCTTGTGGCCTTGATCCAGTAGCCGGGTCCTTCTTTGGAAAGAGCGAGCGCCTCCCTCCACCCCCGCCACACGGAGCTCAGCCTGCACGTGGGCATGGCGCGCTGCTCTCTCCAGCTTCCTCCCGGCCGGGCCAGCGGCTCCACCTCTTTTCCTTTGCCTTTGAGCCGCTTAATTCCCAGCAAGCAATTAGCAGGCTCGCTCCACCTCCTCCTCCTCCCGGCTTTGCTGCTGCTGCTGCGAGGCTCTTTTCCTCCACCGACGGCGCGCTGCGCCTTGGAGAGGTTCCCGCTTCCTCGAGGGGGGCCGGCCAAACGCGCCCCCAAAAATGTTGCGCCCGGTGCGGCCGGCACCCCTGGCACCCCCCACGCTACGCCACTGGCTCTGATGGTGTTTCCTGCTTGGCAGGGGGTTGGACTCGATGGCCCTTGTGGTCTCTTCCAACTCTATGATTCTATGATTCAGCATCCTGGGAATCTCAACATGGCAAGGGGACTTGGAATTGTTGCTTTTCTCTTCCTAAAACAGCAGGAGGTGCCCTGCCCTGGCTCATGCTACCCTCTTGGCAAATGCCATCCTCCGGCAAAGCCAGGCAGCTTGCCCAGGATCTATAGATCACGGCAGCCAAGCCTCAGACCCAGCACACACACGCTCCTTAATCCACCCTCTCCATGGCTCTCTGGGCACTTTGAGTTTCCAGTGGGGAGGCTGACAGAAACATTCTTGATGGAGGGTGGCGGGGAAACCTCTTGCCCAAAGGGGCACATGTCTTTACTGCGTCTACATGCCTCTACTCATTACGTCACCCTCTCTGCATAAAGGGTGAAATATACTCGGAGTCGAGAGTGGATTTCATGCTCTTTATTCAGCTCATAGTGTGAGGAGGAATGGAGGTTCCCCCAGAATGTCTGCCTTATATACATTATTTACACAATGGGCCCCACGTGATTGGGTAATTCCAGGATTCTCCTGCAGGCCAATCAGGTTGCGGATTCCCTTCCACCTGGAGCTGGATTGGGTGGCTCCTGTGCACCAATCAGACTGCTGCATTCTGAATCCTATTGTTCTAGGACCAATCAGACTGCTGCATTTTGGATCCTATTTACTCAGTACATAACAAAGGGCTTCCGCTTGCGCAACAGAACTTTCTCTACCCTCCCGTCCCAAATCTGTTCTGGGGATCTGGAGCTGATTTGCGGTTGGGGCAGGGAGCACACAAGTTGAGGCTGGCTGTGACCTCCTTGTCTGGAACTGCGACAGAGACACCAACGTGGAACTGTCCCTTCAGAGGCAGGTTTCAGGGAGGGGACGGTTTTAGCAGCCCACCTTTCCCTTTCCCTAATTCTCCTTCTCCCTGTCCCTATTCAGCGCTGGAAGAAACGTATGAAGAAAACGAGAGGCTGCTGCAGGAGAAAGCGGCCCAACTGGACGGGCTTGAGGCCAAGATGAGGGTCATCTTGGGAGACATCAATCAGCAGATCCAAATCTACAACACCTGCCAGTGATGCGCCGTGGTTCTCTCTCCCTCCCTCTCTCTCTCTCTCTCCCTCTCCCACTCCCATTTTGTAAGTCCTATTCACTGCTCCCAGTCATGTGTTTGAATAAGCCTTGGTTACCCCTGCCTAGATCTAGCTTAGTGCCCGGAGCACCGCTTCCTGTGGCTCTCCCTTGCCACCATTGCTTGACTCTCACCCCAGCCTTCATGGAAGCACAGCACTGCATACATCAAGGCTTCCTTAGGAAAATCCCTTCCCTGCCAACATCCGGCACGTAAGGAAGCACTTAAGCTGCCATAGCAGAATTTTCCCATTCTGGTTTTCTGCTGGTCTCTTGCTCAGAGCAGTAACAGAACAGGGGAAGGGTTGCCTAAAAGGAAGTTCAGGCGAGGCAGCTGCATTGCCATGCCTGTGTGTGATCTGCCCCAACCAAGGTGGCTTACACCTGTGTGTGAATAAAGGCCCAAAGGCTATTGCTCTCTGTGCTGCGCTGTCTTATTTCTTTCTCTGCTCAAATCCTGGCTTGCCTTTCAGAATTCACCCCAAAGTGTGTCTACACTTCTGTTTTGAACTGGAGCTGGCCCCTGGTGAAACTGATTTGGCATGATGTGAAATGTATATATAGCAGGGATGGGGAACCTGGGGACCTCTGGACATTATCGGACTACAGTTTCCATCATCCTATTTATACTCCACCCATCTGGCTGGGTTTCCCCAGCCGCTTTGGGCAGCTTCCAACAAAATATCAAAAATACAATAAAACATCAGCCATTAAAAACTTCCCTAAACAGGGCTGCCTTAAGATGTATTCTAAAAGCTAGATTATGGGACGCGGGTGGCGCTGTGGGTTAAACCACAGAGCCTAGGACTTGCCGATCAGAAGGTCGGCGGTTCGAATCCCCGCGATGGGGTGAGCTCCTATTGCTCGGTCCCTGCTCCTGCCAACCTAGCAGTTTGAAAGCATGTCAAAGTGCAAGTAGATAAATACCGTATTTTTCGCCCTATAGGACGCACTTTTTCCCCTCCAAAAATGAAGGGGAAATGTGTGTGCGTCCTATGGGGCGAATGCAGGCTTTCGCTGAAGCCTGGAGAGCAAGAGGGGTCAGTGCGCACCGACCCCTCTCGCTCTCCAGGCCTCAGGAGAGCCCCAGCACCAGCCCCACAAGGTCGGGGGACAGAGGGAGGCGGAACGCCGCCATCCCGCTGTCTCCCGAAGTGGTTTGGAGGCTGACGGCGGGGAGAGCGCTTCTCCCCGCTGCCTGCCCCACAAGCTCCGGGGACAGCTGGGAGACGCAGCGTGTCTTCCTGCTGTCCCCGGACCTGATCTGAAGGTGGGCGGCAGGGAGAAGAGCGCTTCTCCCTGCTGCCTGCCCCACAAGCTCTGGGGACAGCTGGGAGACGCAGCGCGTCTTCCTGCTGTCCCCGGACCTGATCTCAAGGCGGGCGGCAGGGAGAAGAGCGCTTCTCCCCGCTGCCTGCCCCACAAGCTCCAGGGACAGCTGGGAGACGCAGCACGTCTTCCCGCTGTCCCCGGACCTGGTCTGAAGGCAGGCTGCGGGGAGAAGAGCGCTTCTCCACGCTGCCGGCCCCACAAGCGCCTGGGGGGAAATAATTTTTTTCCCTTTATTTCCCCCCCCAAAAAACTTGATGCGTCCTATGGGCCGGTGCGTCCTATGGGGCGAAAAATACAGTAGGTACTGCTCCGGCGGGAAGGTAAACGGCGTTTCCGTGCGCTGCTCTGGTTTACCAGAAGCAGCTTAGTCATGCTGGCCACATGACCCAGAAGCTGTACGCCAGCTCCCTCGGCCAATAAAGCGAGATGAGCACCGCAACCCCAGCGTCGGTCACGACTGGACCTAATGGTCAGGGGTCCCTTTACCTTTTAAAAGTTAGATTTATTTCCTTGACATCTGATGGGAGGGCGTTCCACAGGGTGGGTGCCACTACTGAGAAGGCCCTCTGCCTGGTTCCCTCACTTCTCACAGTGAGGGAACCTCCAGAAGGCCCTCAGCGCTGGATCTCAGTGTCCTGGCTGAACGATGGGGGTGGAGACGCTCCTTCAGGTATACTGGACCGAGGCCATTTAGGGCTTTAAAGGTCAGCACCAACACTTTGAATTGTGCTCGGAAACATACTGGAAGCTAATGTAGGTCTTTCCAGGACCTGTGTTATGTGGTCTCAGCTGATTGGAGTTGGAATTCAACAGGTTCCTCATCCCTGCTCTAGGCCTTGGATTCCCAGATGTGGTCATCAATGATGTTTGATGTGGCTACCGAATGAACACAGACAAGAGGTGGAGCACACAGACAGAAAAAGCATCAAGACAGCAACAGAAACCATAAGAATCTAAGAGGCTTCCTGAATGGCACTAGTTTCTTGGAAGCCCACAAGAAAGGCATGAAGCCCATTACCATTGTTTGTCCCCAAGCTATTGGTACCTCGGGTTACATACGCTTCAGGTTACAGACTCCACTAACCCAGAAATAGTACCTTGGATTAAGAACTTTGCTTCGGGATGAGAACAGAGATCGTGCCCCGGCTGTGTGGCAGCAGCAGGAGGCCCCATTAGCTAAAGTGGTGCTTCAGGTTAAGAACAGTTTCAGGTTAAGAACAGACCTCTGGAACAAATCAAGTACTTAACCCGAGGTACCACTGTATAGCAGTGTTCCTCAAACTTGGGCCCCCCAGCTGTTGTTGGACTACAATTCCAATCATCCTTGACCATTGCTCTAGCTAGCTAAGGATGATGGGAGTTGCAGTCCAACAACTCTAAGCCACCCAGATTGTGGCCTTCACAACCATTGATGGAGATGGGAATGCTTGCATCATGGAAACAAGGGTATGGGGTAATAGTGAGACAACTGTATACTCTCATGTTTCCATTATCATTGATCCTCCCCCTTTCTCTAAACATGAGTGGTGTTCATTGCACTGGTTTAAAAGGAAAAGTTGCAGTATCTCATGCTCATTGTACAAAAGAGCTCATAGACCAGGGGGTGCCTTTGGTATCACCTCAATGCACTGCTTGCACATTGCAATACTACTTTTCACAATGTTTACAGTGTTATAAGGGGGGGAAATTGCTCCTTTTCCCTTATGGGGTACCCAAGAGCTCATATAGAGTCCTTTTTTAGGTTCTCTATCGGTAGGAGAAAATAACAGAGGCAAACCAGAAAATATTGAGAAGCAAAGCAGCTAGTAAGCCTGATCTTTATTAAAACTGTTGCAACAGTGCTCCCCCCACACGCAGGAGGCAGGAAGAGGACCCAGGACAAAGGTGTGCAAGCCCTTATATAGACTTTTGAACTGCCCACCCTGGAGCCCAAGACTGCCCCTCCATACATCATACATACATCACAGAAGGGGGGTAGCCCAAGACCACCACCCCAATACATCATACTTACATCAGAGAAGGGGCGGACTACAACAGAAATCTGAGTGCGTTGTTTTTATCCTGTCTGCCAGGTTACCTTCTTGGATTACCTGGTCATCCTGGCCACTCTTTTGTTATGATAACTACTCAGTTCCTGAATCCAGATCACAGGCTCACCCTATTCATATCTTAAATGTGCCCTTGAGACAGGATTTGTGAGCAAAGAGACAATGGGGAGGTTCCCCATTTCCTTCGACCTTGCAGAGAAATATTTGAGGTCATTTGGGAGAGACAAAATGGTTTCAGGACTTTTTTCTGTGGGGTTTCAGACATGTGGTTTATACATTATATATACATACCCATAACCTTAAAATTCTTATAACAGTGTCACACACACACACACACACACACACACACACACACACACAAAAGACACCCTCTAATTCTTTTGTCCAGCTCATGCAATGATTTAGCACAAACATACACGTTTTTAGTGTTACATTCTGTAATTATCTCCAGTCTAGGTGAATAACAACCATAATAAACCCTCCTATATAATGGTTTTAACAATTTTTGAAAAACCATATTGACAGTTTTTAGAGCTTCACCATACAAATGAGGCAATCTTTTTCTAGGCTGGATGCATCTGAGGAGAATAATGGAGCAGTGTAACTTGTTTTTCCAGGGTCCTCCAGATGTCTTGGACTACAGTTCCTGGCATTCCCTGCCAACACTGCTGAAGGCCAGGAATGATGGGAATTGTAGTCCACAATCTAGAGGTTGGGGGCACCTAATGCAACTGCATTAAATTTAGGATTTCCTCTGGGGCAACTCTGCACTATGAGTACAGTGGTACCTCAGGTTACATATGTTTCAGGTTACATACGCTTCAGGTAACAGACTCCGCTAACCCAGAAATAGTGCTTCAGGTTAAGAACTTTGCTTCAGGATGAGAACAGAAATCGGGCTCCAGAGGCGCGGCAGCAGCAGGAGGCCCCATTAGCTAAAGTGGTGCTTCAGGTTAAGAACAGTTTCAGGTTAAGAACGGACCTCCGGAACGAATTAAGTACTTAACCCGAGGTACCACTGTATGTGTACCTGTGACAGCACACAGTGGGCCAACACCAGTGCTGCCCTACTGGAATAATCTTGGGCAAGGCTAATAGGGCAGGTCTGTCCTGTACTGCAATTTTGTGTAAAAATAGATTTGCTCTGTGGTGGCTGAAATGTCTTGATTTGTTACCAAAGATGAATTGCCCTCAGTTACCTCTTCTGCCTTGTCGTTTGCAATGTAAGCCGCCCAGAGTGGCTGGGGAAACAGCCAGATGGGCATGGTATAAATAATAAAATTATGATGGTGGTGATGTGTTAATCCATGACATTTGAGCCATTAGAATGGGTGAGGAATGCGTTTTGGACTCCAAATCGCAGCATTGACTATGGGTTGTAGTTCATTCACATCTGAAGGGCTACAGGTCACACATACACACTAGAACTTTGCTGCAGTTATCACTAACACTCACTAAAAATGCTGTCTATCCCAAAAAAAAAACAACACAAAAAAACAAAAACAAAACCCCACAGAATCATAGAGGTGGAGGGAACCTCAAAGGTAACCCAGTTCTTTTTTGAAAAAATAAATAAATTTTATTAGTATTTTCCACACACCACGAAAAATATCGAAAAATAACCATACACAAAAATCAACATTCAAAAAACAAAAAAACCAAATCCATATCTTACAAGTTAATAATATAAACATTAAAAACAAACATTGACCCAGTTCAATACCCTGCTGATGCACAAAATCCACTACTACACCCTTGGGATATGTGGCCGGGCAAAATGGTGTTTTGAGTGATGGTGTTCATAATACTTCAGCTGTAATTTCATAATAGATGAAGCCATTCCATGTGTTCATTTAATTGACCCTCACATTGAAGGGCATAGAGAAGGCTGCCTGAACAGGAGCTTCATGAGTACATTGGGGCTTTGCCAAAAGCAACGCCTCCTTTGAAAAAAGGAAGTGGTACTGCAAGACATTGCCAACCATTACCATCCCATGCTGGTGTTATAGGCCCTAATTCAGCTGCTTATCCCTCTGCTACCGG